GTTGGGAGGATCCTGCTGCAACCAGTGAAAGTGAGAATTGGCATGTAGCGCAGGTGCGCGCGAAGCACCATCTGCACTCGCGACACCAGCTGCGCATCTCGCGCTCCGGCGTTCTGGATGTGGGCTCCGAGGTGATAGCAAACTGCTGGGACGCAGCTCGAGCTGTGATCAGGACGCACCTGGGCCCCAAATCAAAAGGGGCGCCAGACCCCCTACACACGAAGAACCTGCATGAAATCCACGTGCATGCTCACGCCTCTCGGCGGTGAACGGCCTACAATTTCTCTCTCGCATGGCTGGGATCGATGCCCACATATGCCCACTGGCGAGGATTGAAAGGACAGAAAGTTACTTGCCCTAGCAAAGCTGTCACGGAAACAGCAGAAAATACACGCCATACGCCGCTTTACGGTTTATGGGGGATCCTTTCTCCAGTCATATTAACCAGAAGGTCCAGAATCCCGTTAAATTCTAGGCATGTGGGCAAACTACTTGCCTTCTTGAGGGGCTGCAGCTCTGCTATGACTCTCGCACATGAGGGAGGGAGCCCAATTGGTTGCAAGTCTCTGCAATCTGAATCGAAAAGGTTCGTGAGGCCATATGAACGGTCTGCGCGAAGAAAGCTGCTTGGAAGAACATACCCGCAACCTCCAGCAGCTGCGACGGTCGAGTCGCCGTCTTGCTAGACCGCTGGCTCGGTCGCTGGCTCGCTTCAAGCAGACATCACGAGACATTATTTTGCTAAACAATGATGTTGCCATTCGTACTTGTTAATCCTTGCGGTGAGATGCGGTGAGGATCACTGTGCCGCACGACAGGACCCCTGCTTTCGTTCTTGTTGCTTGTGGATGAAGTCTGGCGGTCTACCACATCACTCCCAACCTGAAAGCAATGGTAAAACAACCGAGCGGAAATATGTTATTGGCGGCCAGCCTTCTGTGGACCCTATGCCAGGCCATGCCCTTTGCCTCAGCCGGCTGATGCAAAGAACCCCAGGAACCCAGCTTTGATAAGGCGCTGAGGCCTGACCGAAGCAGCGCAGAAGAGAACCGATAAGATAGATCAGACTGCTTTGGCCGGAGCTTCTGAACGTGAAAAAGACGCATCCCACGCCTTTGCATCCCGAACCTGTGTGAAAGCCAAGCGTGTCTCTGTGCACGCTCTCGTGCAGTTGAAGCTGCACGGAAGAAAAACTTCGCAGCTCCGTGCCATGCTGGCCGAGTGGCCGTCTTCCCGTGCCGTTGGCTCTGCTCGCTTTTCAAGTAATTACGGATTACGGATCAAACGCTGCTACTTTGCTAAAGAAGTTGCGGCGCCTACCATGGGGTGAGCATCTGACGATGCGAAGCTCAGCTTTCCTGCAAGTTGCCTTCCCGTCGCTTGTGCAATGAATGGCCTGCCAAGTCGCTCTCACCTTGACAGCCATGCGAAATGTCCGAGTGGAAGTATGTTGGAGGCTAATTCTGTGTGGAACCTATGCCATGCGCACTCCTCCGGACATACAAGGCAAGGCCCTCGTCCGCAGCAGAGATGTGTCAACAGCCTCTAACAACTTCTGCGCCACACCTCCTTCCGTGCCAAACGGGTGGCGAAGTTCCAAGCGAGCACCTCATGTCGAGCCTCTTACCTTCTCGTGCATTCTCGTGAGGTGCATGCCTGATCACGCATGGCACAGATGCCGCAATAGGCTGCTGGCAGTGACATGTGCCACATGAGGATGAGGCGCAGTTGCGAAGCAATCTTAAACATAACTAAGGAGGCTGCACTGATAGCCCAAGGCTTGACAGCGGAGCTGAGTCTCAAACCGGTGCTAGTTGAAGGGAGGATTTGTTCAACGGCTTGTCACATGCGTGGCGAATCTTAGTTGCAACCACCTTCAACCTGAGGGCGAAGCGCAGATCCAAACGCTCGGTCCGTAGCTAGTACTTTTTGAGTAGTCAGACACCAGTGACACGCCTTTCGGAAATATTTTCCGCCGCAGATTACTTTGCTGTACTGGTAGAGCCCTCAACCCGTTGTCGGTGCGGAAGCGACACTGCTGAGGTTTTCCCGTGCGTGGCTGTTGCTTTAGGCTTTAGGGACCGCGTAGGGTCGCACGAACATTTCGGGCCCAATGCACTGTGGAACAATCGCGGGGCTTTAAGAAGGCTCCTTCCTACGTCTCGGCTTGCCGGCTACTCTGGGGCTCTGGGCAACCTGCGTAGATGAGAGCTTGACTAAAAGCTGTGCGCGCGAATGTGCGTGCGTGCGGGCATGCAAGCATGCGTGTGAGACCCTACATGGTGGCCGGCTGGCACATGGCGAGGTCCGACGCTCAAGGCCGAGCGCTGGCTCGGCTCGCTTTTCAAGTAAGTACGGATTACGGATCAAACGCTGCTACTTTGCTAAAGAAGTTGCGGCGCCTACCATGGGGTGAGCATCTGACGATGCGAAGCTCAGCTTTCCTGCAAGTTGCCTTCCCGTCGCTTGTGCAATGAATGGCCTGCCAAGTCGCTCTCACCTTGACAGCAATGCGAAGTCTGGAACCTCTGACACAAGCACTCCTCCGCTTCCGCAGCAGAGATGTGTCAACAGCCTCTAACAACTTCTGCGCCACACCTCCTTCCGTGCCAAACGGGTGGCGAAGTTCCAAGCGAGCACCTCACGTCGAGCCTCTTACCTTCTCGTGAATTCTCGTGCTGCGCATGCCTGATCACGCATAGCACAGATGCCGCAATAGGCTGCTGGCAGTGACATGTGCCACATGAGGATGAGGCGCAGTTGCGAAGCAATCTTAAACATAACTAAGGAGGCTGCGCTGATAGCCCAAGGCTTGACAGCGGAGCTGAGTCTCAAACCGGTGCTAGTTGAAGGGAGGATTTGTTCAACGGCTTGTCAGATGCGTGACGAATCTTAGTTGCAACCACCTTCAACCTGAGGGCGAAGCGCAGATCCAAACGCTCGTTCCGTAGCTAGTACTTTTTGAGTAGTCGGACACCAGTGACATGCCTTTCGGAAATATTTTCCGCCGCAGATTACTTTGCTGTACTGATAGAGCCCTCAACCCGTTGTCGGTGCGGAAGGGGCACTGCTTGGGTTTTCCGGTGTGTGGCTGTTGCTTTAAGCTCTCGACGCTCACACTCGCACAAGGCAGGCAAGGCTCCACATAGTAGGGATCGCGTAGGGTCGCACAAACATCCCGGGCCCAATGCACTTTGGAACAATCGCGGGGCTTGAAGAAGGCTCCTTCCTGCGTCTCGGCTTGCCGGCTTCTCTGGGACTCTGGGCAACCTGTGCAGATGAGAGCTTGACTGAATGCTGTGTGCGAGCATGTGCGTGCGTGCGGGCATGCAAGTCATGCAAGCATGCGTGTGAGATCCTACATGGTGGCCTGCTGTCACATGGCGAGGTCCGACGCACAAGGCCGAGCGTTGGCTCGGCTCGCTTTTCAAGTAATTCGGCGCTTCAATTACGGATTACGGATCAGCCGCCGCTACTTTGCTGAAGCAGCTGCGGTCATGGCGAGGTCCGACACGCGCTTTGTTTCTCTTAGGCTGCTCACGCAGAGTGAAAGCGAAAGCCTGGAAGAAAGGTCTAGGCCTCAACGCCCCGGACCCCCGTAGACGACCGGGAGTCCCACACCGCGCTGAATGTTGGGTTGCAGAAAGATGCAGCTCAAGCACGTAGCCAACACTTCAAGCGCACGAAGTACGACTCAACTTCCTGTAAACTTCATGATGCTCCCTATCGACAGTGCAGCGGATACCTTGGACCGATGAGGGCAGTTACCTCTGTCAGTGTGCCTCACGCTGGGTGGTGGCCTGCTGTCACATGCCCAGAGTCGAGAAAGCTGTGCGCCGCTTCAATCACGAAGGCCTGCCTCGAGTCGCGCGATATGTGAACTCTTCGACTGGAGCATGGAGACAAGACCTGCAGGAAAGGTCTGAACCGACCAGGACGGGGTCTCCCTAAGGATGAGCGGTGGTCCGATGCCTGCCGTTGCGGCTGCCAAGAAAATTAGCGGAAGGACAAGGCCAAGTCTTCCGGGCGAAGCTTCTCAGCACGGGCGGCCAATACCAGCATGTCTCTCGTTTTGGACAGGAGGCTTCAAAGCGCAGAGATGCAAGTCCACGCCCACGCAGCTCCTGCAAAAACGCCGCTGCAAGTGTGGAAAGGTGCGTGTGTTCCCAGATGGTGGCCTGCTGTCAAGCGGCCAGAGTCGAGGAGGCAATGTGCCGCTTCACTCGTGACTGAGGCAAGACCTGCAAGAAAGGCCTGAACCGAGCAGAACCGGGTCCCTATGGAAGAGCGGTGAGCCAACACAACACGGCATGTTACAGGCTGCTGTTACTGCTGCTGCATTGGGATCGAAGACCTTCCAAGGAGAGAGCCTGAAAGACTTGGCAAAGACTTCAAGCCGAAGCTTTTTCACGGTCAGCGCAAGCTGCAATCCCGTGCTTCGTGCCACGCATGTCTATAGAATATATCACTAGTGAGGGTAAGTGTGTGTGATTCATGCCGTAACTTGCGCACCATCTCTCCGAGTAAGATGTCGTCTTGGGTCGCTTCAATTCAAGGGCCAAGTCTTCAGGTCTCAGTTCCCATGAAACAAAGCAGACTTGAACCTACTCGCGACTGCCAGGCTTCCAGTCGCGAAGCTGCACAAATTGTGCACCCATGTGGGTGTGGGTGCCTATGTGGGCTCGCGACACTGGATGGCCAGTTGCTGTGACACACGAAGGCCGAAGAGGCTGGATAGCTTCACGTGTTCTCATGAAGACCTGCGTCTGCATCGAGCTGCAAGCAGATTTGCGGTTCATGCATGGAGACAGGATCTGCAAAACAAGTCTGTGCAAACCAGAACGACGCCGCAAATCCGATACCGCACGGCATGATGTGCAATCCCGAACGGTCACACTGTCTCCTGCCGCAAGCTGTTGCTGCACAGAACAACGGCAAGGACTGCTCATTCCTCTCCACCGTCAGCACGGATAACCCAACGCAAGTCTGTCCCTCGCCGGGCAAAACTCCGACTTGGAGGGTCCACCAGGATGCGAGAGCCTCCTATGCCCTATAGAGGCCCTAGAGCACTTAGAACGCGCTGGACAGTGAAGCTTTGACCCCGGAAGCCGTAAGCCCCACATAACGCCACCACTACCATGAGCCAGCTTGCGTGAGCGTCCACTGCATCAATGCCATGGGGCCAACTGGCCCAATTTTTGCTTCAGTTTGCATCAGGTGCCTACTCCAGCGGCCGCAGCAGCACCTCGCTGGATGTTGGCTTGCCCCGCAGTCTTTTTGGAGCTTCCTGCTCCCATGGCCACCCGCCTTTCATCCGTGCTGGCAGCTCCGGCAGGGGCCCCCAGGCAAGCCTTCGCCAGCCCAGCTAGGTCCGAGCTAGGTGGCTTCCGACGGCTTATGCACTTCGAGTGCAAGCCATCCCCATCTGCGAACATTGCCACTGCAGGTAAACGCTGGTTCGATGGGATCGATCTCGCAACTTACGATCCAGGACGAGCCAGGCCATGATCAACATGACCGGTACCAGCTCGATCTGCTTTAATTATGCCACTGACGATGACGGCTGAAGGCAAGTACAAGTACCCATGCTCAGGACAGCCAGTTCCGTCCTGAGGCCACCTTTTCGAAAGCCTGACTTCCCAAAACGAGCCAATGAGTCTGGGATCACGCGAAAGTCGTGCGATGACCTGCGGCATGCTGCAGGCGCTACGACCCGGACCAGCTCCGGGTCAGATCAGGACGACGCGGCTTGGTTCCCGAAGCCAACCAAATCATCTCGAACGGAATGCTTAAGCACGGAAGGGGGATCTCGGGAAGCAACCCTCGTTCAAACATGCAAAGAGGCCATGAGCCGACCGTCTCAGAACCGCCTGTGCGACTGAAAAGCGGCTATGGTTGGTCGCTGATGCGTACCTGGATTCCTGGTGCTACTGCACCGATGGCCCCATGCCAGTCTCTTTGGCTCCCACATCATCCCTTTGTACAGCGAGGCTTTTGGCTGTGAAGCCTCCCTGTTCAGGTATCTATGGCCGGTGGACTATATCAGTGAGGCAAGTGTGTATGATTTATGCCGCAGCTTGCAGAATGCCTCGCGGAGGAGCAAGAGGCTACACTGGGTTCCAGTGCGATGTGCCTCAGGGCAAAAGCCAAAACTTCAAGCTGTCGACGTTCCGTCAGGGAAGGTGGACCTGTCCCGAGCCCGTCACTAAGGCTTCGTTCCGTGAAGCTGCAAGTCGGGGTGCCCCTTGCAGAGAAATTGCGGGTGATAGCTTCGGGACGTAGCTGTCAGATGCTGCCACATGGCGAAGCCAGAGACAATGCAGCAGTATTTTAGGCTCACGAAGACCTGCATCGAGTCGCGCAAAGATCTGCGACTCGTGCATGCAAACAGGATCTGCAAGAAGAGTCTGAACCAAACCGAACGAAAAGGCCCCCATAAGGACAACCGCAGATCCGACCCCGCATTGCACGTGCCTGTTGTGCATGCAGGAAAATCTCACTGCCCCCCGGAGCAAGCTGCGGCTGCGGCTGGACTGGCTTTCAAGGAGGTGCACAGCAAGGATGAAGCAAGTTTTTCGAGCCGAAGCCCTTCCGCAGTCAGCGCCGGTGGCTGATGTGCCTCGGCTTGAACTGCAAGCCTGCAAGCCGTGAAAACGCCGCACCCCCAAGGTCCCCAGCTGTGCACCATATCTACCATGCCCCACTCTGCATCAGCATCCAGTGTGCCGACACATGGCCCGTTCGCCGAGTCCTGTGCCTCTATTACCAGCACTTCATGTTGCACCGGGGGCCAGGCTGACTCTCTTACACAAAAACCAAATATTCCTGCAGCAGCCATACGAGTATATGCCACGATGTTGGCCTGCCGTGAACATGGACACTGCAGTTTTAGCTGGTGATCGATGGGATCGATCTCGTGACTCGCGATCCGGGACAAGCTGGCCGTGAACAACAGCACTGGAACAAGCAGCTCGATCAGTTCCGTCCTGAGGCCACCTTTTTTCAACCTGACTTTCCAACACGAGCCAATGAGTCTAGGATCACGCGAAAGTCGTGCGATGATCTGCGGCATGCTGCAGGCGCTGCGATCGGAAATGCCTCCGGCTCAGGACGACGCAGCTTTGTTCCAGGCACCAACCAAATCATCTCGAACGGAATGCTTAAGCACGGAAGGGGGATCTCGGGAAGCAACCCTCGTTCAAACATTCAAAGAGGCCATGAGCCGACTGTCTCAGAACCGCCTGTGCGACTGAGTAATTAGTCCAGCAAGCGCACTCGGGACGAGGTACTTTCGTGCGTGCTCTGGGTGGATGAAGTCTTCGATTTTGCTGACGGGCGCCAGGCTACCTCTGCCCGGGTCATGCACAGCAAGCCCCGGCGATGGCTATTAACTCATCTGCGAGGCTTGAAGCTTTCAGCATCTTTCCACCATTCCGACAACGAAGAGTACGTTCTGCAAACTTCCCTGCAGGTGGCTGCCGGCATGAGCCATCCAAGATTTGTGGCACACAAGCTCGGAAAGTCTGAAAAGATCCGGACGACAACGACAGGTGCGTCGGGTTGCCAAGGGAACAGGACAGTAGCACAAACGCAATCTGCTGCATGCGGCTCGGCGAAGGCGAGGCTTTCGGCCAAAGGCAAACGAATCAGCTGAACATTGCAACGGCGCGTCCTGTTCATGGAGTGAGATCTGCCAGCAAGTGAAAGAAGTACCTCGAAAACGACCCAGCTGTGTAGCCGCCTGCCCTTTCACGGGTACCCAGGGCTGTTAACATTCTGGCGCTTCACGCGTGGCTAACACGCTTTATTTTATGGCAGGATTCCGGCCGGAATGGGGCCCCCGCAGAACGAAACTCGGGATGCAAGGATCGCTTCAAGCTATCTCACTTGCCCCTGTTTGGTCGCCATCTACAACATCTTCGACGGTGGTTGATCCTGTAAGTAAGCACTCCAGAAAAGTTAGCAGCAGTGCTCTCGTAAGGGTGCTCTGCTGAAGCCCGTGCAAATACGACTCTTAAGGACAATCCTGAAATTGAAGTTTGCACAATCAAATCGGCACATGATTGGTTTGAACTCTCGCAACTCGGACACGGCCGGAAGAGGTCTCTAGTGACCCCAGCTGCTGTCGCACCAAAAGCGCTTCGGCAAGCCTGAGGCAGACAGGTCGGCAACAGTCGAAAGCCCTTCGAGGCTTTAGGTGAATGGGCAGCTTTGCGGCGGCATGGGGACGTGGGCACCAAACCTTCTGAAGGCTAGCGGCTTCAGGGATGAGGGCTGTCCCGCATCCTGTTCATGCAGTGAGATCTGCCAGCAAGTGAAAGAAGTACCTCGAAAACGACCCAGCTGTGTAGCCGCCTGCCCTTTCACGGGTACCCAGGGCTGTTAACATTCTGGCGCTTCACGTGTGGCTAACACGCTTTATTTTATGGCAGGATTCCGGCCGGAATGGGGCCCCCGCAGAACGAAACTCGGGATGCAAGGATCGCTTCAAGCTATCTCACTTGCCCCTGTTTGGTCGCCATCTACAACATCTTCGACGGTGGTTGATCCTGTAAGTAAGCACTCCAGAAAAGTTAGCAGCAGTGCTCTCGTAAGGGTGCTCTGCTGAAGCCCGTGCAAATACGACTCTTAAGGACAATCCTGAAATTGAAGTTTGCACAATCAAATCGGCACATGATTGGTTTGAACTCTCGCAACTCGGACACGGCCGGAAGAGGTCTCTAGTGACCCCAGCTGCTGTCGCACCAAAAGCGCTTCGGCAAGCCTGAGGCAGACAGGTCGGCAACAGTCGAAAGCCCTTCGAGGCTTTAGGTGAATGGGCAGCTTTGCGGCGGCATGGGGACGTGGGCACCAAACCTTCTGAAGGCTCGCGGCTTCAGGGATGAGGGCTGTCCTGTGTAAGCACGCAAATGCGACGGCTGTCGAGAAGCCATGTGCAGCCACCCCGACACCTGAAGAAGGGGACGTGCAGCCGTGGGCGTGTTCCATGCGCTTCGGAGGTTCGCGCAATCGATAGGGTGCATTGGAATCCACAGCTTGCGAGGCCAACATGGCCGGAACGAGACACACAACGAGCTGGACTGCTTCTCCTCGAGTTCGGTGTAATCCTACATGATCGCACTCATTTTGTCTGGACATGCCTGGGCAGAACCTTGGTCCGGACCCACTGCAAGCGAATGAAAAGTTACACCGGCTACTGCTCTGGTTTGATCATGTGTGTGTGTGGCCGCTATCTGGCCCAGGCATGCCGCATGCTATTGGCAGAAGCACCCGTGCACATCGGCCAGGAGATGCTTCAGGGCATCTGCCCCATCTGCTCCGACGATTGGCGACAGCACATGGAAACGTCGAGCACGAGCAAGGACTGCTTGCCTTGCACGGCCTCAAACCGCCGGAAAATCGCTTGCTAGCAGTTTGTACTCAGTTAACGACACCTCTTCGGCTCGAGGTGTCCGCCCGCAGTCCGAGTGCACAGAGACTATGAGACAGATGATGGCCCAGCCTTGTCTCTGAAAGAAACGGAACGGTGATTCCAGGATCCTTACGCCTATCATCAGGTACAGTACATCTTGTCAGACCAGTGTAATCAGAGTGTAATCAAGTTTATACCTGGGTATCATAATGTCACGAAGGACGCCCTTAAAAGGTTTGCAAATACAGACCGGCTGCGTGCGCACAAGCGAGCTTGTCTTGTATGCTTCACGTCTGGCAGAGCCTCTTCGTAGAGATCCAGATCGTGACGAGTCCTAGAACTGATTCGGGCATGCTCCAAAAGGTGATGGCATGGTTTTGCGCAGAACCTCCTGGTTTCTGAGCAGCCCGACAGAGTGACAAAACGAAAAGGTGATGATAGACTGGCCAAGTATCCGCCATCAAGCGATCTTGTAGAATCTTGCACGCCACTACCGAGTTGACAGCAACGAGCTTTGTCTCCCGGAGCACCTTAGTTGACAGCATCTGCCAGCTCCCAGTAGCCCCAAGACACTTCCAACAAGCCATTAAACGGGGGGATGTGGGGTCGCAGCTCCCTCCTACTTGCTCCTTCCAGTCATTGTGAGGCTGGTGATAGTATGAGGTCTGCTTGGAACAACTGCAATCAACTGCAAACACATCCCGACTCAGTGTGGTGGTGGCACCTGCGACATTCCCGATATCGCCGAAAGCTCTCGGATGTCCGGACTGCTGCACATTCTGAGACCCTCTACGCGGTCTCCGAATCGGAAAATGCAGACCGTACCGCCAAGATCGGCTCGAGCCCCAATCTGCGCATTGAAGCAGCAAGCGAACCCTGTTTACATTCACTGCGCGGTCCCCGTTGCCCTGCGCAGTGTGAGAAATCATCTTCTTTAAGCAGGGCTTCAAACTCCTACATGCTTGCACGCATCACCTTTCGCGACTGTCCCTCCTTGCAGTAGAATGCGATAATCATGTTGTGGAAGTGAGGTGAACGAGGTTGGGGGAGCATCTTTACCACAAGCAGGGAATGGCACTTGCCTGTTAATGCAGGGCACTTGGGCACGTCAGATGTAAGTATGCCAACGTGAGTGTCTCTTCCGCACGACCATGTGGGGCAAGTGATGCAGCGAAAGCAGACCCAGCTGGCGAGCAGAACCAGAATGGCAATGGCAACAACAATGACAGCAACGATGGTAATGCTGATGTAAATTCATCAGCACCAAACTAGACACATGGTGGAGAAAGTGAAGATAGTCATGAGGTTAGTCCTGGGGATGCTGGCTAGCGCCGGGATGAAATGCGAATAACCAGGAATCATGCCGAGAGGACAGGACTGCTAGTAAACATGTTAACAATGGGAGTCATAACAAAAACAAAGTTAACAACATGGCTCATAATTCAAGCACAATGTCAACAATGTTGAGGATCACCACGTTTTCTTCTTCGCTGATACAACAGTGCAGTCGACCACTCCCTTTCCGGGATGACCGGAATCCAGCAGCAAGGCAATCACAAAGTGCGAACAAAGTCGTGAAGTACTACGAGTGTCACCGTCACTGCCAAATCAGTAGCCTGGCATCTATGCTGGAGTAGCTGCAGACTCCCATTACACGAAAACAAAGCCACTGGAGCCGCAAAAGCGTACTGGTACAACAAAGCAAAGAGGCGGTATTCCAATGGTATTGGGGAGTCATTAGTGGCCTACTCAGCTATTCTTCGGTAGATGCAGCTCCAGTAATAAAGTTTCACACGGTGCGGTGTTTCCGACTATGTCGTCCGCCAGTTGAAGAATCGCGCTCCGACTTTTGACAACTTTCTTCTAGTCGTGAGCACAACCTGTCGAATTGACAAAGTCCTGCATTATTTGGCTCCCGCTTCTGGCGACTTTAAAAAGAAGTATCATCGCCTCGTAAATTTGTACTCCGACAGGTACACGACTCAGCTGCTCTAATTCATCCGCTGAGCCGGGCCGTCATGGGTTTTTAGAAAGTTACCTTGCAATATACAACTTCGTCAGCATCTGCCGCGGAGCTCCGGACCTGGCAGGTCTTGCAGTCGCTGCAAGATGCGCATCGTGCAATACCTGCCTGCGCAGCGTTTCCACTCGAAGTGGAATCTACGTCGGCAGCATCCAATGTTCCCATGCTCTGGACCAAGAAATCGCCCTCTTCATCCTGGGCAGTAGCAGCTGCGGGGTCCTCGCAGAAGAAAGCCCGAAACTTACACTCTTCGTCGTTTTCGTGATGGGGGTGCGGACATCTAAGCTCCGGATCCCTACAAAGCAGGAAGACATCGCACTGCTATCAAAAGCAGTCCCATGAGATGTAAACATGCCGATTTCTCCTTGTACCTTTTCAGGCGCTTGGCGATCTCCACCACTTGCTGCTGCTGCAAACCTTCTGACCCCAGTGGGGAGAATGGCAAGGCCAACACATTGAGCAACTCCTGGAAAATGTCCTCCGACGGCGCCATCACACAGAAACATCCTTCTACTCTGTGTATAACTAGCAACTACAGTACACGGAAATAGTGGTGTTTGCACCAAAGGCACGAGCAGCAGCTTGCCTGGATCACGGAGGCCATAGGCTCCAGAGGCGACGCTGTGGCTCTGGATCTCTGGCTCTAGGCTGTCAATGCGTGGAAAGTCAAAATGCGAGTCGGCGATAACGGTCACAAGCTCCAAGTTCCGCCCACCGGGAGCACAGGCGGGCAGAAGCGTCTGTGCGAAACCTTGATCGCGAAAGAGGCCCCGGAAAAGCAAGACAACGAGATAGTAGGCCCATGGACGGTAGCTCGTCATCTGGAGCGCATCATGCACCACGGCACACTCAATCTGCATGTGAGCTTGCAGCAGCTCCTGTGTGGGCTTGGCTCCCTTCCCTCATATTATATGACCTTTCGCCTTTCGTACTAGACCCATACTGGAACATGCCACCTGTAGATTCTGCTAGATCGGGGCAGTTGGGGACCTGCTGTAAAGAACGCTTTTCGACTGAGCAAGACTAACAACAATCAGACGCTGCTCATGTCAGTTTTGTGTAGGGTGTAGCCAAGGTTTACTCACGAAGACGAGGCTATAGCAGGGGCTTCGCCCCAACTGCCAGATACTTGGATTGCAGCTTCCCTCGCGATGTGCGGCTCCTTGAAGACCTCCAGGGCATGCGAGGATGCAGGGAAGGCATCAATTAAACATGGCAGCAGCGAAGGATTCTCAGGTTCCAGGTGTGCTGTCTCCAGCATGCTTAGCACGTGAAATTTCTGAGCGCAATGTTTTGCCAATGTGCCGCCTCGCAGGCGGACAAAGACTCGGCATCTGCAACAGAGCTCGTGATAAGAATCCTCGCCCTTGCTGGACTGCAGGGTGAGGAGACAAGGCCGTCAATGCTGTGCATCCGCCACGGCTTGAGGCCACACACCCGAAGTATCTCCAGAACAGCTGCCTCGCGCCCGGAAACCTCGGCGTACACATGTACATCATGAGCCATGCAAGCTGTGCAATGTGTGGGAAGTGAGCAGAACCGCACTACGCCACACGATCCACACATCGCCAGAAATCCCTACCTACTAGAGCAAGCGATGTACCGGACCAAATCGCGGCATGTCCACTGGAGTAAGCTCATGCTGAAGCCAAGCATAGGCCAAATGCATGTCGTCAATCACCACTCCAAAGTTGACCAGGGTTTGCCTTTGCTGTGGTGTCCACAGAGTTGGGATCACTTCCACCTCCTTCTCTGACAGGGGCCGGAAGCCATCACAAATCACCGGGACGGTTGTGATCCCGTTCTTCCAGGCAGTCGTAATTTCGCCAGCGCACCACACTCCTCGGTAATGACACCCTCGGCAAGGACTGAAATGCAGCGCATGTCACATCATGTCAGGATGAAGTGCCCAACAGTCCCACCTTGAAGCCGAGGCTCTTTTCAGCAACTCTGGTGTAAGCACGACTACAACACTCCTAGTGGAGGTCCGGACAATGTCGAAGAGAAAATCCAGGTTCTCGAGGTAATCACAATGCAGAAAAACACGAGCGGAAGTTTGCTGTGCAATAAGGATCTTCATCAGCCGGCACAAGCTGCCTGAACCGCCCTTGTGGTGGCAAAGGAAGACCCCAAAGAGTTGCTGCCTTCGCCGGAAATCGTTGATGGCCGCACGTGCAAGGCCGACGACCGCCACCACCAAGATTCCCACGACTGGCATGCAAAGAAGCCATCCCAACACTGCCGTTGACTCCTCCATGTCCAGCAGCAAGAGAGGTGCAGCCCCCAGCAGAACCAAAATTAGAAATGTCGTCAGAATAAGGTCAACGAGATTTGCACTTGCAGTACGCCATGGGCATGTGTAAGCTTGGACATTGTTAACGACAAGAAGAACTGCACCCATGAGTGGCACCTGAAGTTCTGGCAACCCAGCCAAGACGATCGGCAGAAGAGCTACGATGGCACTGCGATACAGCAGCACCAAGCCTGCAGCATCAGTGGACGTGTTAGCAGAAGGCATCTTCTATCAGCTTTCTAGTGGCATACTGGAGGCAACGAGCTTGCCCCCCAATGTCGACCAAGGAACCGTAGTAGTACTTCTCCGGCTTGAAGCGCTGAAAAAGGAAACGGTACCTGTTTGTGAAGCGAAGGCCTTTGCCGCTGCCCACGTGGGAGGGGTAGGTCAGAGTGGTAAATGTTGCCCATCCCAGGAACGCCGCGGGCTGCGTCAGGATGCCTGAGGTGCGTGCCGTCGTAGGACTTTCTAAATCACAAAAGCCGAACCCGAAGCCCCCGCCACCCCATTTCCCACCCGATGTCCTCCCACAGCAAGGGCGACGAGGGCCACGTGCTCGGTTGACTCGTAGCACATGATGCCAGGATGCGTTACCATGGAAGTGCTTCCGTTGGGGCTGGATATGCATTGAAATGGAATAAGAGTACTTCGCGTGATCGACAAGAAAAAGGCGAAAATCAACACCCCACAGTTGTGCACTAAGCTGTTGACTGGCTTCGGCCGTCCAAGCAGCCTTGAAAGCAGCCAACTAAGTAGCAGCAGAATGCATGCCAGTGGGCATGCCAGCATCTGGCTGACGAAATGCAAGGTAGGGCTGTCACTTCCATAGAGGCAAGTTATGCGGATGACGTGCAAGTCGAAGGTCATGACTTTGGCCAGGTTCAGCAGCGTCTTCACAGGCTCTTTCCACTGGATTGACAATTCCTGGATCGAGGTCAGGGCTTGAATTGCCATGATGAGCTGGCTGGTGATCGAGGCCGCCGTGAGTGCGCTCAAACCTCGCAGCAGCGAAGGTCTGCTTGAGTGTAAACTCTCGCAACTCGGGCAAGCCAAACGAGGTACAATGACTACCATAGACTATGCCATAAAAGTATAGCTATAGTACCTGTTGGTGATTCAACCCACAACGCGCCTCCTTCAAAGTGACTATGGGACACTATGGCTTGTGGATAGTGAGAGTTTCTAGGATATCTGGAAGTCCCTTCACTGCGGAATCCCTAATGCTGATGGTGGAGACTTTATGATGCGGCAGTATTAGTTTAAAGAGTTTTGAGAGTTGGCATGCCATGTACTGAAGGTGCAGTGGACACGCACAAACGAGTCAAATCCCTTGACTGAGGCCCAAGGTCACTGTATGACCCTGCCCTTCCGAAAAATTGAATTCGAGGGGACCTTATCAAAGGATGCTAGAAATTCCCCATTCAACCGACTCACCTGCGACTGAAGAGAGCTCATGGGGGTGGGGGGTTCTGCGCCATACACACCTGGAGCCAAAATTCAGGGTTTCAGCACTAGCAGTTGTGAGAAGGGTTTTTTTAGGGTTTTGACCGGCACTGGTTTTACACATGTGGGAAGCTGCGAAGCGCAGTTAGATTCGCAAGTAACAAGACGCATCCCGTCTGGCATGTCTAGGTGCAAGAGAGTTGCGAACACGGCTTGGGTCCACGGTGGAGATGCTCAGCAGATACAAAATGACGAGGACTAGCATGAGTACGAGAATCCCCGGCATGATGTCGGAACCGTTGCACGGCTGACACGTGCCACCTTCGGGGAAGTGGCGTTCCTGGTCAAACACACAGAAGTTTTTGGTGTTTTGGCTAGAGCTCGTCTGCAGTTCAAAGGTTGCAAGGCACGGACCTTGCAATTGTTGCAGGCTGGCCCCTCGCGGCCAAAGGCACACTCACCAACGGCTCCTTGGGGGCACTCGAAGCGATCCCGGCAGCGGAGAACAGAGAACTGGCAGGAGTCAGAGCCATTGGAAAGCTCCATGGCCCAGAAACCGCTCTGCTGCTGTGGGAGTGCAAGACCCTCGGGGCAGTGAAGCCCCTCAGGACATGGAAGACAGCCAGCTTCCCCACACATGAAGGAGCCCTCCGGGCAAAGACATTCCGTCTCTGACGTGGCACCGCTCTCCCGAGTGATTTGATTCTTGCCGCATGGCAGGCATTGAATGCCCTCTACGAAAGGCATATAGCTTCCTGCGGCGCAGCGGCTGCAGGCCTGCATGCCTGGGACGGGGGCCTCAAAACCCGGTAGGCAAGGAGTGCACTCTACAGAACCGATATCGCTTGCAAAGCTGCCTCCAGAACAAAGGCTGCAATTTGTCGTGCCCGTGCCATTTGCAAAGGATCCCCTGGGGCATGACACAGCTTGAGCGACAGGCCCTCCCAGGCACATCTTGCCACGTTGACACAATCGGCACTGCCCCGAGAGTTCGTCCTTGTAAAATCCTGGATCACATGAGTACAAGTGAGGTGGGGGATTGCTTCGTCGCGAACCATCCATCCACACCAAGTCCCTCTGAAACGAGAAGTCTGAGCTGGAAGGGTTGAAGAAGGCGGCGACGACAGCTTCACCATCGGCTTGCATGTTCAGGAGCTCATACGCCACGAGCCGATCGCCATTCTCATCGAACGTCACTTCTCCAGAGACACCCGTGAAACGGACCCGGCGCAACTCATCTAGGAGCAAGCGGCCCTGAACCGCACTGATTGCAATCCCTGCATGAAGAAGCTGGTTGATGGCAATGGCAAACGCATAGAAAGCATCGAAAGCGAAGCCAAAGTATGCATTTAGCCCCAGGAGTCCTCTGTTGATGTCCTCGATTGCACCATTTGCTAGTGGTTCCCTCATGTTGTCCAGCTTGTACCGCTGCCTCAACTCTACCTCTATCCCGTCCGCTGCTTCCAGTACAGACCATAGCCTCTCGAATTCCGGAAACAAGGCACCTTTGCCACTCGCTCTGAACACCATGAAGCCTGTCGGCCCTCGCCGGACAATCATTAAATCGGCGCAAGTGTCTGATCGTATGATGTGCCACTCTGGGCTGAGCATTCCCTCCTCGTCAAGAACGGACAGGAAGTCGTCGACCATGTCCCTCAGTGCGGGTTCCCAGAAAGTATCGGTGGTTCTCCAGCATGCAATGCAAGCACGACAATGGTGGGGCTTGCGTAGGGTTTGGTTCCATGGTGACAACGGATGGCCAAACATGCTTGAAGGGAGTCCTGGAAAAGGCCTCTCCAGGTGTACTGAAAAACGCCTTCCAAAAGTAGAGTTCAAAGCAACAGCGCATAGAAATGTCAGTAACTGTGCTTTTGTGCGGTTTCCCCCATTTGGGATGCCTCTGCGCTAATCGGCGAAATTTAGGCTGCACCAATGTCCACTGTCTATAGCACCTGAGTCTCTAGAGGTGCAACCCCGTGAAGTCTTCAAAACATGGCCGGGGCGCCAGGTCAAGAACAACATGAGGAAGCGAGAGCCGATCTGCCGTGCTGAAGTCGCGGCGTCACGAGCCTCCTCTTTGTCAAACTCTTGTGGCATGTAACGGAGGGCTTGGCCCTGGACACGCTCTTGTTGACCACTCCTTCGTGCAAGATCTTTGAGAGTGTCATAGAGGCCTTGGCCATACCCCTCGACGGTGTACACGCAAGACACCAATGCGACATCGAAGTGTAAAATCCAGCTCCAAAAGGCTCGCGCCTGGATGCTGTCCGGTGGTGCAGTTCGAAGGAAGAACGGGTATGCATCCTTGTTCGACAAAGCTGGGCTGGTGGCAGAGAAAGAAATCTGCGGGACTGTCTGCACAGCTGCCACAGTAGCAATGGGCATTGTGACTGACGAGTAGGTCGCGCCAATCAATCCAACCACAGGTTGCTCTCCGTCTAGTCCCCACATCATGTCCAAGGCGGTGGCCACGCCCACGTCCTGCTTGCCAGCAGTAGTTCCGCCTCGCAAGGTGATGGCACTTGCATTCGGATGAACCTCCACCGGCATGTCCACAATGCGTGAGCCAAATCGGGAAACGAGCGATGCATCCCAATTCTTCCGATAGTCCAGGTCAGCAGCGATCACGGCAAGCATTAGTGCTGCACTATCTGGAGTGAAATGCCCAAGAACTCCCAGAGGCAATTCGGAGGTGCCGCAGACACACCTTGCCGGACTGAAGGCATGCCCCCTAATGCATCCCTCCTACAGCTGTGCTGAAATGACTCAAGCGAAACTGCAAATCTGGAGAATTGCCGACCTGAAGTCCAGAAGCAGCCACTGCGCGAGGAAAGAAAAACGAAGCATCCCGCGAAGCTGCGCGCTGCTCGCTGACCCGATGTGTCACTGCGGATGGCCGTGCAACGTTGGGGGCGGAAATAGTTCAGAAAGCGAATCCTGCTGTCTGTGTGCTTTTATTCCCGAGGTCACATCAGACTGGCATATCGATGCATGTCGACAATACTAGTAGTGATGCTCGCTGCTGCTACGTGCAAGCCTCTGCGGCAGGGCATGCAATGTGATTTGAACACCCGACTTACAGCCTCAGTCATGTTTCGCTCAAAAAGTGCGCGCTGCTGTCTACATGAGGCAGCACCCGAGATCACATCAAATCGGCATTTCGACAATGGTGAACTGCGCACCAGAAGTCTTGACTCGTCAATGCCGCTAACGCTCAAGATGTGAAACGTCGACGGCCCGTCTCAGGATTTCTGCTCGCCGTCCTCCTGCTCTTGCTACAGACGCAGGGCATTCTAATCCTTGGTTTCCCCCCGGGGTGGCGCCGTCTCCTGCTGAGGGAAGGGGCCCTCCAAGTTTCCGGTGGTGATGGCGATTCCATAAACCTCGTGTTACTTGGGGTTTCGGGTGCCTGAGAAAACATTGGCTGATAAGGCTGCTGAGTCTTTTGATCAATCTTTCTGATGTCAACTAGTGCTGCCAGGTGGCCAAGCCGGCGCCCGCAGAGAAAGGAACCAGGATATCCCAAAAGAAGTCCGATGCACCCAGAAGTGCCTTGGTTGGCATGCATATACCAGTCCTGCAGATGGCATCCAGGATTGTACAAATCTGAGATGTCAGCCGCGTCCGTGTCGGACATCCTCGAAAAATACATGTTGGAGTTTTTGCTCGTGTAGCGTACATTGGTCAGTTGTTTCTGGAAGCTGCGATGCCCGATACTTCAGCTCCAAGCAACATCCCCAAAACGTTCAATTGCTACGACCACTGCTGAAGGTCTGCTCAGTAGGTGGCTGATCGATCATCTGGTTGCGGATTTGGTCGGGGTCAACACCGGCTGCAGCATAGTATGCCTTTGTTCAGTGCGCATTTCCACCGCGAGTGTCGCAGTTTGAACTCTGAATAACTTGAAAGTCATTGACATCACAGAAAGCTCTTGTAGAGTAAATATGCACATGTATATGTAGGGAGAGAGAGGGGTGTATATACAAAATTAAGTGTGTGTATATGTGTGTGTATACATATATATATATATATATATATATATGTATACATGTATGTGTACATTGACCCTCCAAGACTGTAGCGTAAGAACAAGAGCGGGTTTCACCAGCCACAAACTCAGGCCACAGCGTCCTGGTTGATGTCTGCCCTCGCTGGAGCAGGTGCCAGAACCTTGTTTCGGGCTGCAGGGCCGCTAAATGAGCGTGAGGCTGCTGACACTGCAGTACGGGCGATGAACCTGTTCGCCCATGTCCTGTACTCTGAACATCGCGAGTCGTGGTATGTAGTTACCTATCATCCTGATGTTGCAGTACTGCACAGCTAGGACACAGCTTGGCCCCAATCATGTCAATATGCTCGAATTTATTCATGGAACCCCAGTCCCACTGAGTGCATCCAAGGAATGGATGAACTGCTGTGTTAAATCTTTATTAAACAAAGACCTAGTTAAGATTTCGCGATGCAGAAGCTACAAGTAACTCCGAAGCAGGAGCGTCGTGCGGCTTGAAGCCCCCCACATCATATGTATTCATACGGCCCATCCACCGCGTTTGAACTGGTCTCTTGAACCTCTTGGCGGATGGTCGCAGTGATACAATGTCTATATCCCTTCGCAACTCGACGGGGAAAACAGGCACACGCCTGCGCGAGACCGAGCGCCATCAAAGGCTGTGCCGCTCTGGCAGGGACCTCGAGATGGGCATGGCTCATGGGGGAGTTTGTTCTGAATTAGTGATCCCTCTTTGTGCCCATTATTGGTAGCTCACCTTGTCATCGTCAACAGTACCAGTAGGATTCTACTGCATGTGCTTTAGTCCTCGGCAGAGAGGTTTGATTTGAGCAGAGTTCCTTGCCACCCAGCTCTTCACTGCAGCTGTCTGTTGTGACATCTTCGAACGGTGCCGGGGCGGGACAACAGCCCCCAAATTCTATGAGGGACGCCATTCACTCCTTGAGTGATCCTTGCTCGCTGCTCTTGCGCGACCGTTTTGGTTGAGCCCTACAACTATGCGCTTACATCCGTCACGCAACTGGCTGCGCCGCTGCGCTACGCTGCTGGTTTCGAGGATGCTTGGATCAAATCTCGCCATCTATCCCAGATCTCATCGACACTTCCGGACAGTGGAATTTCGCAGAACAGGGTCTCAGCAGCCTCACAAGGCCCGAACAAACGATGGGGTTGGGCATGCCCAGGCCGCAAATGCCTGAAGTCGTCGCAGGCTCAGATCATGGCAGACTTGCTCAAGACAAATTACCCGCTCAAGGGCTTCTGATGCATATTGATAGACATAGACATATATATATATATATATATATATATATCTATATACATATATATTTGGTTATAGATACACAATACTGTATGTAGATGTGTACATATGTGAATGTATGCATGCATGTACGTGTGTCTATGTATGTGTGTATATATGTATGTAAATGTCATGTTGAAGCTCGATCCGAGGCGCCAGGACAGCGACTCCCAGCAGGCTTCTGCTCCTGGAAGCCTTCATGTCACCTCCGACCTCCTCGGAATGCGTGGGCGCAGGGGCAGAAAAAAGACTGAAATCAACTCCAGCAAGAGCCTCGACGCTACGCGGGTCTCAGGCCCAAGCGCCCCCACAAGCCACACAACTACGTGCGGGATGGAGCTTGAGCTCAATTGCTGGTCAAGGCGATCATCAAAATGCACCACTCTCTCCGGGCAGACAAGACTTTGTGCAGCTTCTCCAGGCTCCAGCTCTAAACTTGCTCACTTCGAGGAATTCCAATATCACAGCTCTCGCTCAGATCTTGCACATTTTATAGTGCTGATCCTTTCCCCGCCTCACTCCGCCTACTACTGCCTACAGCCAGTGGCAAAAACAATTTTGCAAGAGATTTCACCTCCACAGCTATCGCACATTGTATAGTGTTGCGGCGATGTCTCACGGGATGCTAAACAGAAGCCGTCCGATCTCACAGTGGCTTTGGCGTGGTTGGCGAGCCACGGCGAGCCAGCTTACCCTGCAGACATCGAGAAGTCGTCAACTGCGTCAAGCACGTTCGTGTCCGGACATCTCTGGAAGTGAGGGTGTCAATACCGTGCAGCTGTTGGCAGCGGTTATCGCTTCTCCGATTCTTGCAGTAAACTGCGCCACATCTTCCGGTGCCCTGCGTGCCCATGTGCCGGGAGCCACTCTTGGAAAGCACGGGACTGGACTGAGGACCGTCCGAGGCCAGGGACGTCCAGACTCGTCAAACTTCACGCGCCTGTCTAACGATGGTGCCATGACAGCCATGGTGTGGACCCCGGCCAGTGTCAGACTGCCTGCCTCGCTTGAACGAGGGGACTGCGTACGTTCAGGCCTCAGATGGCGATTGCATGCCCTTTTGGGAATATACAGTGGCTGTAGTGACTATAGTGTCGTTGCAGCACAGGCAAGCACTTGGTTTTTGATAGGTATCACCGTCCGAAACTGTCAAGCGTACTGTACGGCACTAGGTATTGCACACTGGGCCCAGCGCGTTGCCATTTCAAGTTCTTGTTGAACAGCCATCCACCCCTTGCAAGCGCAGTTGTGTTGTATACACTTGAACCTCTCCAGCTCCAGCAGATCTTGCAGGCGTAAGAAGTAAATCACAATGCACAATCTGCTATCTGTTTTCGGCCATCTTCCTTCGGAAGGCATCGTGTGATCAAATCGGCGGTGAGATCGGGCACGAGACGACGGGTATTCTTGCGCCTCCAAATACATGCATCGTGGTAGGCAGGCAAACAATAATTTCAGAACTGGTTGAACATAATGCGCTTAGTTACACTTCTAGCTGTGAGGCTGACGGTCGGGGCATCGATGGCTTGCGGTCGGAATTCCACCAACTGCAAACGCTTGCAGGCGAATTGGTGCATAAACGTCGCCATGCTGGGGTTCGGGTGCATTGTCTTCCGGAGTGTTTTCCCCGACGTGCCCTAGCTCGACCCAACCCCCAGTATGGCAAAGATTGTCAGAGCCTATCTGCCTGGCATGTGCACTAAAAACTTTCCAGCCTTGCCGATACCCCGAGAGCGCCACGGGCTGCTCTTCCTGTGCTGGGCACCATTCCGGTCCATCTGGCGCTGGTCCCTATGGAGCTCCCGATACGCTGGAGACACGCCATAGGCGCGAAGAACCCCGTGCCTTGAGTGCAGCGCCGGGCTACGTGCCTCGACTCCGCGATTCAATGGGCGCCCGGCAAGGGATGCATCGCTGGTGATGCCTGTACGCATTGGCGGCGGAGAACGATGTTCGGCATGCGCGTTGTGTGGACGCCGTGCCGTGTGTACAGGTGCTGGCGCCACACCATGCGCAGCCAGGCTCGTCAGGTGTCTTCCAGGCTTTCCCGAAATCCCAGGCGGCTGTGGCACACTTGCTTGCGGAAGCGGAGGGTTCGCCAACAATCCTGACAGCTTCTCGAATTCAATTGGCTACTGGGCATGCAGTAGGAACGGAAGTGCATGCGTTTGTGTTGCGAATCAGTACACAGGTGCTGGAAACGTGTTTGTTTCTGGGAGGCATGTCTGTTAGCTTCCGAACATGTGACAAGCCCGTCAACCCGCCCCTGTGCAGGGGGACTGCATCCGTGCCATCATTCTCTTACACCCCACGAACAACCGATGGATACCACGTGGGAGCCCAAGAATGACTTGCCAGCCAAACTACCCCACCCCTCCCGATGAGCCAGACAATGGACGCAAGAGACTCTCGACAGGATTCGACAGGTATATGCAGTTATCTTCGGGCGGTGATGTGCCAGATTCAGGCTGCAAGATGCTGCAGGAAGATACCGCACTGTTGCAGCGGACATTTTAAAAGAGAACGGGTGAGTTCTGCTGAAGCGAGGAAGCAACTTGCCTGCCGCCAGGGCTCTTGGTACTTTGCCCCGGTCCTCTTGCAACGAGGCAATTCCCTTGATCTGCGAAGCCAAAGGCACTTCCAGGGCTCTCCAATTGATGGCCTTGTCCTCAGTCTACTTATCCATTGAGTCCAGCATTGTGTGGTCGCATGAACTAGGGGCTGGGCATGCATTGATAAGCATCGCTCCAATTCAGAGGCTTCTCTTGGAGTCACCTCGCAAAGGTGGACTTAAAATTCGACGAATGTCGACAAAAGTGTTTGTACGCCCGGAAAACCACCCGCCTGCCCGACGCAGGAGGCAGTGCGTTCGCGCTGCCGCAGGGGTCGGTTGTCCCAGTGCTCGAATTCATCTGTCTCCTGCTAGGTAGCTGCAGCTACTATGTCCGGAGCATACCTTGCAGACTGTACTGCTACAAACAGCTGACATCCCAGAGGGGGCACGCCACTCAACTTCCTTCAATCGCTACACGATGGCAAGGAACAAGAACTCAGAAACTGCTGCACGGAATTCCCAGCAGCGCCAGAAACTTTATAGCACTTATAGCTAAAAGTGTCGTCTTGAATGTACTGGTACCTGCAGCCTCTCCTTTGCCGCCGGCGCCCAAGCTTGCATGATTCGCAATGGCCCATGATCTTGTACTGGCCTTGGTTTGGCTGGCACCGTCAAATCGCTCCAACGAAACGTGAAACTCTAGCTCAGAGTGCGCGATCCTCGACCTTGAAGCAAGACCTCATGGCCAAGCTGCATCTCCGAGGTTGCACCAAGGAGGAAGGCTCGATCTCCGAGCCTCCGTGAGGCTGATGCTTAGCTTGATTTCCGTCACCACCCACAAGCACGTATGTAATCATCAAAACCAGTGCAGGTCCGCATGCAGACTGAGCGTGTAGCCGCATAGGTGCAGATCGGTGGTCAGAACTATGTAAACGATTGTAAACGGATACGTAAGCAAAAAGGTAGATCGACACGTGGATACACACGTAGCACATATTCGATCACGGAGAAACAAGACACCATCCATGTGGGTACGCTTACGCTCGGACATGCCTGCAACATCCTGCAAACAAATCTGCATATATGATGCCGGGCCGGAGCCCCCCGCCTCCCCCCCCCCCGGCACCTCATGGTATCCTACAACCCGCCCCCCCCCGCCTGTGGTGTGGTGTCAGGGGTCTTGCTTCGGCTCCTGGTCTCTTGGCTTCGTCGTCTGCCCCCCTGTTGTGGTGCCTCTGGTGTTCGCCATTTGTTAAGGTATGCAGGAACATCGGCCCTCTCTCCAAGTTTGAGTCTAAGTGCTCCAGGATGCCACCAAGCAGAAGCTGCAATCTTGGCTGACTAGTCGCATGCTGTGCTGTTGTACTTACATTGGATTGGCTGCTGCATTAGCTAGCAAACCCACACAGGTATGCTTGCAGCTAGTTGTGAGTAATTGTACTGTCGTTCTCATTGCGATTCCTACTACGCTGGAAGTGGCGGTTTTGCCTGTTTTCCTTTGCCGATGGTGCCTCTGTCGCTGTGGTCAGGCTGTGGTATAGCCGTCGCTCTGGCGAACTCGCGGAGCATTGCATTAACACCCGACGTCTTCCTTTTTTTAGTTTGGGTGGTGGGTTCTGTTCCGGTGCGACCCGTGTTTCGCAACTTGCCGCCGCAAACAAAAAGACAATCATCAAATCAAGATGTCGTACGAGCTACTTCTGCCAGGCTCCAGATGGGAAGTTGCCCCGCATGTCGAAAAGTTGCGAGAGTCAGGGGAAACGTGACATATCTATATTTATATCTACATGTATAAATAGTATAACTATGTACAGACAAACAAATGACAAACACTTGTATGTATATACACGCTCGTCGAGACAGGAAGCAAAAGTTCAGAACAGGCATGCACAACACATGTATGCAGACATACACACGTGTACATACACACATATAATATTGACTTATGTATATAAATCTACAACATACACTTTTAGATGTATACATACACAAACTCACCTGAATGCCAAACACCGCAACGCAAGTATATATCTGGCAATGTAGACATGTGTGCTAGTTTTCGGCTCATGTACTTGCAACACCCTTTGCAAACATGTTTTTGCAACTCATGTCGTTGCATTGGTTGCGGTATGTCGGGAGTTGCTTCGCTGCTGCACTTTGCAGCCATATGTTTTTCTGGGGCTTGAACATCGTGTTTGAGCGTTTGATGTTTGAGCAGTACGTGGGCAGGCAAATCGGCCAACCGATGGGGAACAAGTCATGTATATCCGTGTGTTCTGACACGCGAACGATGCAAACCAATCTGGTATGCAGCCATGGCCGCGCCGTTAAAGCACCGCGACGAAGACCTTTTTTCATTATAATTATGTCAGGTAGCTGCCCCTGTGGCTCGCTAGGGAGACTCTTCCGCTGAGCCAAGATGTGGTCGTTGCGCAAGCGGAGTTGTTCACGAAGCATCACAATCCTTGTCGGCATGGGCATGTAACGACCAAGGCAACACAATGCTCACTCACTTGGGACTGCTGCAGCACCCCACCTTCAGGTGGAGCCCAGCTCTACAACACTAAATTGTATAGTAACGAAACATTGAAATACTACATGGACATGAGGATCCCGGCGAGGGGGATTCTTCCAAATTGTATCAGTAGGATCCTCCTTGGCGCGACTTAGACTTCGGCGCCCACACTCGGACAAGCCAGGTGAGGTTATTGTTGCTGAGTCGTGAGTCGGGGGGACTCGCTCCAAGTCTCTCCAAATCTCGGTCTTCCAGCTGTCGACGGTGGATCTCCCAGAAGTGGTCCAGCTCCAGGCGCTCGTATTCCAAGACCTGTGCGTGCATCGCTCACAGTTCCTGCATCGCTTGTAGTTATAATTTTTTGGCTCCCAAATCAGTGATAAGATATAAATGTGACTACTGTGCCAGGACGAATCTTAAAGTGCCACAAGTTTCTTGATGGCAGAAGACTGACAGAACCTTATGATGAAGCGGTCGACTTGTGTACTCAATCTGCGCGAGAACCAACAATGCTCGCATCGTCTTGAACCATGTGTTTTTTTGTGAACGCTGGGGTCATCGAACGGCAAAACAAGAAAACACGAGCGTTTGTCTGGGAAAACAGTCCTTGAGATCGTCTCGAAAAGTCTTGGGCCGGAGGGTAGGGGGAGAGGACTGTGCCGCCGACCGAAGAGAAGAGATTCTGCACATGTTGTCTGAAACCTCGCCGCAGAAGCTTCAAGAACTCCTACCATTCCGGGCTCCCCGCGAGTCGCAATTTCGGCATGGTGGTGAGATGCGGTGAATTAACGAAGGCCCGAGGCGCTGGAGGCACTTGCGGAGTGCACTATTCCGGCATGGCGACTGGTGCTTGCTTTTAGAATTTGTCCATCTTGGATCGGTCACAACCTTTTGTCGCGCGTCAAGGAAGGCACGTCGGCCGTCGGACTGGCTTCAAAAACAGCAGCAATTTACATTCCCCTTTTGCTCGAGGGACGTCATCGCAAGGAATAAATCTTTGGCACTGCACACACACACCAGCGGAACATCGGCTTAGGCCGGCAAGGTTAGAACCGAGGCATTAGAGAGGCTGCGCAGCTTCAGAAGTCCAAGCCCCCCGGGGAATTGGAGCTCCACGAGCTGTAAGCAATCAGAAGCTCGATGAACCTTAAAGCCTTGAAATGCAAGTCTGATGCGGCAGGCCTGCACTCGCTGAACCAACTCGAGGAAGGCCCGCAAGTCCTCGCAGAAGGTTCTCTCATCTTCTCTGGAATCGGGCTTTGTGGGAGGGCTGTGACCGCTTGCAACTCTACACCCCGCTGCCACACCTCAAGTTGCAGCCAATGTGATGCTGCACCGAACCAAACAAGAAGCAATTTCGCGCACGCTACTGGGCTGGTTCTGGGACTTGTGCGCACTCCTCGTTGAGTACTCGCCGTGGCAGCTGAGCTTGGAGTTCTTTTCCTGCACAGGAAATGAGCCATGAATCCATGAAGATGCACTTGCCGTTTGCCGTTTGGGGATCCATGAACCCGTGCCCCATGCACAGCTGCAACAAGTCGTTAACAATAGGCCTGAGAGTTTGCATCTTCAACGGGACATCGGGTACTAATTCCGTGGCCTGCTTCTTTGTTTTGCTGCAGTCTTCTCGCAAGAGAGCGCCGCGTCTCCGCATTCTCGTTCATGTTCTCTTCAATCTGGCTGACCTGACTAGTCAAGATGTCCGGTGTTCTGAGGAAAATCTAGAACTGCTCAATTGTGCCATTCTGCCGGGTGCAGCGGCACTTACCGCTGCCACGACACCAAATCCTTCCACTCCTCCAGGGTCTGTGGCTCTGCCGATAGGCGGGGTCGACCAGGTGTGCCAGCCTGCCCGCTGCGGTTGCATCTCGACCATTTGCCATGTCTCTATGGGAGTTAGGAGTAGGGGGGGATACAGACCCTCTCAATAAGGCCCCCTTTAAGAGAGCCAGAAGTAGGGTTCAGAAGGGGTACCCTTTAAGGGGTCTCCCTAATAATACTACCTACTCTTCACTGTCTGACCGTCTAAGTCTAACCCTGACGTCGCTGCCGAGCTGCATGCTGGCGATCCTCGGCGCATGGAGGACTACTCGGGCGCAAGCGGCAAGCAAAAGGAATTTAGGACTAAGATGCAAACAGGTGTCACGCCGCTACAGAGCGAGGAACGAATTACTGTAGACGACCTGTCTCGCAAACCGAGGGGCTTCCCAGTAGGCGATGACCTCCTTGGCGTGATCAAGCTCCACACGCCATTGCACCAAGGCCTCAGCTACAGGGTCACTAGTGCTGCTACAAGCGAGCGAGCGAGCAATGAGATGTCTTCCGTGCCGTGATTGCGGTGAGTGTCTACAGGCCCAGTCCAGCTCACGCAGCGAGCGAGAGCAAGGCTTCAGAACAGCATGCTTTTCTGGCAGTTTTCTAGTGAGGCTTTGATCTCCAATCACTCTGTCCCTACCGGCGCGGCTTTCGCACGGACTCTTCGCGTGCTTCACAGCTTCTCATACGAGGCGACAGCAACTTCTGACTGCCAAATGACTCGCGCATGGTTCTAACAGAATGACAGCATCGTGGCCAACTTGGGGTCTATCAGAGATGCTTGTCCACACGTGCGAATCCGGAAAGAGCCCCCCCCACCCCCAAAATGTGCCTTCTCCACATCGAGAAGGGAGCGCTGCAATGAGGACCGACTCTCCTTAGAGGGCTTCTGGCTGTGGGGTTCCTTGTCCTTATTATAATTAGAAGTTATTGCATAGTATACCCCAGTATTATAATTACAAGATACAATATAATATGCCCCAAAACTATGCTAAGTCGAATTATTCAGGCCCCTATGTTATGCTTGCTTTTGCGGGCTTCAGAGACGGAAAGCTTTCTTGCCTGGCCAGGCTTCCTAGACGCTGGGGCTTGCATGTAGTACCCTGTGATCAACGAGCACAGCTATCTGATGCCCAAATCGCTACGGCAACATACAGCAACCTCACCACCTGTTTGGAATCAATGAAACTGAATCCTTGCTCTAGGGTAAGATTAACAATACTCCACCTGTCTCACGAAATCCCGCGAAAGGACCCGCAGAGGGATGCCAATCTTCACAGGAGTAGAAAGCCTTGAAGAGGCAATGGGAGTTCTCGGGGAGTCCTTATCCATGGTCTCCTTTGCAAATTCTACACCTTTCCTCAAGCCCAGAGCTGAAAAGCCTCAGGATCTAGGCATGTAAACTCCAAGGTTCCAGATTCTTGATGATCTCGAGCTTCCAGTTCTCACTGGCCTCCTTTAACTCGGTCTCCCCGCCGACCTCCTTCTCCGCCTACAGCACGAAAGGGAAGCGGCTTGCTTGCAACCGTGCAAGAGATTTCTTGTCTCAAAACAGCAAGTTGCAATTCTCACCCCAACCTTACCTTTGGTTAGTAGGGAATGGAGGAATGGTAGTAATAGTAGTTATGATTGTACCCCATTCCTCCATTCCGTACTAACCAAAGGTAAGCAACCTGGGACCTGAGAAGACCCGAGCTCTTCGGAGGAACCTCTAAGTCCTGCAGCTGCTGCGTTGCCGCCCGCTGCACCAGCTTGGCTTTCAGAAGTGCCGCCTCGAAGCAGTAGTTGATTCCCGGTGTCATGGAAGTTTCCGAAAATTAGGGGTACCTTTTGGAATCCTTATAATAAGGATCCCACTACTTAGGGTAGTATATCAGGGTCCCCTAATTTCGGAAACCCCATGTAGCTTGCGCAATGCCCGACTGTGCCACACTGAGTGAAGGGGCTCACTCAACAATCGGCCTCCTGTCGGAGGTCCGAAATGGCATGCTCGTACTGTCCTGGGCAACGAATTCAACAGACCCCTTTTCCGCTCTGTTTGTTTCTGGGAAAGACTCAAGGATTGGGCAGGACATGCAGGTGTGTCAAGTCAGGGCCTTTAACAGTTTTTGCTGCTGTGCTCTGAGAAGTGCCAAAAGGACAGTGGGCAGTCACCGTCGCAGGCAGAGCGCTTCTAACGCAGTCGCAACCTGAGAGCAAGTATAGTGACATCTTCTTCAAAAGCTTCGGAACTCTCCGGCTTCTCATGCGACCATCTCCCCCTGACTAACGCCTGCCGCTCCAGCGCTCCACATGGAGCTGATCTTGCATCATCCGCACTGATGAAAGTTTACGAAAATAGGGGACCCTACTATAGTACCCTATATAATAGGATCCTTATTATAAGGACCCGCGAGAAACTCCCTGATGGCTTTCGGAAGCTTTAGGTTGGCAGTAACGTCGACACCCAGGCTGAATTGCGAAGCACGCGCAAAAGCTGCCGGGCTTCCACATGTGATGCACGAATCGTGCATTGAATCGCTGGCTATTTTATTTGCAAACGAGGCTCTGACGTGGTCGTCTGGCTGAATCAGGTTCTGCGAGGTGCTCACTCGGATGTTTTTGGCACGGTTGGCGTACTTCAACGTGTTCAGGGTGTCTTCATAGCTCAGATGGCTCGGTGAGATGTTGGCGATCATCATCGTCCGGCAGTTTCCACCTAAAGAATCCTTCAGTAGCCTGGTCAACTTCGAATCTCGGAATGGGACGAAGCCAGAGCCGGAGGCCAAAGCATTGATGCAATTGCCAAGTGCCAGTAAGGAGCGATTAATGTTGGCTCCCTCCAGTAACCGAAGGCCGCTGTTGTGCGTCTGGGAGGCCCTCTCCGAGCCGGCCAGGTCGATCATGGAGAGTTTGCCAACCGTCCCTCCTCCTTCTGGGTTCTTGGGATCTCGACGCTCCACCCTCACCTGAAACACTGCATGAGACCGCGAGGAGGTCACGTTCATCGCCTCAGCCGGGGATCCCCCGATAGAAAAAGAGCTAATGAAGCTCGATGTGTTCTTGAATGTTTTGAGGCTTTGGCCGTTGGCTCTGTAGTCCTTCGTTGGTTGCCCTGTTGCAGCAACTCCATGACCTGCTGGACGGACTGTGCCTGCCAAGGCAGCGAGATCCAAAGATGATCTCGGGCCAAACAGCCGACTACGATGTTGAGTGCAGGCCTGGATCTCGGTAACGCCGGCCAGCAACGGTCCTGGCGATCACCGCCACTTAAGTCGACGAGCGACCAGACAGCATCGTCAAGATTCACGCCCTGCCTGGCTATGCCAAATGCAAGCACTACTGCTACAGGCGTCACCATCCGTTTCAGCCGCTAATTAGACGGCGAAGACCCAAAAGGATGGAAACGTGACAGAAAGGGACAAAGTGGGGGGAGAGTAACGACGAACCAACGGACAGTCAAGAAATGTCAAGCAAGCTGACAAATACAACAACAGAGAGACACCGACCCACAGACCGGTAGAGGGACGGACAGGCAGGCAGGCAGAGATAGGCAGAAGCGGGAAGGATAGCGACCGACAACAGCCGGCGTAGACAAACACGACAAAAAAACAGCAAAAGCAAAAAGAGCGAGAGCGAGGGGAAGAATAAAGTTTGTATAACAAAGACTATTATATTCGTTTCTTCCTAGTGTTCATTCCCCCTCCTCAACTAAAGCAATTCGATTTCGGCCGGCAAGATTCAATCAGCGGTAGCTTGCAGTCCTTGCTGCGACTACTCCTGCTACTTCCACTGCCACTGCCACCACCACTACCACTAGCACCGTGGCACTACCATTACCACTACCAATACGACGACGACGACGACGACGACTACTACTACTACTACTACGACTACTACTACTACGACGACTACTACTACTACTACTACGACTAGTAGCACCACCACCACGGGTACCACCACCACTACCGCTATCACGACCACTTCTACTGCTTCTGCTCCGTAGGAGAGGACGAGGACGAGGAGGAGTAGCAGAACCTTAGTAGCGGTAATTAGCAAGAGTAGTTGTAGTCGTCGTCGTAGTGGAGGTAGTAGTGCTCGTGGTAGTTGGTGTAGTTGTACGCAGCGGCTGCAGCATTTGATCTACTACTTTGCTCCGGTTCCGGGTAAAGCCAACAGCTTTTGACTCTGTAGCTCTTGCGGATACAGGGTCAGCAGTGCTCCTGTGATCGGATCCTCCCGCAAGTCGAGCATCCCTTCTCGGCCGTCTCGGGAGCCCAAGTCCCGCAGAACCTCGTTGTAGACTTCCACGAAGGAGCCTGTATGAATTGCAATCAGGCCAGCCGAAAGCTTTCACTTGCGGTCACTGATTTGAAGCTTACGTTTTGCACCCGCATACATACGGAGAGCAAAACAATAAAATCAGTAAAACTGCCCAACTGCGGGCAGGGATCAAGCAACAGAGACACCATGGTCCTGTCCAGGAGCCGATCTGGCGAACAAGCCGGCAACTGTGCGGAACATGACACCTGGTTCGCCAGGAGTGCCGATCCTGAGCCCAGTCTGGGCATGGATAGAACACAGGCTTCAGCTCAAGCACACATGCGGGCACCAAAACTGCAGCAGGTCACGGCTGGCTGCACATGAAAGACTTGCGCCAAGATGCATCGTAAAGGTCTTGCCAGCTCCCGTTGCCCCGTAAGCGAAAACGCTGCAGTTTAGGCCTCGCACTTTGCTGGGCAGCTTGAGGCAATGGAGTTACTAAAGCTGTGATCAAGCTTATGCTGACACAACCAGAAAACAATGCAAGACACAAAAAAGGGAGGCTCTGTGTTACGCTTTGCATGAACTTCTCCAGCTGCAGAGCGAGTGGCCGGCCAGGACGCTGTCTGCAGGGGACGTGGATAGGGTCAAGTTTCTGGTTTCTCATGATGCAAGCAGAGAATAGCCGAAGTAAGTACACATAATAGACCGCGTAGTGGCAGAGAATCTATCCCCTCTAGTCCTCCGAACTCTTCACTGCTGCGCCTATCAGAGGCTCGGCTGTCGCATTGAAGAGGACTCCATTGTCCTTGTCGCAACTGTTCCACTGCACAAGGCTTTCGCTTCTACTGCCCCTTGCAGAAAACATCGGACCTAAAACAAATTGCCCTGAAACAGTCTCAGTCTCCGTATCTGCGCCAAAAGCTTGGTCGAAAGCAAACCTTTTCTCCTGCAGGTGAACTCAATTCCATCTGCAGAAGGCTACATGCACTTTCCATGACTTTGCATACGCCTGTCCTTGGACTTGTCGTGCCTGAGGTAGTCATTCGATGCCTCAGGCGTTTCACAGGCACTACTTGTGCCGGCTGAAGATGGGTGAAGGACAGATTTACGCTTTCGCGCCACCTCCCCCCACCCTCCCTGACAAGTCCAGCTGCAGCACCAGGGTCCAGAAGGATGACCAAGCGGCGGTCCATGATCTGAGTGCTTGGACATGGGATCTTGGGAGGTGTACTTGTACTTGAGTTGCCGTTCACAACACAGAACAAGCAGACACGAACAGAAAACGGCAGTGATTAACAAAGGACAGCTAAAGCAGCACGAAGAAGGAAAAAAGGCGACAGCGGAAATGCACACCGACCAAGAAAGACATGTGCCTGCATTGTACGTCACATTTCTTTGATCCGGAAGGCCCCTACATCTGCCCTGACTCTCCATTCCTCCAACCCTCCCCTCCCTTCTCGTGTCGCAAAAGATCAAACCCTCCAATGCAGCGACCTCAACCCGGGCGCGGCTCAGTCACCCTTAAAGAACAAGTACATGGCGTCTACTGTGACCACGTCGAGATCCGGGCTCTGCAGACGTCAAAGACCTCATGGTTCCGCTCCGTGTCCGACAGCCTCGCAAGTCAAGTCACGGGCCAAAATCGGGGTGAGCCTTGTCATAGCCTGGGGCCCATTCGAGTTCCTGTGGCCGTGGCTGTGTCGTCAAACCAACAATAATGATCAGTTTGACTCGACGACGAATTCATCGTCCAGCATGCAATCCGGTGCGATTAGGACAGATGTCTACTTGCACGAAACTCGCCCACCCTCTTTTGCAAAAGCAGCCATCTCGTGAAGCCAGGGTGCGGTCTGCAGCGAACGGCGACGCCTCAGTTTCCGTAAGGGTCGACATGCTCAGGCAGGCCTGGCTGCTGTAGATTACCATGCATGCGGTGCAGGGTGACATCGACACTAGTGACACTAGTGTAAAGCGATCAAGACCAGGCCACAAATCCTGCTCTCATCTTCGCCCAAAGTCGTGCTAGACATGGGATGCCTCAGCTCTGTTGGCCATTAGCCCAACATGGCCCCCTCACAGAGAGACTCGCTGAGAGAATCCGCAAGAAGCCGCCATGAGCGGCCCAGATGCACAGCACTTCCCGCAGCTCGTCTCAAACAATCAAAACCCTGAACCCCCAAACACTTACCTTTGGTTAGTAGGGAATGGAAAAAGGTAGCAATAGTAGTTATAATTATTTGCACCCCATTCCTGCATTCCCTACTAACCAAAGGTAAGACCAGTCTTCTGCCCAGCTGCCGCAGTTAGCGGGATCTGCCCTGCTGACGCACCGGCAGCGAGAGGCGCCATGCCACCGACATGCAACAACATGTGGGTGGTTGTCAAAATTATGGTCCCTGTTTGGGTAGCGTGAATATTAGGTGCCGTATTAAAATAGGGACCCAAAAAGGTACCATAATTTTGACAACCACCCATGTATAGTATACAATGATCTGGCCCGTACCGACATATATTGTGCTGATAACTGCTCTAGAATTTAAGGACACCATCATGGCCAGACCTGTCAGTTGGTTACAAGCATGGCTAATGCGAAGGGTCTCAATGCAAACACCCGCCCAGTAACCATGTATAATTTCCTTTAAATAAATGCAGCGGAATCCATGACAATAGCTCAACAGCCAGGCTTCGCCACAACTGGGGCGGTACATGACGGCGCTTACCACCAAGCGCTGGTCTTCCATCTTCGCCCGTCGCCGCATCCGAAAGATGAGCGACTGCACCCGCAAGACCCGACGAAGAATCCCGAAGCGGAAAGTTCAATCGCACCCTGTCCTGGCCTATGTCACCTATGTCTATAATTATAGGCCCCTGGAAGAAGCCCTCAGCCGAGGCTCGAGCAGTGCGCTGGGCTTGCTGCACCTGAGCTCTGCTCTGGGTCCCCGGGCTTGTGCGGGGCAAGTAATGCTTGGCGTCCACCACTAGGGATCAAACCAGAAACATCTTGGTTAGATTGCCGATCGTGGACAGGATGCCGGCCAACCTTGGTGAGCAGAATCATACTCCAAGGGCCCTGTACGGCCTGTAGCTGAAGTGTCTTGCAATGCCAGCTGGTACTCTTTTGAGTTCCTTGGCCGCAGCTTCAAATGAAAGCCATCCTCACTCGCTTTCGCCCGGCCCAGGTTCCTGGCAGCTTGGCGAAGAGCCACACATTTTAATAAGCTTTCAGATGCACAGCCTGAAAAGAACACTTAGCGCAAAGTGTTGGAGAGGTCAGGCCTCTTCGATTAGTTCCTTGGCACATGTCGGGCAGCATGGCAGAGTCATGCAATATCCAAGGCCACGAACTGGCTTGCGACCAAAGTTCGTAGTTTACAGGGCAATCGATCCCCACGCACTGCACCTGACCCATGAGAACTTCATGTGATCTTCTTCCGTCCCTCCAGCAGCTATGGCCTACTGCAACAGAATGTTGTTACAGTGTCAGGGCGTCAGGCAAAGAGAGCCACTGCAGAGGTCACATACCCAGTGCCCGACAGCCAAAGCAGCTGCCACCTTCGTCTTGCCAGAGTTCATCGCGAAATAATACGCGTGCGTGTCTTTCCTCGGGGTGTCGCATGGCCGGGCAACAAAAGGAATATACTAAACCAACCTGCGCCAGGCCGATTTGTGACAATTAGATGACGACCAGGGTGACCAGGGAATCTGACGGTTGGAAGCTTTCCATGGACCTTTGACCTCTCGACCTTGTCGCGGTGCCTGTGGACAGCTCTTCGGCCGTGGGAGTCTGATACATTGCGATGGCATTGGGCTGTTGGGCTTCCAAGATTCGTGATCACCGGAGCTGTCCAGCCTTTTGCTCGCAGTTGCCTGCGCCAGCGAGTTGAAGCCCCCATTCCCCATTCAACAGCAGTGCTGTAGAATCTTCAGAGGTTTATGTATCCAAGCGGCTCCGAAATATAATTCAATCGCTTGGCCTCGGAAGGACTGCTTGTGCACAGCAATACATGCTGCGGCTTACGCTGGAAACGCAACAAATCCCGTACTTCACAAACCGGCCAGTCACATCTGAAGTATTCAGCCGTGCTTCGTTGGAGCCATAGTCGGCTTTGAGGCCAATGCGTCCGGAGGCCCGCACTTGAACCGTGCCATCCTGGCAAAACTGCTTGGACTGCTCATGATGCCTTGATGTCCTCACAATTCGATTTGAAGAAGGTCCCTCACTGGTCTGCTGACCAGCCCTTAGGCCTGGGAACCCCAAATCCGATCCTTGTTTATTGCAAACTCGACATCGTCAATCTTGCCTTTCCTTGGTTGATCTTGCTTGCGCTCCGGTCGTTGAAGATCAAATGCGAAGCTGCGCATCGCGGAGATTCCGAAACTGACAATTCCCGGTGCGAGGGTCTTCAAGCTCTCGAACTGGGCATACAGGTAGCCATCCGATCCAGCTTTGACAACTTGGAACCCGCCACCATCAACCTTTTGTTGACCTCACATCCATTGCAAAATGTACAGGTGTGACGAACGGCTTTCGTCATCCCACCTGGCGGATATGCACGAACTGTCGCTTCGAGCTGTGCAGAGGCATCTGCCACGCTGGCGCCGTCTGGTATCTTCCACGGTTGGAGCAATGTGGTGATCTGCGGGTCCTGCCAGAAGAACTAGCGCAATGTATCACAAACACACTCGGCTAAGGCACCTCGGGGTCGCCAGTCGTAGAGAAACAGTTCGGCCCGTAGCCACAGCCCTTCAGCACAGGCCCATCGGATTTGTCGCCGAAGCGGTTCCTGATCTTGTGATGTGCTAAATTCGGGGTCAAGCAAACGCACTCACACTGTAATTGGCGTGTCGCTAGCCCAAAACCCCCAGCGCAACTAAGGGAAACCGCAGGTCAACTGTCAATGACATGCGTCAGCGTGCGAGGTTGCAACCCCAGATCGTCTGGCTTGTTGCCAGGCGTTCTCTTGTCGGGGAACTTGGCAACCTCCGGAAGCCTCTCCGTGGCAAAGAGCTTCTAGATCCGAGCATGAAATGGGTACGACTACACTATCACTGTTCATGAGGTCATTGCAAACTATGTAGCCATTAGCTGGGGCTATGTATATGAGTATGTCAGTGTCATTTCTAGTTGAAGGCGAAGGGCAGCACAGCCAACTACATCTGCTCTAGAATTGCATACGTGTCTAGGCTCCTGAGATTTCCTGGGTGTACATTTTGCTTGCATTGCTGCGCCCAGGTTCTCCTTCACTAGGCCTTAGGTAGTGCCTCGGCTTCAAGACTCAGAATGGCTCTCATCTTGTCAAGTGAACTGCTTCATCTTCACCGTCAAAACTCAGACACACTCAAAAATCTCAAAATATCCTCAAACATGCTTCCAGCAACGCATTCTCGAAGGCTGCTTGCGCCGGCAGCGGGAGCCAAAAACCCAGGTTCAAAAGCAGGGCACGTCGCCCTGGCTCACCTTATATGGGTGGTTGTCAGAATTAGGGTCCTTCTTGGGTCCTTATTATAATACGGCACCGAATATTTAGGGTACCCAAAAAGGGACCTCAATTTTGACAACCACCCATACAGACTGGCGCCCAAGCCGATGCAATCGGTTCCCTTGCTCCATGTGGTTTTCACGTCACGCGTCTTCTGAAATTCATGGCCTCCTAGCGACAGCTAAAGCCGATGCCATGACCATCGCCGCTAGGAGCTGCAAGGTTACTCTTGGACGTTGGAGCACGCCGAAGTTAGAAAACTACGAGTGGAATCTGGTGGGCCCATACTGCAATCCGTGGTTTCCCCACATCCAAATCCGGTCAAGCGACCGATGAAGACGCAGGTCGAATACTTGAGAAAGGCAGAGGCACAGAGCAGCCAAACGAGCTGCCTGACACGCTGCAACAAGCTTCTTACCATCATGCCATGATTATTGCCAGTTACTATCATTGCCAGGTTTTTGATCATCGTTACTCATCATCTATTCTGACCTGTGAGTTGCTGGACCTGAAAACACTACAGACCTTGCATTCAGCCCAGAGGCCGGCTAACTTGGGCAATGCGTCGTCGGCATGATCGATGTCGCGACTGCATGGCTGCCCAGTATACAATACTCGAGGATCCAAACGCACTTTGCTAGATTTTGCTGGCCTGACTCGCATACATGAACATCTCCAACGCAAGAACGCAGCGCACTAGCGCTTCAGGAGCTTCTTTCTACGGGTTGAGAGAAACGGGTAACATGAACAAGGATGTGCTTCATGCATGACCTCACCTGCAGGCTTGCGACTGCTAAACATCGGGCAGTATTGTGCGACGAGAAGAAACGGCTGCTGCAACATGCCGTTCTGATGAAGCTTCGGGAGTCAACAGGACTGAGCGGCGCACAAGAACGGCCGAGCTGCATCCCAGCCGCGAGCCTGAGGCCTGAAGAGCTGCGGCGATGAGAAGATCGCCATGGACAGGGAGATGCCGCAGTTGTGGCTGAGATGGGCGATTGCTTGCACTTTGGCTTGCTGAGAAGCCGGGAATCGCCCGCTGAGGTACGCGGCTGAAACAGGCCGCACAAACGCCAGGATGCCGGCAATGAAGTGGGGTCCAAGGAGCGCCAAAGCGTGGAACGGTGCAAGCATCTGCAGAACGTGAGCTGCTACCGACACCAGCGCCGTGACAGATATAACTGCCTCAGCCTTCTTTCGGCCAGCCCATGGTCCCAAAATACCCAAACTACTCATAGAGATGATCTCAGAAGGCCATATCCAGGCTTGCCAGTCTCCAGGTTTCCAGCCATATACAGCCAGAGTGAATGAGGCATTGATACTTGACAATCCTGATGCCGAAGACTTTAACAGCACGGCCAGCAACCATACCTGGAGAAAGCGACTGGATGCCAGGAACTGTATTTGCTCTATTGCCTGTCCCATGAGCTGTGCGTGTGGAGCTTTCAGCTTCGAGTGCTTCGACTTCAGAAGCATTGCAGACGGGAGCGTTTCTGGAACATAGGCCAGTACGTACCTGGTGCACGGGCTGAGTGTCCAAGTCATGGCCAACTCTCTGAGTTACTTGCAACTTTTCAAGGCCGTGTAGCTGTTGCAACCTCTCCCCGTTGTCAGATTCGCCCAAGCCCCACCGCATGTGTCCGGGGCTGATGGCCTTTAAAAACGCCTTCACTTTAAGCCTCTAGCATCATCATCCGCACGACACGCGCATCGCGTCCGGGAAGGGATAGGGCACGAACAACAACATGGCAAAGGTCAAGCACTGATCAGAGAAGAATTAAGGGTGCCCAACCTGCTGACGAGCGTTCGCAGAATGATTACAAGGAAGTAGTGCTCCCTGGGGCACAGGATGAGCATCGCCATCGCAAGGGACATGGAGGCCCATGTGAAACCGAAATCCTTCACTTCCCAGCTCATCTCTTCCACGAAGATGCCGATGGCAATGGCATTGCCGAAGGCTCCTGTAGCCTGGGCCACGAGGAACACGACATTTTTTGTCGAGGGAGGAGCACCGAACAGGGCAGCCTTATCCTGCCTAATCTTGCATCAAGCGACATAGTAGAGGGAGAATGATGTGACGCGAGCTGCAGGTGACTTCGCTGTGTCTGCGAGCATGGACAAAAACACGACGTCAAAGGCACTCGTAGCACCCTCCAGGAAGAAGCAAAGTGATATTGCGCTGCTAGATCCATGCAGCGATGGAAGAAACGCCACCAAAGCAAACAAAAGGAATGCTGTCAGAAAGCCGGTCAACCCCAGCAGCAAGATAGGGCGACGCCCCATACTGTCCGCCAACAGTGCAAGCAACGGGCCCGCAAAAGCATGCACCAGAAGCTTCATTGCAACTAGCCTGCCCTCTTGTGCTTGTGCTACAGAAAGGACATAGTGAGAGTTGCCGCAGTGAGTAGAGCCGCTGAATTTTGCGCCAGGCTTTACCTGCTCCGTGCATTCGACCATCGACCGCAGGAAGGGCCCGTAGAGCTGCACAGCCAGAGTGAACCTGAGCCGAAGTGGTTTGACGGTGTGTTGTCTCATAACTCCACCTGTTGCTGCCCTAAGCCAAGCGACAAGACACTCAGCAAGTTGTACGGCACGAGGATGTGCCAAACGGGCTTCAGGTGCTCAACCAGTGCTTGCAATCCCAGAGCCTGGGACTGGATCCGCTGTGCAAGTGTTCATTTATGTTCATCTCTATAATGATGTCGTGATTGTTGAGACGGTTTGGATCCGCAGCTAAATACCTCAAAGCTGCAACAGCTACTACTTTGTTGTCCAATCTGAGCAGCTGAGCATGGCAAACGCATGCTGTTGAATGGCAGCCAGGCCCCATCATGGCTTCACGGACAGGCATGTGAGGCTTTCACTTCAGGCTTTTTCCGACAGCCCTCGTCTGGCAAAGTGATGTTCATCAGATTGGGCTGTTCTGTCTTGCTTGCATGGCGCACGAAGCTACCCGTCGGCTAGAGTGGCAGAGCGCAGGTTTCTGCGAAAACTGCTGCGGAGAATCTGTGTCACATCATAACTGCAATCCTGTGCACATTCCGTGTACCTGAAAACCGACAGTTGATTAGGATTGGGCTTCAGGGTCCGAGTGCCTTTCAGCGCCTGGGGTCCTTGGTTCAAGTAGGGTCTATACCTGCTCGTGTGACAACCGTGGGAAGCGACGGCAGCTTCGGGAAGCGCTAATCCTGAGAGTGAACGAAGTGGCTTGATTGAGAGTGACTGAGCATCGCCCTCCTTCGCTATTGGTTTCGTCTTCGGCACTGTTGACGGTGAGAACTTCATGAATTCTGTTGACAGGCTCCAAGGAGCATTGGGCTGCAAGACTCTTTTCTGGCGGACATGCGGTTGCAAGGTATTGCAAGTGAACGGCCGAGGGATGGCCCGGGCTGGCCGCTCAGTCAAGAAGATGGCGTGCTACTCTCGAGCTCAGCTCCATCTCGTGAATTCGGTGCACAGTTCCAGCAGGATCCTTGGCAGGAGATCTGTAGCGAAACTACCATGACTGGTTGTACGCCATCACCCATTTTCACGAGTACAGTATGCACTCGGAAATCTATCTTGACCCGACAGCAAAGTTGACCCAAAGTGATGCCGTGCATCTCTCTGAATCTTCAAACCCTGTCACTTTGCCTGTGCCATGCTGTGGGGGAAGGTAAAGTCAGCTCCGTCGAGGAATGACAGCATGTAGACGTGCTGCTGAACTGCCGGAGCATCAGCGATGTGGTAGCCAGGGCCCTGCGAAAGCGTGAGCGCGAACAAAAAGGAATCGGGATATTCGACTAGTCTGCAAGGCTAACCTGAGCAAGGCTGATTTGCTTTTCGGTCTCGAGAATCGGACGCCGTCGATCGTGCCAGTTGTGCTACGGCAGGGTCAGTTCGCTCACTAAAGCTATAGCAGACCGAATTGCTATACACTGAACCTCATGCTGCGCGTGTCGAGCTTTGACACCACTCATTGTCACAGCACAGATGCGTTCGAGCTTGTTGCGCTCAGTCTTTGTGGCAGTGGCTGGAGCTTGTGCATACGAGTCCAGCTTCCGCATCTTGGCTTTGAGATCTTCCAGCTCGTGCTGGTCACGGGACTCGGCTTGCTCTTGGCGCGAGACCGCCGTTACCACCGCATCCTTATAGCAGCATGAGTGGAGCTTCCACACTGGAGAGAAACAGAGCGCGAGAGCGAGGAACGGCACAGTAATGCTTCCTAGTCTCAGTCAGTTCCTGCTCCTCCTGCTCGACCAGGTTATCAAAGCTGCTCATGAGGATCTGCAGCTCGGTGTGCGACGGGCTTTGCCCAAGCTTCTCCACTTCTTGGTTGAGCTGCTGGAACCTCAGAGGACCGCCAATGTTCATGAGAGATGCTTGCCAGGACAGTGCCGACACAAGTCGAAACAGCACAGTTGAACAGTTCGCACATGTTCACACCGTGGTCACTTACAAGACTATCGCTAATTCTCATCGAGCATCGGTAGACCCAGCTGGGACCAGCTCTAACACACCATTTCCATCCCACACAAGGCCCACCCGAAACACATCATTTTACGTAGGAGCAAAGGAAAACAATGTACTCTGCGTGTTGCTGACATGCAGCCTCTGTTTGTCTGAAGCAGCACCACTTTGTATGAGCTGCTTTGCAGTCATCAGCCGGTGAGAAGTACGTCCGAAGGCCTTCATCGCCGGTGAAGTGCGTTGGTGCATTACGTCGGAGCAGTATTATCCCCTGTATGGGCAGTAGCCGCAGCCGTAAAGCGCACTTCGGCATCCCCAGTCCAAGAAACTGCGCTTGAGAAACCCATCATTTATCAAGAGGCACACTCCCGTGACTAAGGCTGAGGGTACAACTAAGGATCCTCTTGCAGTGCTCTCTGTATCACCAACATGACGGTACACACGGCATTCTCAAGCTATTTATGTCTCAAGCTTATATATAATCTAGGATTACAGCTGAGGTCTGGTGCCATCTCAACCCACAGTCTACAAAGCCGGGGCTCCGATAAGAGATGCTCACGGGCTTGAACCTCTCGCTGTAGCACCTTCTTCTCCTCCCGAGCCTCACATGCTTCAGCATCGGAGACTGCGACAGCCATGCCTGGAGCTTACATAACAACAATGTGGCCCTGAATTGTTCTTGTAGCAGTTGTATAAGCCACGAGAGATCCTTGGACTGCATATCTACAGTAGAACTGTATAATTAAGTAGTCACGCTCCCACTCTCGGACAAGCTGTATGAGGTGAAGGTCTCGCAGGCTAAGTGAGAAAGCAAGAATGTCCTGATCTCCCACAACCTCAAAGATTAACCTACTCCGTACCACGCGCAAAAACATCAGGTGGTAGGATTTAAGACCAATCTTGTTCCGATTCCTGCAATCTGCAAAAGGAGCACTTAGTGTGGGCTTACGAAAAATACGATCTCCCACGGCTTTTCCTTCAACTGCCAAGATTATAGCGGAAGGCGGCGAGGAGGCCTTGGCTACCGCGTAGTGATTGTGAACCTCATTGGAAAGTTCCTCTTCCATGCTCTTGGAAGACCTCGGGGGCTGCGCTGGGCAGCTGGTGCTGGCAATTCGGCAAACTCGCACATTGAAGGCAAGACCTGTTCACGGTTAAAGGTTAGACAAAGTTCCTCAACTGTAATTCTCTCCGTCAGAACCTCACTGCTCAGCCTTTCCCTGCTGACGTGCTTGCCCGTCTGCCTGACTGCCTGCTGTTCTGAAAAGTTTCTGCCCCCTCTCATCAAAGTCTGAAACCTGGCTCCTGCAATTGCCATCCTTCTGGCGACCATCTCTGCTTGAACCGTCATTCGAAGCAGAAAAGCAGTGCCGTTCGCACTTCGGAGAACCACCACAATTGACAAACGGAGCAAACACTGCAGGCAATGTGTCCATGAAGAATGGCACGGTAGTGTGTTCGTGGTTACGATTAGTCATGCACCTGGGACCTGCAGTCCAGGAAGTTTTGCATCCGAGCCGCTCTTGCTCGTATGCCTCGCACATTTTTCGGATCTCTGAATCTTGAGCATCGACCGCATCTGCGGATTCTGTCTCCAGCTTGTGCAGCAAAGACTGGAGGCTCTCTTTGCTTAGCTCTTCTTGGGAAAGCTCCATGAGCAACGTGCTGTTGGTTGCCAGGGCGAACTTCCGAAGTAGCATCGCAACCTCGACGCAAAGACAAGAGGCGGAACGCGGAACAATTCATGAGAGGTACCGGCTCGTTGCATGGCGCAGGCGGCGCTGCTTCTCACAAACACCGAGATCCCCGCAAGGTTGTCCTCCTTTGGTGCCGATAGAGCCGGGCGCCTGACTTCCTGACCGTTGCAGGGAGCCTTGGTCCTGCCTGTCATAAGGAAACCGTACTTCGACAGTACTACCCACAGTACTACGATCTATCCCTTGCTGTAAGGCGATGCTGAGGCGCAGAACCGAACTGGAAGAAGGCCAAAGGGTCGGTCAGGGAAGCGCGATCCGGGTGGAAGGGTCGGACATCCTTCCTGGGATACGGTGGCACTGCGAGGCGCTGCCAACGCCGAAACTACTAGCACATCTGCAGTCGCTAAGCATATGAGATGACGTGATGAGGTCCAAGGCTCTTGGCAGGGGTGTCCTTCTCACCCTCGTCATCATCATCGAGCGCCTTCTCTGCTGCTAACAGATCGTCCTTTGCCTTCGCAGCAGTTGCGGCCACGCCTTGATCCGGTTGCCTTAGTTCGTCAACAGAGTTCAATACCACAAACTATATATATCACCTCTTTGTCTGAGGTCGCTACCAAGCAGTGTACGTCTTCGGCGTTTGCATCAGCTCCATGATTCCCAGGGCATCGTCAGGCTTTGAAGGCTTCTTCTTGCTTTCTGCACGCTTCTTAGCCAGCAAGCCCTGCCAGCCGCCCCGCAAAGCTGCAGGGAAGTCCTTGGGTGCTTGCATCTTGGGAAGATCCTCGTCTTCACTGGCCTGCGCTTCATGGACTTCATGGTGCTGCGGCTCCAAAGCATGATGCTTTGTCCTGGATCTGCCGTGCGCAGGAGCAGGAACCTCGGGAGTTTTCTCCTCGGACTCGCTTGCTTCCAGCTTGCTCTCCTGAGCAACCTCCGCTGCAAGTGACATGGAGGTCTTGGCAACGACCTGGGCTGGTGCTGTGGATGCCGCGGCTTGTCCCGAGCTCTTCGCTTCTGGTACTGGGAGCACCGGCTCTTGAGGCTTTGTCTTGACGGCACTTACAGCAGCTGCAGGGGGCGTCTGCACATCCGTCGCGATGTGGTGCGAAGCTTCTGCATGCAGCTGCCTCAGCTCCGCCATCTGTTGCTGCATTTGCTGTTGCTGTTGCTGCAACTCCTGGGACATCTCCAGTAGGTGAGCGAGTTGTGATGATGTCACTTGTGCATGGCCCTCATCTGAGGAAGCCGTAGCATCCGTTCCATGGGGTTTCACCGTGGCGCTGGCCGCCTGGACGGTTGCTTGAGAGCTGGCCAATGCTTCTGCTGCGCCCTCGGCTTTGCCGATCAGCTCCAGGGCTTGCTTCACCAGCTTTTTCCCTGCACTTTCTGTGCGGTTCATCACGGTGCGCCCAAGGCCACCTTATCTCCAAAATCTACAGAGCGGCTAAAGGCTTAAGAGCATGTGCCTACCGAGAACAATGCTCCGACAGGCCGCAAATGCCAGCAGCGTCGGAGAGAGCTGCATTCGTTTGCGCCACTGCTGCATCCAACACCTCAGGGCTGCTGCAGTGTGTATCCCACGCTTCCCATGACCACACCAGACAGTTCATGACTGCAGTCATCTACACAGGAACACGATGATCTGTTGATGCCGAGTAGGACTATTGCAAGCAGGCAAGACGAAGGCACTTTAGTCACTAAGTGCATCTGCATCATCACCACTGTCACCGCACGAAGTAGTACACGTTCATCGACATCGGCCGTTTCGCCTTCCTTCAGCATCACCCTCACCCTCACCACTCCAGCTGAGCCGGCCTGGCGTCCACTGCGTGCTGCAAGGCTTTTGGCGCGGTGAAGTGCCTGGGCCTCTGCTGCCTGAAGCTGCCTCGCCTTCAGGGATGCAGAATGAAGCCGGTCAGGTCGCCTTCTCTTACACAGCTGTTGGAATTTGACCTCGGGATTCAGCACACCTCAGGAGTGGTCGCGTGAGACTATCCTTCAAGTGCGCAGTCCAGACTGAGGACATGTGCAACTGCAGAACTACTGTTTGGCATATTCTGGATTCCGGCTCCCTTGACAGTGGCCTTTGTGAGTCTTACACTGAACCAAGCAACGCCAAAGAGCAACCACGCATGAACAAATCCAGGCCTTACATCCCAGGTCCCGTGCCCGATGCCCAATACCCCACGGACGAACCTTGATCATTTCCAGCTGTGCTGGAGGCAGCGCACCCGTGAGATTCGGCTGCTGGCTCAAAGACATTGCTTTCCTTGGGCTGACATGACAAGCAAACGTCCCGAGGACAAAACCTCGGACTCTGTTGCTGCATCAAACACTAACGATTCCTGTGGATCTGCCTTGAACCCACCAGAATCAGAATCTCCAACTTCCCCGAGCTGCTGCTCCCGCGCGTCGCCGAGCACTTTCCGGACGGCCTGGAGGCTCTGCTTCTCGCCCCCGAATGCCCAGCTCGAGGATCGAGCTACGAGCTCGGACCTTAGCTCCAAAACACCAAGAGTTCTGTCGAAGTGGCCGCGAAGTGCGCGAAGGGATTGGAGAGTCAGGAAAGCCCAAATCGACAGGACTTGCGGAAGGAAATGTCTGCTCCAGCTCCAGAGGCTCTGCAGTTTCCAACAACTCAGCCCTTTGGCTGTACGATTTGCCCGTGCCAGCACTCTCCCGAACTTCAAACGAATCCACAACACCCGGAACAAGCAGTTTTACTCGTCGGAAGTTATGGAAAGAGTCACCCAGGCAAAAGACGTTGTAACATCAGCCCACCAAGTCGCGGTAAAAAGCATGGCTCCAGGAGCACCGATGCAGCCGCGCGGCTCAAGCTCGGAGAGGCACTGCACCGCCACATCGAGGTTGCTATGGGATGGAGGCTCTGCGGCCTTCCCTTGCTGCAACAGCTGTAGCTGTTTCGCTGTGCTGAGCAAGGAGGGCACATCGAACGACTCATCTTCAGAATCTTCCGCATTGAAGCTGCCCTGCAGTTTTATGAGCTCTTGCCTCTGCTTCTCCTCGAGGTCAACAGCTCAGAAGGACTCTACTGCAAGAATCACTGGGAGGAAGGCAGGAGTCCTGCGTAGCCACCTCCTTCTCACACCAGGCCGCAAAATCGAGTCTCCTCTGGGTCAAGTCGCTCTCCTGCGAGGGAAATTGAAAGTCCTCCTCTTCAGCAACAACCCTCCTCCTCCTTCTCCTGGTCCTCCTAAGCCTAGTGATGCATAGCCCTACTTTGCTTGGCCTCCTCGGTGAGGAGCTCCAGAGCCTTGCTCGCCCAGGCCGCCCAGGGCACCTGGAGGCCCAGGACCTCGGAAATTTGTTGCGAAGTCCGAAGCACGAGGGGCCTAGGTTTCGCCAAGTTTGGGCTCCGCACGAAGATAAAGCTGAAGCGGGAGGGAACCATGTCCGTGCCACGTCCTGGTAAGCAGCCGCAAGCAGTTGCATTCCCTGGGCCCAGCTGATCAACTCAAGCACCTCAGCAGCTACAATGGGTCATGAGACCACTGGCGAATCTGCTCCCCTCGCCCAAGAGCCAGAAGGGGCTGCGAGCACCAGCTTTCACAAGCAAGGAGAGATGGCCCAAAACTGAAAGGCCTGTATGTGCTCTCTAAAGCCCTTGGGCCCTAGGGTTGTCAAGTCTTGGACCGGGCCTTGAGCTTCTGATGCAGCCACATCAGCGACGGCGCAATCCCCTGACATCGCACTCGTAGCTCGAAACATCATTGCCGTCGTATGGACACAGCAGCACGTGACCGAGCTCACATGACGTAGTCGATTTTTGCATGTGCACAGCATGGCTGCTTTCTCCCAAAGCCTCAAAACAGACCTGAGCAGCTCTACATCCACCGGTCAACTGAAAAACGAGCTGAGCAAAGACGGCATGGTTCACAAGCCGTCTCAACCGTAGTGTGATCGCACCATTGCTTTGTACATTGGCGTGCAGCAGACCGCCAGACAGCCCTGAGCAATGCATGAAAGGCTCAACACTTTGGTCGAGCATGCCCTACGTAACACACTGTAGACTGTAGACATGAACCAGGGCAAGACACACGCATGAATAGGCCGCAAGTAGCATGATGAGTACAAGGCCAACACTGCCGGAATGAGCCGTCTCTGGAACTATGTTCATCGAGAAGAAAATTTGCCCCAGCTTCGGGGAAGCTTGCCGATGGAGGGTCACGAAAACGTCGTCAACCCCACCGTCGGTCAAGACTGCGGAGATCTCACCTGGCATGAGACACCAAACACATGCTGGCGGCAGCACTACCAGTTAAAGAGGATTGAATGATCGTCTTTCCCGAGCTGACAGCTGCACTGGGCTCCCCAAAGATTGAATTATGCCCGATGTGGTTGTTGAACATGCTTGAATCAGGAGGATTTAAAGCCCAAGCTTTGTGCCTGCTGACACACGGGCATGTCGCCACAATGCTTGCCTCAGCAACTTCCGAAATAACCACAAAAAGGAGAAGATCAAGGCGTGCAATTGGGCCATAGGCCAACCAGGAGAACCAATCTCCCGCATCAAGTGTCGCAGGCAGAGGTTCCTCCGAAGCCTGCAAGGAAGAGCGTGGACTTCAGCGCTGCAGCGAGCTTGTTGGTGCTACGTATGTTGTGCCAGTGCCAGGCATGTGATGTGCAAGATCCGGGGGTTGCAGAGATTCCAGGGTTAAACATGTTGGTGACAGTTGCGACCTCTCGCGTGATGTCATGACGGTGTTGTCGGTCCCAAGATTGGGTCATGAAGACGTTGGCCAGAAAAAGAAGGAAATTCGGGATGTGGCGGAGTTGATTTTGTGATGTTTTGTGTAGCGCATTACACGGCTACACTTCGGGGATTGAACCATGCCATGTGCAGCATCATGAACTTCGAACTTGCCGACGTTCCGCGCATTGTACTTGATTGTACGGTTTGGATGACATAGCAAGATTGCCGATTGCTCGGAGCAAACAAGGACCCGGACAAGTCGTCCCAGCATTGCCCCAGCACATCCCAGCACTACGTCAGGTCAGGCTTACCACACACCCTCAAGGAAAGATTTTCAACTCCAGGTGCCCTTGCCTTCTCATCCTCCTCGTCCGTCAGGTCTGCCGTCAATTCGAAGCCTGTGCATTGCCAACGTGTGCGCGGAAGTTGATCTTCTTCTTTGCCTGTACGTACTCAATAGGCTAGAACCTATTACACCAGGTGCAGCCCAGGCCTTTGCACGTCGCGCTGCTTCGTGGCCCCCCCACGCCTCAAGAATTCAATCTCTGCGGGAATCGACATGACTCACTGCCTCACTGCAAATCTGAGGTGGCTGACGGTGTCGAAGCCTGCGCTCTTTGTGGAAGGCGCAGAAGGGGCGGCCTCTTTGCCGCCTTCGGCCTGCACAGTATAACATCACGACTGAAAAAGCCCTACCTTTTGGCTAGGGTTTAACGTCTGGGGGTTCAGGAGAAAAATATCCGAAGCAGGTCTCCGATGGCCGGAGTTTCACTGTAATTAAGAACCCTGAACCCCGAAGCCTGAAACCCAAACGCGAAAACCCGAACGCCAAAACCTACAAAAACCCTAAATTTTTAGGAGTACAGCAAGGCCTCCTCGCTGGAGTCCGTATCCGCACTGACCTCTGCAGCTGCTTCTTCTTAGGACCCAGAACAAAGCTTACAAGAAGAAGCTGTGTAGACAGTTGTCAAAGTTATGGTCCCTTTTTGATTTTTCGGGCACCCCGAATACTCGGTGACGTATTCCACATTAAACATATCGCGCAGCGAGCCAACGAAACAGCAGCGGCGCCTCCTCGACGTTTCCAGCGAATCGATGGCGCATCTCTTCGGGGACTTCCGTCGAGCACGGGCATGCCTTGCAGCGAAGAAGATGACGCAGGGAGCAACCACCATTTGCGGGAAGAATTGCGACCTCATAACCGAAGTCGTTCCTCCCGCCCCTCCTCAGGTTCAAAGGCAATTCCAGCTCGCAAGGTCAGTAACATCCCAAAGTATGGGCGACTCACCTATCAAAGACTGCGACCCTCATGAAACTGTGCGCACTTCTAGATGCAACGAAGACTCTGCTTCATTCTGGACCAAATTTTCGCCTTGTCCTCATGCCTTCCTGCGGAAAGGGAGACGGCGTCAAAACTGTTTGAACCCTCCAATACGTGACCTCGAGCTCAATCAACCCCGACTCCATTTCAACCCAGATGGCCCCGTCTGACGGAGATTCCAAGCGGCGATAAGCGAAAGAAGAGGTTGGACATGCAGAAAGCGCAGTCCGGAAAAAAAAAAGCACGCCCTGCTTGCAGAACAACCCTAACCCAGCGGCAATATGCTGCAATGTTACGTCGCTGCATGAGCCACTGAACGTGCCACCTGCTGCCCTCTGTTCACGAGCGGAGCGCTCGAGGAACTCCCGGGCTTGCTTCCGCGAGATCAGCGACTGCTCCTTAGGCTCACATGGATCACAAGTTTTTGCAGTTTCGACGGCTACAGCGTGCTCAGGTGGAAACCCACCGTGCATGCTTCTCCTTTCTGTTTCTGGCTCCTGCAGGAACCAATGCTCACGCATCATCGTCTTCCACATGTACAGAAGGTTGTTGACAAAAAAGTCTTGCTGCATGCATGCATGCGCCTTTGACCGTACCAGTCTGCAACTCTGCAGCTGCCTGGCGATGTACCTGCCAATCCAACCAACCGAAAGTGAACTATGAGTCTGCAAACTTGTAGCTCTTGTTGACCATGGCGTCTTGATACAGCTGCAATGCTAAGGGCTAGTATGACAACAACTTTACGGTTAAAGGAAGCACACTGATTGACAAATTGACAGGGTACCTGTAGCATGCTGAAACGCCGCTCTGCTAATGCCGACACTTTGCATCCGTGCCTTCTCGGGCTCCGACACCGCCTGCTTGACATCTTCGATGGCCAGAAGTTTGCAAGGTGCCTTCCAACAACCGACCACTCCACTGAACTACTGCATCAGGGAACTCACGGCATCTTAGATCAGACCCTCAGCTTGACGCCTAAACAGAAAACAATCACCAGTAAAGACATCGAACATATAAACATCGAATCAAGCTGTGCAAACAACGGCCTGACGCGGCTCACAACAGCTCGAGGGACGAGAAGTCAAACATGAGCATGTGCGAGTCAGAGGGCGCCTGCTTTTTGTTCTTCGGCTTGTTGATGGACCAGCCTTTCTTTTTGCGCACCGGCGCCTCACCCAGGATAAGCAGCAATCAGGCTTGCAACTCCAGGGACTCTCACAGCCGAAATCACTCAGCCAAAGCAAATCTGTCCAACGGATGCATCTTGACGCCTGTCGCTTCGCATCCAACTCCATGAGCCGTCGCTGCAAGGCCCTGGGATATCTTCACTGTTGCGAGCATCAACATGTCGGGACCCTAAAGAGACTGTAAACCTGTCTTTGTGCATGAGTATACTCTGTGCACCCCTTTGATGTTGAAGCATGTTTATGCTTCAGGCCGGGGATCGATGAAGGAGCATTCTGCACAGCATCCTGGCAAAGGAAACACAGGAAGCACTGGGCTACATGACATCATGTCCTTGGAATCGACTTCGACCCGCGCCCTGAATGCTCAATCCTGCTTGCTCACGTCATCTCACGTGTGCCACAGTATACTCTCCGCATGCCGGGCCTCATACTCGTCTTTCAGGCGAATGAAGAGCAAGTGCGCCGTCGGGGACGGGTTTTTGTCCTGAAAGGCACGTCGCAGACTCCCCGTTCTTGCATGCCAAGGACGACCAAATTGCTGCTGCCAGAACTCGGCTGCATGACGCATGCTTCAAGCGGTAGAGCAATGTACTTTAAATGCATTCGCTAAGTCTCCGGGTGCAGGCGTGAAGCCTGAAGTTGTTCAAACAGGATTCAGCGAAAATACAGACGCCGCCAAATTCATCCACACTCAACGCATGTCGATGGAACCGCACGGCCGGCTACATGAGGAATGTATCTGAGGCCAAAGCCAGGTGTCGGAACCTGAAATCCAACATCGGCAGCTAGAGCAGCAGCCAGTTCAGAATGTTTGAGAGGACATGGCAAATTTGCTTCTCAGCTGCCTTGTCGTCAGGCTTTCCTTTGTGTCCCCCGGCCTTGGGCGTCAGACCACTTTAACCCTTTCGAAACTTGAGGCATCTCGTGGAGGAGGCTCACGCTTCTCGAGTCCTCTGGGGTCGGCACTGCGGATGCAGCAGCGATGTGGCGGTGGCATCCATCGCGGAGGCGGGCCACTCGTCCAAACAGGTCGCTAAACGTGCGCGTTGTGCGAAACTTGAGCCTGCTAGTCGGCTATAGTCGAGAACACTACAGGGGGCTCAAGACCTGACAAGCATGAAATGCTCTCTCGACCCCACTGGGTACATGTCTCTGACATTTGACAGTTCTCAGGGCATACTTCGGTCCAGTGGGCCGGCAACTGAGCCTTTATGCATGGCCAGGCATTTGCTTGTGATTTTGAAGCGACCGCCCGAAATCTCAAAAAAGATTCTAATTATAATTAATCAACCCCCCAAAACCCTATTCCTCTTCTTAAGGCCCCTCTGGTACCCACGGAAACCCTTTTGCACAGACTCAGATGTCAACCCTGAACCCTCCAACCATGTAACCATAAACCCTAAACCCTAAACCCTAAACCCTAAACCCTATTTTGCGGGACGTTGCTCGCTGGTTGCTCGGGCCTTGGAAGCAAAGCAACAGCGACTCGGTGGGTGTCGCAATGCGACATCGACACTAGGGTTCCTTCTTTCGGGAACTTGGGTTCCCCTTAAGGATACTATAGGGTGTCTCGGAGGTTGGTGCTAGTTAGTTTGTAGGAATATTGGTAACCGTCGCAACGATCACAAGAACAGCAATGATCGAAACCTGCGCGCCAGAAGACGAAACTGATGTCAAGTGTTATCACTATTTCTCTCGTTGTCCCTATTCCTGATACTGATTGTACCACCAGTTACGGGTTACCTGTTGCAGCTTTGATGCTGGTGATTGCCGCACTGCTGCTGCTAGAAATACAAGTATGTGCAATGAGGCTACAACTCCCTGTGTGCTACTGCTGCAACTGCGGTTGTACCAAAACTTGTGATGGTGAAGCTGATGACCATCATTGTCATGATTGTTCTAATGATGTCACACTGAAGGCGATTCTGATATTTGATGGTGATGGTGATGATGATTGATGAGCGATCGGTTGATTGATTGATTCATTGCGTCATTGATCCATCCATCCACTGTTTCATTGGTTCATTGATTGATTGCTTTCTTTTGTTGGTCGGTAGGTTGGTAGGTTGACTGGTTGATTCAAAAAATTAACCGATTGATTCATTGGTTGGATGACTGAGTGATTGATGCCTGAGTGATAAATGCGCGATAAATGATAGCTGATGATTGAACAGTTGATGGTTGGCGATTCGTGATTGGTGGTATGGCTGCCGGTGGATAGCTGCCGATCGGATAAATATGATGCCGAAGAGGCTGATGAATGTTGATGGTTGCCGCTTGACGACTGACGTGTGATGACTTATGACTGATATTGGTGACTGATCAAGCATGCCTGATGACCATAGTTGATGATGAGGACAATGATTAAACGTTCGTGACCATGATCATGATGATGATGAGGAGGAGGAGGAAATGTGACGATGATGATGTGGCGGCGTCTGTGCACTTTGCCAACGTGGCCCCCTTGTTGTGTGATCATGAATCATGATTGCCAGAACCACCGAAGCCAGTACCGCCAGTACCTCTTTCAACGATTGTACAGGTGCTCGAAGAATGCCGGGACCAGTGACAAGAACGCCTCACACTTCAGGCCTTGGGTCCCCAGTCAGCCTACAGTCCTACAGACTTTTGCCGCCACAGCACCAAGCAAGCCTGTGGTCGGACAACGTGGCCAAGCGCAGCGGCGTGCGCCTTCCCAGCCATGCGGCAGCTGGGGATCCCATCCTAATCAGTAAGTCCAGACCGTCGACAGGAGTGTCACCGCGGTGGCTATGTTCGGCAGAATATCAAAAATCCATTACACGGAAGCCCTGTCCAAGAATAAACATGATAAGACGAGCTTCACACTAGCAGCATCTGGACATAGGGCCACTGCAACCAGCTTCACGTTTTAATAGGCCATATCGAGTTTGTGTTGGCTCTGTACCACTGCATTTTTGCAGCCCCGGGACTGCGCCAGGAGCGGATGGTCAGGGGAATCGGAATTCTGCGAGGGGCGTGCTTTTCGGGAGATGGGCAAGTCTCCGTCACTGGGCTTAGATGACACCTTGAATATGCAGTCTGCTGAGAAGAACTCATTAAAATGATCCGCACCTGCTCATCAAAGACTACGTCGCGCAAGTGATGAAGCCTTAGGTCTTGCATACTCAAAGTGCAGCTTCCCCGCTCGGGAACCTCTGTCATGTCAACTGTGAGGATCGTTTCCGGAGAGCCGCCCTAGCTCTTCTTGGCCAGAGCTCAGCCAAAAAATCCAGCTCATCAAATGTTCCGTCTATGCGACTTCGTGACTCCAAGTCAGATGTGTTGCTTCATCAAATGACAGTTCCTGCTGTGTCTCAGCACCTCAGGTCCAGGCCTGGGCGCCAACTGCCGCCGTACGTATGCTCACGGAGTCCTGCGAAGCCCGCCGGTCCTGTTCGATGCAAGGGGATCCTTACAGGGGCCTTCATAATTACATATACCAATTTGGGGGTTCCTTGTTATAATTATAGTATAAGGGGCCCGAAAACCCTGTTCTAAAGTTCTACAGTTCTACTTGAGGCCCCTATACTACACTCACTTTCTTGAAAGCAAGTTTCGCCGGGAGCGAAGAGTTCGGGAAATAGACGCGCTGTAAAGGGCCCCTGCTTACGGTGAACATCTCACAGCCTTCCGACAGTATGCTGTGATTCTGCAAGTCCTGGATGTAGTGGTATCCATCCGGCAGGCACAAAACCTCAGAGATTTCGAAATTCAGGATTTGGAGAGCAAGCAAAAGAAGGCTGCGGGTGAGTAGTTATCTATGTTAGGGTCTCTTTTGGGGTCCCTGTTTAAATGTGCTGTTGTTGGGACTGAAAAAAGAAACCTACAGTAGAAGCCAAAAAGTTGGAACATCAATATCCTCATTCCCTTAAAGTAAGGTGCACCAAGTATTTCCCATCGGTTGAAGCAGTTCAAACAGCCTAAATTGATTGAAATTGTTTAAACTCTGGCGTGACGGGCCGCGGAGCAGCAGCAGTAGCACAAGCACGAGCACTACATAGCAGGAGAAGCAGCAGCAGTAGTAGCAGTAGCACAGGCACTGGCAATGGCTGTCGCAGAATCAATGGTACTAGCAGCACCAGCAGCAACAACATTTCTGACACGTGCGATTCCGATGCAGGCCAGCTCTTCTGACCATGCCCGCACCCGTCGAAGTGTGAATCTTCACAGGGCTGGAAGCCCGGTGGGACGACATTAACGCAGAGCGGCGCATCATGTGCTGCCAAGCCAGCTGGAAAATGGAGTGCTTGCATCTTTCAAAACACTCAGAGTTTCCACTCAGGCTGATTCTGCAAGGCTTGCATGACCTGCGTGGCCAATTCCTGAGGAAGCGCATGTCGACACGGTGGGGCCCAGCTCAGAAGTCAAGCGAAATGCGATTGAGTTGCCACATGCTCCGGGGAAGGCTGCTTGTCGGGATGCCACTTCCTGAGTACTCCCGATGTAACTACTATAGGTACTGCTACGTTCTGTTAGATGACGTCCTTCCGACATCGTGAAAGCAGGAGATTTCCTCGAGAAACGATGGTTGGAAAGATGTCTGTCCAATTCTGCCAAGCTGCACCATAAGCTTCTTCCTCGGCTACCATTATGTTTCGGAAAACGAGGCCCTCCAGGCCGTCCGCAGCTCGTACGAAGGTCGAGTCTGCGAAGCAAGGCTTCGCAAATATGCAGCTGGGCATCTTCACGGCGGGACGCAACTCTCTATCGCAGTGCCTCATGCGGACTCTGACTCCACCGAGATCGGCACGCATCAGCCACATGCGCAGTGCGACAGAGCGGCCGCAGCGGCCCACATTCGGACCTGAATTAAGCGCATGGGGAGAATTCAAGGCAGGCAGCCCTCTGCGCCCTGAAATCCAGAGCTGGAAGTGTGATCATGAAAGCCATGGCTGAAATCAGCAGTTCTGATGCTATATAAAGTAATATATATAAATATATATATATATATATATATGTGTGTGTGTATATATATATGTACATATACATATACATATATATATATATATATACACATACATACATTATACATATACATATACATATACATATACATATAGTTACTACAGATCTCCTGTGTCAGCTTAATGTATTGTGCAAGGCTTTATAGGAGCCGAGAGCTGTCCGAGCTGTCGGCTCGGCGATCTGCCGTGCCAGGGCCAGGGGCCCGTTATTGGCCGCCTGAGCCTGGAGAAAAGAGGGGTTATATAATATGTAATAATGAAATGTAATATAATGTAATAAAATGCAACGTAATATAAGATAACAAGTTTAACATGTAATATAGCGCAGTATTAAATAATATCATGTAATATAATGTAAAAGAATGTAATATAAAATAAACTAATTAATGCAATATAATGTCATATAATATAAGGTAATGTCATGTTAGGATGCGGGATGACTCAAGGCTCAGGCAGGGTGCGACGTGCCGGGATCTACATTCTCCGCTGTGTTTCGCCTCCTTCGACTTGAAAGGTAGGACTGGCAGGACATGGATCTAGAGTCTTGCTCCCCCGGGCGAGTGAAGGCTGTAGATACTCTGTATCTCTCGCCTGACAATCGCCCGCAATGAACTAACAGCTGCTGCGCGTGGGGTAGCACGATGAGAAGTGATTTAGGCACAGCTTCTCTTGCCAATCTGCAGCCAGGTCTTGACAGCGCGCTCCCGATGGAGAAGCCCGTCTACCTATGGCCTGTTGTTCCAGTATGTATCTCTGAGAATGCATGTAAACTTCCACTGTCACTGCATTTCTCCGTATAGACATCTACAGCGCATACGTCTACTTCTTCACCAAGTAGCTGCTGCTGAAGGTAGTTCCAACAAGTTCTTGCCCAGTCTAGGATCCTGTTTTTTGATGCTTTTGCCGGGCTCCGGCTCAATCTTCTTCCCCAGGCATCGCTTGTGTAAGTGTCTGTTAAAGTTGCTGAAGAACCTGTGGCTCCAAACCCTACGAAATAGTAGGTTATGACCCCTTAATCAGAGGGTCGAACCCTTAAAACGGTAGGTTTTATCCTAAGGAATTCTCCAATGCTCATGACTTGGCAAAGGCCTCCACCAGCTGGAGCCGCTTCTTCAGGGAGGCGTTCCTCAAAAGGGAGAGGGTTTAATAGAATATACTATACTAATATAATAATATATGGTAATATCGAAAATATAGATTATATATATATATATATATATATAATTTTCTGTACTATATACCATATAATACAAAATTCTGTAATATAATATCAGGGGGCGATGGCTTTGAGGATCCACTTGGGGCCCTGGCTCTCTCGCTGTTCTGTCTGCGAGCCACGCGGACTGGCGTAAGAAAGAGACCTGCAACTTTGGATAAAATGGATTCGACCCGTGAGAATTGGACCATTTGGCCATGACAAGTCTGGCAGATCTTGTTGCAGGACTCTACAATTTGTAGAAGAGCTTGCTGATGTACTCGGCAATGCTTACGTCGCTGTGCCTCACGTTCGGCATCTTCTCGCTTTCGGATTTGTGCGAAGAGTTCTCTTTCTTTGTCGTCCTGCGAACCACCAGACACGAATGTCTAAACTTCAGATATCAGGAGGGGCATAGCGTCCGAGCAGGCAATGCGAGTAGAAGCAAGCCAAGATTAACAAGACAAGCACTAGCACCTTGAGCCTGCGCCATTGATCAGCGCGATCTTGCGCAGCCTTTGCACAAAACTTGTTCCAAATCCATGTACAGAAAAAATGCCGAATTCTGGTGAAAAAACAAACGAACGTCTTTGTAAGCATGCAGCTCGGATGTCGTTCTGGGCTGCTCGCAGCTCCTGTTGGCCAAAGAGAGATTGGCATCATCCAACGTTCCATGCTTTTGAGATCTGTTGAGTGTCGCATCTGTTGCTGGAGCTGCTCTGATGGCCTCATCCAGAGCCCGGACGTGCTGCTGCAGCTCCGCTCGCTTCTGTACCTCCTCGGAAACTTCCTCAGCAACAAACACACACGCGAGGAAGAGCCGGCTTTAATTCTGCTTGGCCATGTCTCCGTCTCACGCTCTTCGATCTCCTCCAACAGGCGCCAGACCTCTGGTGAGTCCTTCTCCCGCGCAGAAGTGACCTACGAAGACTGCTCAAAACACGCAATGATCATTACTATACCCTTTTCAGCATAGGCTTGGATTGTGTCCTAAACCCTAAAATGATCATGAACCGGGTCTTGTGAAGATATCTGAAAAACGACATGCTGAGCACAGCAATAGGCAACATTTCCAGGTATGCACGTCTTTCCTCTGAACACCAGCATTGTCTGCACCGAACAAAACGTGCCATGAAGCACAGCTGAGAGGCAAAATGGTACCAGCCATGGGCGTAGCACAAGTTTAGCGCAAATACCGACATTGCAAAACAGTCGTCAGTCCAAAAGATCGCCAATGGTGCTTTTATTGTCCTGCGCCCGTCTGGAACAGTAGGCCAAGGTGCAAAAGGTTCCATACGGCTGTACAGCGCTGATTCAGGGATGGGCTGTCAAACAGGCCATGTGCAGCATGCAAATATTCGCCGACTGTTGTTCTCTTGCACGAAACCCGTCAGACAGCCAACGCCGCGCACGCAAACTGGAGATGCTGCTTGGCAGCTGCGGCGTGCTTCGCAAGAAAACTGCTAGAAGCTACGAGAGGTCTGGTGAATTCGTGCTGTGAAGATGCAAAGACTCTCAATACTTGCTCTTTCGTTGCTTCGTGGCCGCGCTGACCTGACCATCGAGCTCAAAGTGCGTCCACTTCATCGAAGTGTTCCATTCCTTAAACTTTAGGCTGGGTCAAGCTGGATGACTGTACCCGCGAACACATGCCTGCCTCAAGCTGAAACTGCCTTGTAATATCAGGCTCGGCCAAAGACTATTGACTATTGCACCAGAGCATTGAAACACAGCAAGCCCGCGATGCAACTGGGGCGCCGTGATGTCTTGTCCTTTTGGCAGTGATTCCGGCCTGAGCTGATCAGTATGTGGCACCAGAACGAGCATTTCATATAATGACCTTCTGAGGATTTCTGTGGATGAATGGATGGACATTTCGATTCGCACATCTCCGGGAGCTTCCGTCGGAAAAGATCGTAAGATAGCCATGTGGCAGGAAAAGTATCCGGGAGACTACACACTAAGCCTTGTTTCTCTCCAAGCTGCTCGCAGTCCGGCACGTCGAAGTAGGTCAAGTCTGTTGAACCAGTGACCTTATCTTTGCGTATATCGAGGTAGCGCAACGAGGAATGCTCCAACCAGCAAAGCTGGCCGGCCTTGACTGAGAGGGGCGGTCGCATCTTGTGCAACGACGCAAAGTCGAGGCCATCGAAAACAGCCTCCAGGCATAGCAAAGCTGGAAGAGCAACCCTGTATGTTTCCGAATCTGAGAGTTGCAGGTCTCTAGGAAAGTGCCCTGCCGTTCCGCTGCAGCCGTACCCGACTCACCCCAGCAACGAAAAGGTTGAATTCTAAGTATTCCGAGAACATAGGGTTCTTGAACTCAGGGCAGAAGGCCAAGACTGTTGGGCCTCTTCCCGGCACTCCGACAGCGAAAGTCGCTCTTCGTCATTGGATCGGAGCACTCCCGTAAGGAAATGCCGCCCCTTCTCGAACTCGCTGTCCTTGGCCCCGCTGCAGTTCGTGAGTGCAGCATGGAAGGTATCCGTTTCTTGTACCGGTGGCAGTGGAGGACTGCGGCAAACCGGCACAAACTGTATGCAGCTGCCCAAACTTGAACAGTTTATCTGAGAAGCGGGAGTACCAATCACAAACTGCCGGTCACGGGCCAGTTTAAGCTTCCTGGGCAAGTGCTCCTCCACGTTGAAGGCCTCTAGCACATTCAAGGTTCGTGGGGCTTCAGGGCATGACGTTGCTACGTAGGGTTCACGACCCAAAAACCCCGAATTGTCTCTATAACCTGTCACGGCCCTAAACCCTAAACCCCACCCGAAACTCGATAGGAGGGCCTGATCGGCTATAGCATCCATCTTGTGCATGGCAGTGCGAGCATCGGAGGGAATGTCGAAAGGGAGCAGGCCGGTCAGACATTCCTTGGCTTTGGACTTGCGGCAGATGGCTCATGTGATGAAAAAGTTTGGGTCGACGCGTCCTCCCGGACCGGCCAAGGAGTATCTAGCTTGGTTCAGGCAACCTCCATTTTCCCGTCCGCTCGCCTGTTCTGCTGGGGGGGCGGGGCCGCTTTGTTTTTTTTGTGTGCTTTTTCTTATGTTGCACTCACTTCTGGCGATCTTGGGAGCCTCAGGGATGCTCGTGGCATCTCTGGGAATGCTGCTTGGGTACTGTATGCGATGCTACTGTGGCGTTCTTGGGCTGTTTGGGGTCGATGCTGGCATAGCTTCAGCTTTAGCTTTCCATCGACTTGATAGCTTCAGCTTTAGCTTTCCATCGACTTGTGCATGTGTCCTGAGCGCTTGTGCCGTATAAAGCTGTCGTTCTTGAATGGTTTCAGTGCAGAAGGCCGTGCAGCAACAAAGGCCGCCCCACGGCATCCACATGTCATCTCAATCAACACGGTGAAACACCCCTCCAGATCCCAATGAAGCCTCTTGCCCACATTCATGCTCGTTTCTTCAGGATGGCTCTTTCGTGATATTCCGTCACGGCAATAGTCTTTTTGTCCGTCCACGTCGACTATACATACACGGCTTGCCTGGAACACTGCTAGGCCAACCCAAACCATCCAAACTACATGCAGGCTGCAAAAGCCAAAACAGAAGCGGCATGCTCAGACTGATGCATGCCGGACGTCGTAAGTAATGACCCCAATGGCCCAGATGTCGCTCCTGCAGCTGCTGTACCCGTCGAAGGCTTCTGGTGCCATGTATTCCGGAGTGCCGCAGATCAAGTCGCACTTGGCAGTGCCACTTTCGTCTTGTACTGCTGAGAGGCCAAAGTCCAGCCTTAACTCTTAGACGAAGATTACCAGCAGGGTTTCGCGAGGAAGGCCAATGCTCATCGGGTTTCGATCCAAGGAGCAACTTGAGATGGCCTTCAGCCGATAGCATGATGTTGTCCTCATGCTCATGAAAACACTGGCCACGAAAAAGCTACCATGGCCCTCGCCCTTTTGCTAGAGGGAGGGGATGGCTCCCTACACTACCGGTTCGGCATCCGGGCGATGCCGCTTCCAGTCGTCTCCCCCAGTGTCTTGGCTGGATTCGCGTTGTGAGCGGACCGCCGACGTCAGTCGACACTAACTGTCACTAACTTCAACTACAAGTAGGCTTCGTGCATGAAGGCTGACACAGACTGCTCTCACGGTGACACGGATTACACTAAGCAACGGCAATGGATGATCACAATATGATGTCGTGAAGTGGTGCAGCCTCTCATCTGCCCGATCTGCCCGACGAGCTGGGTTTTACAGTCCAGCTCATGTGCGCGATGGATATGGGATGGCTGCGATGGCTGCATCGGCAGCTGAAGTCAAAGCCACGGCTCTGGCTTCAGATCCCGGTGTACATGGCCGTAGCGGTGAACTTCCGAAACCGCCTCGATGAGCTCGGCCACGTAGAAGGCAGTCTCCTCTAGTGAAAGCCTGCCACGCCTGTGATCACCGAGCCCGGGAAAGACAGTCCGACTGTTTGGCACGTCCTTGCCTTGTGATGTGCGTTGTCAAGCTGCCTCCCTGCAAGAACTCCATGGCCATGAACACATTTGTGGAATCCTGGCACGAAGTGCTGGTATACGTCAGTGGGACGTCTTGTTTTCGATCTGTGGGGGATGCAGGAGGAAAGTGCCTTCTAGCAGAGTTAGTTTTTGGGACGTCCTCTCAGCAAGATGCTACTTATATACATGGCCGATTGCCAATGCTTCCACGATTTCCACGGACACTTCCTCATCTCATGGACGCATCGCACGTCTATCGGTCTCAAAACTCACGAACGGTTACCGCAGTGGCATAAACATGCCGCCGTGGCCTGGAAGGCGCACAAGAGCTTGGTGCACCACCGGGAGCTCAGCCCTGCCAGTGCATCACGCTCGTTGAAGACCAGTGCGTTCTTCTTCTTGTAATGCTCCTTGCCTCATTCGAGCGAGGTCTTTGCTATGGAAACCTATACGGTGCGCAAAACAGGAACACACCAGGACCGCGGCTCATCCGCTTCAGCGCATAGATCTGATTGTTGACGCGCAACCTGGTCTGGAACATCCTTGCCTAAAAGACAAGGTTGATTTTGCAAGAAGTAGCAGCGAAGACTCAGCCTCACCAAGTGCACGGTGCCAAAGCCACCCTCCAGGTGTCAGTGAGAAACGCAGTGGCATGATGGTAGCAGCCCACCTCAATTTCTCAGAGACTGTCATGCAGTAGCTCTCCCGGCCTTACCCAGGATGGTCAATGACTCGAAATCGTCAGGTGACCACCTACAGTAGTCGCATGCTCGCTTGTCACTTCAAAAAAAAGTCAGCCACATTCGCTGTCTTGGGTCAGGACATGCGAAGATCTGCTCTCATGAGCTCATCTTCGGCATGCAGGTGCCTCAGTTGGGAACACGTTGGAACTGCATTCCAGGTCCACACCCCAGCCCGAAATCGTGCGCACGATCACACAAGCACTGGGCCACTATTCCAAAAACCCTTTGCGTTTCTGTATGGTTACTTAGAAGGACCTAGATCGACGTTTGGCAAAACTTCTGTGCGCAAATTCTGCAAGAGCCGTTGGCATCGACAAGTGACAAGAGGCACCTTCAGAGCACATTGCGGGCAAGGGGCTCTTGCATCAACCGTGGCAGTTCATCCGGCTCGGCATCCCTGCAAACTAAACGCGCCATGCGAAGAGGAGCTTCCAGCATAGAAGACCGTCGAGACTGCAGCGATACGCCAGCCTTGCTGCCTCCTGAAAGCTCTTGCGCATGGCTTGAAGGGTCCTCTCTGCCATCAGGCGTCGCTGTCAGAGGCTTCCCCCAAGCACCATAGAAAAAAGGATCGTAAACGACTCAACGTCTGCGGCTACACACAACTTCCACGCGCAGCCGTGCCTGTCCACTCTGTCTTTGTGCTCTCGCTTCTCGTTCTCCGCTTTTTTGTAGGCGGCAAAGAACTTGGTAACCTGTCTCGCACGGTGTTGAACTGAAGCGGCATATCGCCTTGTCCATGGAAAAAGGCCAGATGCACACTTCACGAAATGATCCCTGCCTGCTTGTCCATTGCCTCATGGCTCGCCTCATCATCCTCAACAAGAAAGCAAAGTATACAGACCCGTCCAATTTCTGTCTCTGTATTGCATTTTTGCCCAGCTGCTTAGATGATCAGGTCGCACTGCACGAGGCGCTTAAGAAAACCATTGATGTCGCTTGGCGGGGCTGTGGGGTCGAGACCCCGCGTGAAACCCCCAAACCGCTCCAGACTCCCGAACGTTGTCGGTTTCAACTTCCGAGGATATCGTTTTCCTCTCTTGCTCTCCCTTCTTCAAGCAAGCATAAAGGAAAAGCGGGCGGGCCATGCAAGGCCCCCACCTCTTCGGAGGAACGGGCATCTGCAGCACGACATGCCGTCACAAGGAGCACCCTGTTCAGTATACCTAGATATGAGCACAAAGAGATAGAGGGGAGCGAGAGCAGGAGGGGAAGGGGGCGAGGGGAACGGGGAGAGAGCGAGAAAGTCAGAGAAGGGGAGACGAAGCAGGAGCTTCGCTGTTCAACTAACTCAACGGATCTCAACGGGCTTCCTCGGAAGAACTGCAAACCAACTGCATCCAGCGGTCCTTGTCGTTGCCACCATACCTGACAGCCCAAGACTTTACCGCCAAATGCGCATGGTCCTGTCGTCGCTAGTCTAGAGCCAACGTTCAATCCATGAGCGGTCGGTGATTCGAGGCACGTGCTCAAAGACACTAGCATTACGGAGGTACATGCAGCACACCCTTCACATGTGCTTCCGAAGTGCCCGCTGCTGAACTTTCTGCCAGCTTTGCTGATCCTTGCTACCGGCAATGCAGCACACAGCTTCCTAAAATTTGTCGGAGCCTTGTAAGCAACTCCACTCACTACGACCTTGACAAGAAACATGTGCACGCACACACGCGCAACAAAAAAAACAAAAGGCCTTCGCCTTATGTGACCAACTTCTGAAAAGAGTGCGGTAACGCGGAGTCCCCCCCACCCCTTCTGCAACCCCTTTCGGGAAGGGATTCGGGAGACTCTCGACAGCAATTTGAGAAGGGGTGTCGCCCACCTTACAGCTGCGGAAAAACATCTCAATGGCATCACGCGAAAAGCCATGCGTTCTACCACATAAGCACAATGCATCACAGAAAAGTACGCCTTGTGACAGCTTGAATCCACGACAAATACCAAAAAAACGCCTGCCGCCCGCATGCTTGAATTATCAATGGTCCAAGTGGAACTTGATCGGCGCCATGTGACGGGCTCTGAAATGATGCATTGCCTGCAATGCGGCCGAGCCTGCTCACTCCGCCACTGGAGGCTTTCTCGAAGAAATGAGCATTCCTCGCCTCCCTGCCAAACGTCCCATAACTATTACAAACTCTGTTGGGCTCATCTGGATTACCTTACACAGTCTCACAAAGCAGAAACATGCTAAGAACATGGAAGCGCAGCAGTCCGGACCTCTGGATTGCAACCTTGGGGTCCATCGATGACGGCGTGGCACGCGTGCTATCGGCCGCAAGTCTGAGAGCGGAAATGCTGCGACAAGGTTTGACACCGATGTGATGACAAAGTAGCAAGCCGGGGCAGGGCTACAGGATGTCAATGCGGCTCACCTTACTCGAGTATGAAATGCGGGCCTGTTCAAAAAAACAAGCAGCATCACGCCTCAGACACCAAAGCCTCCATTTCATCTTGTTGTTCCTGGCAGGTAAAGCGTGGACGGAAGGCAGTGTGGCATGCCGTGGACAAGCTTCGTGGAGCGGGATTTGCAAACGTGCGAAGAGACTCACGCTGCGAATGTCTGTGCCGAGCGGCTCGTTTCTGCTTCTTGATGCTGGCCTGCCAGGCAGCCAAAAGGCTGCCAACGATATCCACAACCTCCTCACAATTTCAGGACTCGAGACTTCGAGGTGCGGTTGGCGTGACCAAATCCGGCCTGCGGGCCGTGAAGAGCTGGCAAGCACGCTTGAATCGCCTACAGGTACAGCATGGATTAGCATGGTACAGCAATGCAAAACAAGTCCAACGGAAGCTGTTGCCGCACCTCGGAGAAGTGGCCTTTCGAAGCGCAGGTCTGAACTTGGCTTAAGGCACGGTGAAGGCGGGCGGCGTCTGTCGGTGACGCAGAACTTTGGCGCGGTCCTGCAGAGCTGCGATCTGCTGCGATGATGTGGAATAAACCTATGTCGAAGAAGTGGGTACAAGATAGACACTGCTCGGAAAGAAACAACATGCAAGCCTCCGTCACGCTCCCGCGGCTCACGTGGTTCCCTCCCCCGACTTCGTTGTAGCTCTAAAGGTTCCCCTTCGGGCTCTGCAGACTGTCGGGAGGAGGAGCCACGGCTCCGGATGGTCGAGATCGAGGCAGTAGCCTCGAGGGCAGAGTCTTCCAGATGCTTTTCAGATTTTTTCCGTCCAGCGCCAGTGCCTGATCCTGAAGAGCCGGCGCTGAGAGAGTTGCGGAGGCTGACGCCGATGACTCCTGCTAAGGCACAGGAAAGCTCTTGAGCTGGAAGCTCTTTGTTTCGGGCATGTTCCGCCTTTCGCCGTTCCGGGCTGCTTCGCTTGTAAAACGGCTGTAGTACCGGCTGTCATTCCTCATCACTCACCCGGGTCCTTCTGCGAGGCGTCGGATTCGGCATCTGATTCACTGGAAGCCCATGGGTCAGGTGGCTCTGTTCGAGGCGCTAACGCCTGACACAGATCCTCAATTTCTCAGTGAGCAAAGGGTGCCGACCCTGTGCAAAGCGCGTGTCGAGGAAGCTTCTTGCATCCAGGCGACATGCAAGACTACAAATCCAGACAGAGCTGCAATGGATCACTATCCGTTCGCGCCACACTTGACCAAGGGCATCCAGGCGCTCTACAGATTTCACGGAGCTGCTGAGACCGGCAGGTGCTTAAGTGTGCCAAGTGGCTTGGCTGGACTGCGGTGCCGCCTTCCTCTGCACAGCTGCGACATCCTGCAAGCAAGAGCCCCGCGCAAAAGATCGAACAGGGGAGTCAGGGGAGCAAACAGCACCTCAGTCCTGTGCTTCCAGGATCTCTGTAGCAATGGCTTGCACAGCTGCTTCGGTGGCTGCACTGATGGACGAAGCACGACGCTCGCTGCGCTCGTCGTTAAAGAGGAAGGCCGATGCACTGCCTTCACTGGGAGATGCATGGAAGACTCAACAGCGAAAGCAGACCTGCACCAGGATCGTACCGTAAAGCTGTCGAAACGTCAGCTCCACAGCCGGCCTCCAGTATTGCTCCGCGCCTTCGTTGAGGCATGAGCAGAGTGTCGCCGGACAGTCTCTTCTTTCCGGCCCTTGCTCTTGCTCCTACAGCAAGTATAGGTTCCGACAGCGCAGGGGTGCACGGCAGTCTAAAGCGAATCTGGGATCACAAGTTTACACCGCAGAGGAGCGAGTATTGCTCAACTTCCGAATGCCGAAACGCAGGCTTAGTTCAGAAGCTGGAGCGCCAATACTGCATGACAATGACACATGGTCCTGGGCGAGCGAGACGCTGCAGGGCGCAGGCCAGCCGGCAAGGTCTTCCGAAGAGCGGAGACGGCACCAGTGGCCAACCCATCGGCAGCCGCCTGCAGACTGCGCGAACGGTCCAGCAAGGAATCAGCGTGAATCAGCTCTCTTCTGAAGTCGGGAGCGACCGGCCTGCAGGAACTGCTGCGCCACCGTTGCTTGCTCCTACACAACTCGGAAGGCGTGACTGCAGTCACGCCATCTTTCAGAAGTCACGCTTGCAAGTGTGTCTAGGACCACATTCCCAAAGGACCTGTCAAGAGCGCTCCTTCTGATCGGTAAGCTCCAGCGCCCTGCTGCGGTTGGACCGGCGGGTGCCGATGGCACCCGGCGGCGTGGCCGAGCGTGGCATGGCTCATTCTTACGGCTTCTGGACTGGCCTTATGGCCTATAAATAAGCCTACGATGGCTTCTGTATGCATTTGAATTTCGCGCTTCAGGCTTTAGAGTTTCTCTGCTATGGATGCTTTGGCACAGGGGCTAGCTTTCTTGGTGGAGCATGGTGGAGCTGCTGTGTGGTTCAAATTGTCTCCAACGCGGAGTGGAGACTTTTGGGGAGCTATCCGACTCTCCTGGAGTTTCGCTTCTGCTACGGGAATTCATGGTAGGGTTTGCTGTAGAGTGCTAGTTCCACGACCAAGACTCCCCTTTCGATAGACTGAGCTATGTGAGCCGTGAGCTCTTGCATGTACTTTCGCATCACCGGGTCACAATGATCGCGATCGGCGTTGGGCCTCTGGGTGCCGTGCTCTCTGCACGACGAAGGGAAGCCTGTGGCAGGCCTGGGGCAAAGGCAGAGGTAGTTTTGGTACACTGAGATGCCTACTTCTGGGATGTCAACGAGGCGGTAAGTACTCGGTTCAGACCGTAGTTGCAAACTGGAACATAAAGTTCGCAAGAGTCCACATCACACGACATCAAGGGTCCGCTGTGAGATTCCACCAAAGACTTTGGCGACTTGATCTTTCCCAACAGTATCAGAGAGTCCTTATGGCAACATAGTCCTAAAGCCACCCCGACCGGTACCTCTTGCAGGCATTCACCAACAAAGCGGGATGCTGAGCCACGTTTTTCCGGGTTGTGCCGATGCGACACGGTCCGATGAGACAGGCGCATGCTACGAAGTTGCCAACTTTTTTCTGCTGGGCTTAGCTTTAGGTAGCTTGCGGGATTTCTTGGAGGCATGCTGCGCTCCGCGGTGCTCGGCAACCTGGTCTGTGAAACCCACCTCTGACAGCAGCAGCTCCGCGCGTTGATATGCTTTCGTCGTTCTGGAGAGAAGCTTGATCGCCTCTTCCTCTTTGGTCGGCAAGAGCTGCAGCTGCTTGCCGATCCTCTTCTCGATGCCCTGCACACGGGGCACATCCAGCTCGGACATGAGAGAAACCACCTTTCCAGGTCGTCCCGCACGTGCAGTGCGGCCAGCACGATGGACGTAGGAAGCTGGGTCGAAAGGCAACCCAACATTGATCACGACGCCAACCATTGGGATATCTAAGCCTCGGCTGGCTACATCAGTGGCCAGCAGAATGCTGGCACGACTTGCGCGGAATTTCCCCAAACTTGCAAGTCGTTGCCTTTGTGACTGCAGTGAATGTAAGCCTGTAACTGCAAAGCCTAAGATATCCAACATCGTGGTATACATCTGGCATTCCTCGATGGTCTGCGCAAAGATTATGCAGCTCTCATCTGGGAAGTGTGATTTCAACAGAAAGTGCAGATAGTTCACCTGCACGGACTTGGGGACAAACACATACAGTTGAGTCAGGTTCTGAAGGGTCTCCTCATTGGGGTTCGCGTCGACCAGCATTAGATCTTTTCCTTTCCTCAACCTCTCGATGCACTCGGTAATGGTGGCCGAGAAGAATAAAGTCTGCCGTGACTCCGGAAGCACTTCCAGGATTCGACTCAAAGGATCCTCGAAGGTCTCCGTAAGGAGCTGATCCTTAGAGAGGGGTTTACGCGCTCACGACTCGGACATACCAGGCGAGGTTCTCAGTGCGAGGTCGGCGTGCTGAGGGTTTAGGGTTTTGCTGGAAAAGTCGTCTACACGTGTGTGTGTGTACATTGCACGTTACCGGTCCCACTGTCAAGCCTTTTAAACCCCACGTGAGGGAGGCGCCGTGCCCACAAGGGGACGGGTCCATATAGCATTACCATGGATTGGGGAAGGGGGTGGACCCGTGAACGCTGTCACATATGATCTGCGATGAGTTCTCCTCTACTGGCCTTCATTCTAGCCTGTGGTGATGGGGAGTGCTTAGACAGGACGTCCCTGCAGCAATTCCAAGCATCTGCTTCGTCCAGGACGAAAGTATGCAACTTTCGAAAAGCCCGAGCCAAAGCAAAATCGCCGCGCAAGAGGTCCGCCAGCCTTCCAGGCGTAGCCACCAAAACATGGGTCCGATCCGCAATCAGCCTGCTCTGAATGGAGAAATCACGTCCGCCGACAATCTCTCCGACGCTGACGTGGATAGCCTGGCCCATGGCACGGAAGTTGTCTGCGACCTGAAATGCGAGCTCTCGTACAGGCACGAGGATCAAGGCAAAAATGCCGTAAGGATCCTTAGACAGGAAGTGTAGAATAGGCAGGCTGTAGCATGCGGTCTTGCCGCTGCCAGTACGTGCATTTCCGGCGATGTTCTTACCAGACAGCACAGGTGGGATCGCCATGGCCTGAATATCAGTGGGGTAGTTCATGCCCAGCTTTCCACATGTGTCGACGATCCACTTCGCCAGACCTAGTTTTGAAAAGGAGGTGTTTGTCCGAAAGAGCTTCTGCTCAGGCTCCTCGGCTAAATCTGCAACAGGTGCCTTGGCCTCGTCCTGAGCATCGGTTGGGGGGACAACTTCCTTCCTTCTCGCCAGCTTCCTCTTGGCTCTGACAGGAGGGTCTTGGCGTGCTCGCTTTTCAGTGCTCTCCGCTGACGAGGCTTTCAGCTCGGGGGCAGCTGCAGATGCTCTTCGCTTCTTTAGTTTGGCCATGAAGGAGTCATTTGCGACCAGCTACTGCTGTCCAGATTGCACATGCCCAAAAATGGAGGATCCCTTCTACTCTGCTCTTGCACCTGTTGCGGTTACAAACAGCTTGTGTAACTACCGGAGTCGGGCAGATGCACTAAGTGTGCCCCGTGTCAACATGATCTGCAACGGTTCGCACCTGCAGCACGGGCAGACAGGTGGTTATATATGCTTCTACAGCTCAGCCAAACACCGGCGTCTGCGCGATTGGGACATGTCATTCCTTTACCGGGTACGCGGCCAAAACTAGCAGCCTTGAGAGCGTTCAACCCTTCGTAAAACCGGCTACCGATGAGCCGTGAGCCATCATCAACACTTGCCGGACCAACATCTGTCAAACTCGCTCCGCTCGAAGCTCAGCAGCTCTGCGAGTGCTGTAGCACTGTAGCAGCTTGGGCAACATTCGAGAGCTACAAGTAGCAGCAAGAAACACGAGATGACGCACCCGACACAGAACGAATCTCCAAGTCCGCACCTCCCGGCCAACACAAGCAGAAACTCCATCGGCTATTGATGGGCTGGCATGTTCTCCTGCACTGATCATACATAGTTGTCGAGATTACTGAAGTCTCGGTGTAAGCCCATATTGTAAATGCCAAGCGATGCAAATTACAGAAGTTTTGCGAGTTGCGGTGGCAAGTACTTATGTCGAAGTCGGTCTGCTGTGCTGGGCATGCTGGAACACCTCCGGCAATCTCAGTATGTGCCAAGGGCCTACGGGAAGGAGCAGGACACGCCAACAAGCGAGGGAATGAGCAAAGCGGGGCAGATTTATGACCTCCGAACTGCGACCTGTGAAGGCCGAGGCTTTGCTATACACATCGCGTCAGAATGGTTCAAGAGACTCGTAAGGGGCCGCAAAGCCACCGATAGTGCAATCACGAAAGCATGATGCACTGGGACACCCGCTGCAGTGGCGAGACTTCAGATCAGCAAACGCAAAGCCCAAACAATACGTTGGACTGAGTACCTGTGAAAGCATTTAACATTAGAACTATAACCCAACACAAAGAATGGGGCAGGGCTTTGGCTCCCTGACCTTGACCTGCACCAGACTTGAGGCCTTTTAGCCGCATGTCTTGCAGGTGCTGACAGCCTCAAAGCCAATCATGAAGCAACCGGTGTCAAGCAGGGACACTAGCACAGGCCAGTCTTGTCCAGGCATGCAAAATTCAGTCTGCTAGGCACACGTTGCACCCCTAAGATTGAGATACGTTGAGTATCCAGGTAGGTGCCATACCTCAGGCTCGACCATCTTTGCTTAGTCGGCCTTTTGTTCCAGACGTCGCTTTGCTGGTTCCGATCCGTCATCGTAGGGAATGTAGGTTCCCATGAGCTTGTCCTCGTTTTGTCTGCACTTCTACCGAGACACTGGAGTAATGGCGCACTAGTGCAGCCCCGGCTCCCAAAGCATTGTAAATTGTCCAAAATTTCTGTCTGGCCGGCGGTGGTGCATTTCGTGGGCGCCGGTCGAATACCAGTCCACACCTGCTCAGAAAACGCTGGGAAGATCCTAGGAAGACGCCTCACATGCCTTGCCTAGGAAGCGGACTTCGAAGTCGAACCCCGCGTGGTTGAGCGAAGCTCCCGTCGTCATGAGGGCGAGATGGGTACCCAGGGCAGCCGCATGCAGGCCGACCGTGTGGGCAGTTATCTGCACGGCACACATCCATAAGAACATCGCAATCCTCAGCCCACAGACATTTTCCAAGTCTGGAGCTTAGTCTTTGGAGGCACATGCATCGAACCTGAACATTGGCGAACAAGCAGATCTCAAATGCGCGCGGTAGCTTCGTGCAAGACTGACTGTAAGATTCTGGAGCATTTATCAAGGCAAGCTTCAACTGCTCGACAGGATGCTCGTTGCGAGCATCGATGTTTCCACGCGTGGGATAGACTGACCGATGATGGTGTTTGTGAATGTAAGGGTAGATGGACGGATGATGCAGCAATCCTCGGCTCCGGCACGATCGAAACTCATGCAACTGGCCGTCCTGATGGGAGACATGGCAGTCGTGCTGTAATGCAACTATTGGAGGTGCAACGACCAGACGAGCATGTCATGAAGGACAAGCGGCGATGAGCAGGAGCGTAGAACATGTCGTTGAGAAGAATGATCAACCTACAGTTCCGAATTGCACTCACAAAGCTCATGTTGATTCTGTTGGTTTCTCTTCGAAATCCCTCCTCCCCAATCTGGATCGAGTCAGGACACAGAAGCGCCAGAGGTCCTGTCAGAATCCCGAAGGAGCTCCAGCTGCGGAAAATCACGGGTGAGCTCCACCTCGCTTGCGTTTCCAGCAGATAGGGACGTCACATCTGCTCATGCTGGGAAATTCTGCGTCGGCACCGTGCGAGTTGCCAAGTTCAGCAGATCTCATGTTACACCACGTGCAGCTTGGAGGCATCACGTTGAGTATGTGGCATGTGAAAACTGACTCGATGACGGAATTCATAGAAAGGAACAGCATGTCCTGTCACTTTCTGGGCCCTGCGGCTGTTTCCACGGCACAGTCTGCGACAAATGCACAAAGCACGTGCTGCCCAGTCCTTCTTGTCCAACCTGAGCCGAGACTGCCAGAAAAGCGGAAGCCCAAGAATGATCAAGTCTAGTGATATCAACTGCATCCAAGCAGCTGATTCTTGTACAATACCTTGTCACCAGTACGGCTTGGCAGCTCCTTCAGGAAGCTGCAGGCGCAGGTCACGCCTCAGATCCCAAACTGGCAGAAGTCATGGCAATGGCCAGGAGCCGTTGGGAAAGCCAATTTCAACCAAGCTGGAAGCCAAGGTCAGCTGCTTGCAAGGCAACTTCCTGGAGAAGGAGGAAGCTTTCTGCGCGCCACCCCAAAAAGTGAGTGGGCCTTGACCACGACGGAGGCCAACCACATCGGAAAAGAGAAAGAAAGTGGATTGACCACAGAGGCCAAAGGCCCCATGAAGGAGTCCATACTTCCTCTGCTAGGACAAGGGAAACTCTTGCATACCGTCAGGGGCACACCGTGACACTTGCGGCAACTACATGGAGAAGCCGTAAGTGCCGCACCAAAAAGTTTCCACAGGTTGCCAGTTGCCCAGCTACCTATGTCCCCAAGTTTGAGCAGCTGGCGACCCCAGATCGGTCAGCATAAGGAGTCCCAACAGGGCGGGTGTCTGCTCGGAAGGCCATTGTTCAGCATCCTATGGCTCAGCAAGAATTCATTTTCTCGCCGAAGAGATTTTGCGGGTGGCCGGCCAAGCACCGCACCCCGCATCCTCCATCCAGGGGCAGCTACGCTGCTGTCACAGGGACAGGGAATCTCTGGGATTTGTACACTTTGGACAGGTCAACTACCACCTCCAAGTAAGATAAACCAGCACCTCTACTCACAAGATGCACAGCATGTCATCAGCGCTATCTCAAGCGCGCGGCATCCATCCGAAGACCCCCGAGTCTAAGGCCGTGAGAGCAGCGGCCAGGAAGACCTTCCCGCCAAGCCATGAATGGTAGCCCTTGTCCAGAAAATCGCCTTCCATGGCATACTCTCTTGACATTTCCCAGTGAGATTCAAAAGCAAACGCCCATTAGAGCTGGCCGAGCTACCCAGTGCTTGCAGCCAAGTGAAGCCTCCGGCTGCTGCGCACAGCAGCTGGAGTTTCGCCCGCTGCTCCGGCTTGTCAGCCCTCTGCAAGCAAACGAAGCCACCCAGGTACATGGCGATGGCAGCGGCCTTGCCAATCCTGGAGCGATGAAGGACATCCAAAGATCTCGATCTAAGCTACTTGCCAGAGACATTTACGAGCAGAAAGCAGAAGCTAATAGCGCAAGGGTATCGAGAGCATCGAAGCAGGCACGCACGGGAATTTAAAAGCCTTCCTTGCCGAGATGCAGCTGTAGATCTGCTCCACGATATTTTGGTCTGACCTGTCTTGAAACTAAAGAGCATGAAACTGTATGCCGACACCACATCTCATGCCAAACCAACCCGTGACATGTGGTCGAATCAAGCCCAAGAATTAGCCATCTCAGCTTTGGCCACCCTCCGATACAGTAGTCTTTACACGGCCTCCTTCTCGGGCAAGCTCCAGGAACTCTTATCCTCCAGCATGGCCGCGTACTTCTGAACCAATTGGCTCGGCGTCCATAAAAACTGGTGCTGAGCTCCTGGGTTGAAGTGCCGGATCCTCCCCCAAAAACACTCTGAGATTCGAGGAGCCTAGGACCCTAGGATCTGGTCATCTCATTGCATCTCAGTTGCGCTTGGAGACCGAAGAGCGCAGCAAGTGCCAGAAGCAGCCACCTCGTAGAAGATGAAAGCGGCCCATTTTGCGCCAGTGCTGCAGATTTAACTCCACTACGTTGAAAGTTCCCGCTGGCTGTGCCAGCCCGAAATAATCCAATCGTTCTGTTTCAGCTTCGTATGTGCTGAAAAGCCGGTCCCAGATGATCCTCGGTTTTGCTGAAGGGTAGATTCTTTACTGTCTCTGTGTCAAGTTCTTATGTTTCGAAATAAGAAACCCTGAACCCTTTTTGAACCCCTAAACCCTAATCCCTAAACCTTGAGCCCTAAACCCTAAACCCCCAAATCCCCCAAAGCCAGGGATCAGGACCCCAGCATAGTTGCAGTTCCCAGGCGGCCGGTGGTGCATTCGGTGGTGAAAGGGGGTGTTGAACACGTACTCCAGGAGGCCCAGGCGGCCGCAGAGTTCGGTGTGAATCCAGAACTGGTACATCATGTTGAGCTGTGCATGTATCCTCAGCTGCGAAATGGAAAAGAGAGACTCTGAGTTCACACGGCCTCAAGAAGAGGCTCGGCGAAGAAAGGGCTACGAGGTAGTCGGCCTGGACAAGGGCAGTACTGTAGTAGTGCATCCGGGTCACAAGATAGACTCTGCAGGAAAGACCAATGCAAGGGGCAAGGAAAAAATCCATGTCATCATGGGCTGGAGAGCTCCTTGCCGAAGTGCCGTGGCTAGGTTGTAGTCCTAAGGATCGCAGGCGGGGCACGACCACTACCGGTAAGAGGTTTAGGATTTAGGTTTTCGGAGCTCACACTCGGACAATCCAGGCGAGGGATGTGGTTCGGAGTCTGAACGGTGAGAATACACTAGAAAGAGTCGAGACGATAAAACAACAACAATGATAGCCAACACATAAAATGACTGTACTCCTCTGCGACTTCATCCCTGTAGCTGCAGATCACTCCAAGGGTATGGGGAGGGCAAAATACCTAGGAGCACTAAGATACTGGTAAGGACCGGGTTCGTCCAGGTATATTGTGATCTGTGTTCGTGCCATCTTCTCGAAAATGATTTCGACTAGCCCTTTTGGCCATGGCTCAGATGAAATAGATGGGGTGATATATGATGGACATGTGGGACCTGCTGCACCCATGCACTTGCAACATGCAAAGATACTCACACGTATGCAACATGCAGTCATACAGTGCCATACCGGAAAAGGATTTAGGGTCTAGGGTTTAGGATCTGCCCACTTCAAGCACCAAGAGTCCTCACCGGAGTGGTGCGCACTGTGGGCAGCCCATCCGGTATGCAGCACATGCATGCTCCGGTGAGCCCAGTAGTAGGCCAGGTCCATACCAAGGAAAAGACAAATCCATGTTGTCAGCGGCTTGCCTGGCGAGCCGTCTTCCAGTGCTAAAGATGATTTCAAGTTGGAGGCATGGTAACTCAAGTTCGGGCAGTTTTCGGGAAGCAGCTACGAAGCTTTTACCCCAAGTTCTGGAACACACACGGCCAGCCTTTCACATCGAAGTCGACCAGGCGGCACGTGTCATTCACCAACCGGTATGCCGCTTTGGGATCTGCAAACTTGGAAATCAAGGCCACCACCAGCTGCTGACAAGTGCCAGAAGAAATGGATGCCAGTAGGTCGTTAAACCGATACAGACTCTTTTCGGCAACGACTGTCCCGACACCAATCTCCGTCGCAATCATGAGAAGGAACATGCCCTCAGCCGCAGCGAGAGACAACCCATGCCTAAGTGTCCTGAAGCAGAATCTGATGGAACGTTGAAAGCAGAACGACTCAGATCCCAACGAAGCCATGTTTTGCGATGAGGTTTGGGACCTTCTCTCCTTTGGTGAGAGCTAGGCGCTCTGGCGGCACCAAATAGAACATGCACTGCAAGCTCTCGGAGAACCATGTCGCAGCCCACGCCTCAGAGTCTTGCGTCTTCTACATACATGCTTGTGCAACGGAACAGCAAGAACCACAGGCTTCCCAAGGTCGCCGCAAGCATTGCGCCAGTGTCGAGCTTCCCCACCATGCCGCGAACATCAGACACTAGAGACATCAGAGAGAAGCGATGTGAGCCAATTAACAATTGGACTTGGTGGCCTGCAGGTGGTCTTTCTCGATGTGCTGGCTCATGTCTCGGGATGGCCGGGGTACCCGCGGTTAGTGATTGTCGGGCGTTTTGTCACTTCCCGTTGGCCACGTGCTCGAGCCGCTGGATAACATAGCTCGAAGGCATGCCAGAGGTCAACTGCATGAAACCGGCGCTCTGCCCTGCCGATTCAACCCCCCAGTTCGTTTAAACCCAAATGCTTCGCGAAGCTGCTGAAACTGGCAGTGATTCAGGAGGTCTGCAGCTGCACGAACTTGGTGTCGGTAGTAAAAGACATTCAGAATCCAGCAGAGGTGTTTAGAAAAAGAGTGTGAAAGGTCGAGAGTAGCGTCGAGAGTAGAGTTTAGTATCTCAGAGTAACTCTCACGAACTCCTGCCTCAGATTTTTACACCGCTGACAAAAAACAAGGTCACTCACCAAATAGTTCACTAACTTTTGGGGCATCGGGGTTCTATAAAGGCCGATGACCGGCAGTCGAGTTCCTAGAGCTCCATTGAAAGAGGAGCTGTTCATCTTCGGAATCGATGACTCCATGCGCGGCACTCGCGCACGGTAGCCCAAAGCTTCGCAACTGCTTCGCACCTCATGGGCACCTTTGATCTGCATGCTCTGCAGGGCACCCTTCAAAAGTTTCGCTCTGCAGCCATCAAAGCTGGCCAAGACAATTATGAGGCCTCCTCGGCAGAGTCAAGACTCAAAACACCGCCTCGCTCTCCCCAGAGGCCGGGGGTCATGATGATACATGGTACAAGTATGTTACATTGTTACATCCCAATGCACAGTTTGGCAAGTTTACTGCATGTTGCTCCGATCAACATCCAAGATGTCCTCTTCGTCATCCGCCTGCGCGGTCACGGTCGCCTCTTCAGCCGCCGCAGATTCGGTGGTCGTCGTCGTCGTCGTTGTAGTAGTTGTCGTGGTGGGGCAAGGCTCCGCGTTGCACGCCTGTCACGTACTGGTTCCTAGATGCCCGGCTCTGTGCTCCAACCACCCGAGGCCCGAGGGTTAAGGCCGTCCGGGATAGCCCACTACACACCGAGTTCGAAACGATGGTCCTGGTGGTCCAAGGCGCTGCCAGGGCAGTCCTCACGCGGGCACCACTTCAAGCTCAAGGTTGGCTGGGAGAGGGCTTTGCCCTCAACCCTGACCCCCGGACCCGCAGCATCACACGGCTATCGTATTGGTCCTGCCCTCCGTTCCTGGTCTTGATCATTATTCTTCGATTTCGCTGCCTGGAATTTGCCAGCTCCCAGGCAGAAACTCTCAAAACAGTCAAGTTCACTGGCGGGCAATTTCAGCGTGCGCCTGGATCCGCCGCCACAGCTCTTCGAGCAGCTGCCCCACGCAGACCAGTCCGACCATTTGCAGTCGATCTGCAAATCGGGGAATTGTTTTTGTTGCTTCCGATTGGGGAGTTGTTTTTTCCAACGGCTTTGGGCCTTTGAGCCGACCCCATCATAAAACGCCTTTTGAATCTTTTAGGTAGGTCGTATACACAAGCTGCAAGGGAAGGTGAACAGGCTTAGAAGAGACTGCATTGCAAAATCACGGATCATGGAAGCGCAAAGCCACGCCTTGCAAAGCGTCACGCCCTTCTGGTCCTTGATCTCTGGGAGTGTTGCCCCGCAGAAGCCTGGCCAGCTTGTGGCTTGCGGTGCATTCATCTGTGTAGCTCAGCTGCGTGTGCACGTGCAGGAATAGTACATGAAACATAATATTCGGCAGGTTGAATAATGCATAACTGCATTCAGATGCACATGGCGAGATTCAAGTATGTTAGTCTATGTCGATCTCGATCTGTGTATCTACCCCACATCTTCTGTTTAAGCCTAGCTACCCTATCTGCCAATCGATCAGTCTATTCTTTCCATCCATCCGTCAATCCAACCATCCGCCGATGTGCATCTGTCTGTTTATCTGTCGGTCTGACCATCTGTCTCTCCCTGCCTGTCTATGTGTATATCATAAGAATACAATTTCGAAAATACAGACACATACATACACAAAGATAGACACTTCTAGGTGGGTGCATCTGCATAGAAAAATGTATGTAGACATAACTCTATACAGATAGATGGATGGGCGCATATGTGTATAAATACAGACAAAGAAAGAGGGAGAGGGAAGACGGGGAGAGAGAGAGAGGGAGGGAGTGACGGAGACAGATGGAAGGACGGACAGACAGACAAACAAACACCGAGATAGAGAGAGAGGGAGGGAGCGAGAGCGGTGAGATACCGAGAGACAGAGAAATAGATATATAGACGAAGCTTTAACGACATGTGTACATATGTACAATTATATACACACACATAAGGAGCATGTTGTATGCATTGACATACCTACATAGCTACCTACATCAGGCATCCCTCCCTACATACATGCATACACCCCAAAACCTTGTTTGACAGTTTGGACTAAGATTTTACATACCGTGCACCTACTGGGCAAGCAAATTTACCCTCAGCCAAGTCTCGGCTCACTTCATGACTATTCCTATGTGAATGCGGGCAAGGGACCGACCTCGCCCCAGCCAAGCTGAGGATCTCTAGAGTCGCAAGAGATCTGATGGGCGTTCATCCCAGTTCCTGTCAGCTTCTGCTTCCGCCAGTGTGAAGCTTGTGGACTGTCGCATGACAGGTTGATTCAGCCCAAGCAATGAAGTTGACAGGACACATTCCAGTCTTGACTCAAAGCGAGGCTGCTTGGACATACACGCGATCACCAGTCCATCGACGAAAAACGACTGAGAGTCACAAGTTACGTAAACAGCGCAAGCTCCACACACGGGGCTTTTCAGGTTGCACCATTATAACTCCAACATCAACTCGAGTCACTCGAGACTCCAACCCCGGGCCTCGGAAGGGAAGGATGTTTACGTCCTTATCATCGAAGAAGTACGTGTTGCTCTTCCTTACCACGGTAGAGCCAGATCCCACGTCACAACAACAACATGCCGATGAAGCACACAGTGATGAACCTGCGAGAATGCTTTTTATGCGCGTGCACAATCGTCGGCTTCATCCACTGGTTGGCCGAGTGCTCTCCGACCATTAAGAGTGCATGGCCAAGTATCGGAATGCACACTTGTTGAGATGCATACCTGCAGGCATGCTGAGCATCAGCTCAAGATGGCAGTTGCGACGAGTAGAACAGTTCGCTTCGGGCTTGGGCCGGCACCACTCCAAAATCTGAGCGACGGCATCCTGCTTTCGTCCGTCTGGCTGCGAGACGACGTACGGCGACCTCAGAAGCAGATCGAAGACTGCGCGTGGTCACGTGACGGTGCCTTCTACCCGAGTCGACCCACACATCGGAGCCGAAGATGATTACTGTAAGCCGCAGGCAGCAGCTTCATGTCCTTATGGGTAAACAAGCGGCAAGTTTGAGATCGATGATACTTTGAAGATTTGATGCAGGCAGGTCACACTCCATGCCGCGTTCTGTGGCTTCATCTGGAACTTGTCCATTGCGTCGCTCCGCAACACCTGAGTTTCATTCGCTGAAAGCCGAACCGTGTGGCAGCAACGGTTTCGACTACAGCAGCAACTGCCTCATCGTCGATTCATTGTCGCAGCGATTGCACAAGTCGGTCGAGTCGATCACCACAACCACTCAGAAAAATTGATGTGTTCCGTTCAATCCCTGGACCAATGTACTGCCAAAGGCTGGGGATAACGACCGTGAATCCGGAAGAAAGCCGAAGTCACCCCTGAAGCTTTCGCTATGGAATAGCATGTTCCATCATTCACAGGGCGGCCTGGTGCAAGAGCTCCTGGCGCCCGGATGTTTTGAGATGTTCGCTGCGTTTAGGAGAGCTGAGTCGTTCTCAGTGCTCACGGGATCATACCGTGAAGAGGGGGCAGGCTCTGGGGAAATTGCTATGCGGGTAACCTCCGCCTGTGGCGACTTTCTGCAGTCTTGCCAGAACTCCGCCGAGTGAGGCATGCCGAAGGCTTGTCGAGGTCGGGCGGCCGAGCGGTGCTCAACTTAATGTTGCCCCCTTCAGCCCTACTAACACCGAGATCTGCTGTCAAAGCCCGTCATCGCAAGGCGACCCAAAAACTAGCGACGCTTGTCATCCTCGAATGTTCCGGAAGCCCTGGTCTCCTCGCGCTCCCGAGAGTTGGCCCCACTGCCATCGCCGTGAGAGCAGATGCCCAAGTAGCACTTCGCACAGAAAGTGCCGGACATTCCTCGACACGTCACAGGTAACTGACGACCATGGCTGGCTCACTGCATGAAATTTCTCTCCTGCGCTCTGCTTTGCAACGACACGGATATGCCTACACGGTGCATAAACCATTACAAGTAGCCGTGCTACCACCGACCTGTGGTTGTTTGCGGAACTGGCGCTGGCGCAAGTGCTGACCCTCCGGAAGTCATTGAAAACTTGCTGTCGCGTTCCCAGTTTGCTGTCGTCCTGTTCCGGTTGTGCATGAAGCCCGGAAAGCGAGAGTAGTTTGGGATGGCGAATCGGTTTTTAGAGGATGACTCCCCGTACCTGTTGTCTTGTCGTCGCGTGTGCTGGTCACTCAAGCCAAGGTGCGCGCGGCTGCCAAAGCGGACAAAACCAAATCGCCACCTCCATAGGCGGTGTCGACAATTCCATTTGATGCAGTAGAACCCGGGCAGACATCCTGCATGGAGCAAGAGAGAGAGAGACAGAGAGAGAGAGAGAGAGAGAGAGAGAGAGAGAGAGAGAGAGAGAGAGAGAGAGAGAGAGAGAGAGAGAGAGAGAGAGAGAGAGAGAGAGAGAGAGAGAGAGAGAGCGAGAGAGAAAGAGAGAGAGGGAGAGAGGAGGGGGAGGAGGGAGGGAGGGAGGGAGGGAGGAGGGAGGGAGGGGAGGGGGAGGGGAGGGGAGGGGAGGGGAGGGAGGGAGGGAGGGAGGGAGAGAAAGAGGGAGGGGGAGAGAGAGGCCCACCCGCACGCACACACAAACTCAAAAACGGAGTAAATGTCGTGCAGACACTTGTTTCTTCCTCGGATGGGCGTCCCGAACATGTGTGCAATATGGTAAGCTCGGGCGAGGCACATGCTGGCCCTGCTTGGAGGTGAGAGTTCGATCAATGTCGAAGACGCAGAGGCAAGCATCTTGCTGCTCCTTGCCCGCCTTACGTTGAGTGTGGCAAACCAACTTTCCCGGGGGGCTGCTGCTGTTTACTAGCAAAGCCCATCCAAACTACAACAGCTCTCGCGGCTTCTCGCTGGCAAGAGTCGCAGCTCGGAGCCACAACGGTAGGCGCTCGATTGGGCTGCGCCACGGGCCCAGTGCAGGAAACGCTGCACGGCTTTGGGCACTTGGCAGGGTTGGCCTTGTATACTTGGCATTGGAATTCTGGCAAGCCTCGGATCACATGGACAAAGGTGACGTGATCAGCTCAAATTGCTTGCTTGCCAAGGGCATGGGGACTCGGGTCCCGGCTGCGCCTTTGAACCCCCCCTACAGCGCTTAAGTCCTGTCTCTCTGTCTTTGTGGGTTGAGGAAAGGCTTCTGCATGGGAGTCTACCAGAAATTGTTGAGCTCGCCGGTGCCAGGATCTGCCAAGCGACTGGAACCTTGTGAGAGGCCGGGGTACCAGTCAGGATGGCTGCGAATTCCTTCGTTCTTCGCCCACATGACGTCGTCCATGCAGGCACCACCAGTACTATCCTCGCAACTGCTATCCGCGTCTACGTCCTCCACGAGGCCGCCTTTCAGTTGCAGAGCTTCCAGAGCACACTCGCCCGTTTGGCATTCGTCGTCCAGCTGCAGTGCCGGGAGAAATGCGCTAGCAAGTGGCAGAGCAGCCCAGCACAAAGTAAGTTTCGAGAACATCGCTGCAACAGGGAAAAGAGTCAAAGGGCTAAGCTGCGACACGGGCGGCATGACTGATGCCCTTGAGAGAGAAACACAGCCAGTCAGCCGGAAAGCTTCTCATGTGCTCGATCCCTGCAACCTCCAAGACCGGGACCGGGCTTCCGTTCCTCGCAAAGACGCATGCTTTTTGCCGCGTAAGCGCCTCACCGCAAGAAACCGCCTACAGTCGGCAAGTTTACTACAGCTGCAGACATGCAGCGCGAAGAGTTGGTCCTTTCGAAGTCGAGTGCAAGGTCTGCAGGTTGCTGCTGGCCAGCACGGCTCGAAACACGCGAGGCCAGGCCAACAACACACTCTCACACAGTGGTTTGCAAATCCGGCTGAGTGTTGGGGTTCGACAGTCGTCTTCGTCCTCCGTGACCACCATTATCCAGAAAAAGAGGCTCATGATTCACGGGCTTCAGGTTGAGCAAGGTGTCTGGTCCCATGCGGCAGACGGGGTCTGTTCATGGTGGCGGAGGGCATCTCAGCATCTTCAGTTCAGAAGCTGTGAACCACCTCCTGTTCGAGAACTTCAATGGGCCAAATACGCAAATCTGACAGGTTCCGCAAATGTCTGCTCAAGCCGATGTCAACACATAGCTGTCTCCCCTGCCTTGCAGCTGCAGAGTAGCGACGGCGCGCATGCAGGAAAAGATGCAAACATCTCAATCACTTTGAAATACCTATTATTATCTTGCAAGAGGCTACCGTTAAGCCACACGAAATCCGGACGCATTGTTAATCTTGCCATCGTCTCAAAAACAGCATTGTGCCAACGCAAGAAGGCGACTCAAAAATGGCAGCCAGAAAGTTCTGCTGATGAAATCACCTAAACGAAGCGTAAACATCGCAGTGATAGTATCAAGACGTAACAAAACGACAATCTAACAAGCCAACATGTGGCAAACACCGAAGAGTGTTGGTGATTCTTACTCTGCCATGCATAGCAAAACCTGTACCGCGGCTGAGTCCTGCTTAGGGTTCATAATCCGAAAACTAAGCTAAGCCGTGTGACAAGTCGTCAATTTGAGCGCAGTGGTGCTGCACCACAGAGTCGCTAATTGCTTCTCCTTCCACCTTCACGCCGGAATCAAATTCAGGGAGGGTGTCTTCTATCCTGAACTTTCCCCACAACCCGTCACAAACAGGAAGGTTCGGACATTGTACGAGTAGCTGTTTAAGTTGGCCAGTCCAACTGACGACATCTGCAGAGCCTGATGACTCTGGGATTTGGGACGGCTGCCACGCCGGATCAACCCATCCAACCGCATGCTACACTGCCTCATGCTGCCTCCAAGTGGCCACGAAGGCAACATGCGCCATAGAACCAGCAATGCATGCAAGCCAGTTGCTGTACGACCGGACACCCGGCAGCAGTGGAAACTTCAATTTGATGTCGCTCCTGACCGACGATCCGAGAAACAGGACTAAGCCTTTTCAGAGCCTTTTCTCACTAGCTCCAAAACGGCTTTTCTCAACCACGTGCGTAAGTTGAAAGAAAGGAGAACATCCATTTGCGGCTGTGTGGCTGGGCGTGACTTTGGTTCAGGCCTGTCGGGTTCGTCTTCGCGCAAGAGGCATAAGAAAGGGGCCAGACAGATGCAAAAACTGTATAGATAGTTGCAGCCTGCAAGTTTGGGCACAGAATACATTAAACCGAACTGCTCCGGCCTGAAGGTTCGTACATGGAACACCACTCCACTAGTGTTGGCAACCGCTCTTCGGAGGGACGGGTTGCCGTGTCGAGGTGCCGAGCCAGTCGCCCATAGCGCCAGAGGTCGAACTCCTTGTACCTCGATACGAGTAGAACATTTCTTCTCAGTTTTGGCTGTCACTTGTCACTCCTTCAGGGTCTCACAAGTTCAGAATAGAGCCTGACGAAATGGCCCAGGGGCAAAGAAAAGGAGCGTCCCAGAATACACCCTCTCAGGTGCTCCAGGTCCCAGTTGACCCCAGAGCTCCAGATGCTTTGAGTGCACGGCTCGTATAGCGGCACGTCGGCCAAAGCCTGGAAGTTCTTCGCCCTCGGTGCAGAACAATCTGCAGCTAGTCTTATTGCCACGACGAGACGGCTCATCAGCTGACTTGTAGCTTTGCAAAAACTCCTGAGGCGGTACTGTATAGGGGCACTATATAGAATCCCCATGCAAAAAACAACTTACACACTTCCTGCAACTCATTCGAGGTTCTGATGCTCAACGCCAAGGCCCGGCTCGAAGCGAAAACAAGCTGCCGACAGGTTTGCAAACGCACAGCTGTGCTCAAACCTTGGCACACTCTGTTTGGGGCATGGTGAGCAGTCTCCCCAACCGTCTTGCAAAAATAGGTGAGTCGAGACCGTCGAGACAATTCCCGCACATACTGAAACCTGCCAAACCCTACTTTAGGCCCTGGCGACCAGGGCCTAAACCCCTCAGTAAACTTCAACCCCACGACCCAAGCCCAAATTGCCAGGCCACATCCAGGTTTTCATTTCCCCACTTCTTCTCTCCGCCGCCTAGGGCACAGCTTTGATCAAAAGCAAATCAAAGCATCACTCACGCCGCACAAGTTAGGCCTGCATATGAGAATTCAGGATTCAGTGCCTTAAAAAGGCCTGCTCCTAGACTCCTAGGTGTGTGTATGCACAGCAACTGGTGGCCTGGTGTCTTCGTTCTGGAGACGACCACTCTTGAGCTACATCCACTTCTTCGATCGGCTCCTTTGGCAAGGAGTCGCCATCGTACTCCGGAGTCCAACCTTTACCGCGCGTCTTCCAGAACTCCATGAAGGCACCGCCAGCACAAATGTAGCCTCAAGGTGCAGACTTCAGTGGCTCAAACGGGAACCTAAGCAAAAAGCCTCCATGACTTGGCAATTGAAACTGCGAGAGTCAAACCGAAGCACCCAGTTGCGGAGACTGGCTGGAGCGGCAGATTCCCATGGCATTGTCCAGCCTCAGCTGCCCGATGCATAAAACATAAGCGTCCATGTAGCAATGAAAGTACAATTATATCCGCGCTGCAATGTAAGTACAACGATGTCCGCAAACAAGCGCTTGCTCTTGCTACAGCTACAGCAATCTTTGCATCAGCTATAGTTGGTGAGCAGTTGGTTCAAAACAACACGAAGCTTTTCCCAAGCAGCATCTGCATTGACAGCTCGAAGCCTGCAGTTCCATTTCGCACTCGCTCGCAGGCAGGTCGAGACGTGTAGGTCGATCGCTGGCCTGAAAAGCGGGAAGTTTTGAGCTCAAGCGGATTGGCTTTCGACTCCAGGCCGGCCTTTTCTTCCGACTACAAGAACCGGCAACATACTCAGTGGTCTGCCAATACCTACCGGCCGTTAGAATGAGACGTTTAGACTGGATTGCGGATCGTTGTTGTGCAGCGATTCGTTAAGCATGCGGCTTAAACGATGGCCGTCGCCTGAATCCAGACCAAGCACGATACCGGCCAGCATGGCTCCATGTCCAAAGCCATGTATACAGTGCACAAAGAGGCCCGGCAGTTCCTAGCCAGGTGTGCTGGGCTTCAGAAATCTTCAGAATCTCCAGGACAGTCAGAATCCCTTAACGTCGATTGTGGCCCTTTCACAACCGTCGGACGCTCCTGCTGAAAGGCGGAGCAGATGTGTCCCATGGCAAAATCCCAGAGTCCCGACGCATTGGACCACTCTGAAGCCTGGAGGCACCAATGCAGGGGCTGGCAACTTTCGGTGCTGCAAATCACACCGCAGCAGACCCTTCTTTCCAGTGACAGCTTGAGGATGCAAACCCGGAAAAAAGTAGCTCACGAAGAAATCCTATGAAATCGACAATTCAAATAAAGCCAGATAGGATGTACTCTTCACAGTACGCTGTTTGCCAGCAACCTTTTCCAGAAAGGCATCCCGCTCGGGGCCTCCAGGAAGGCCAGCATTGCCGCCCAAGTGACAGCGTGTAGCGGGGCACCACCCAGTTTCAAGGAACCGGCCACTTCCACCTGCAAAAGGCGGCTGGAAAAGAAGTGCATGAACTGAAGTGCTGAAAGAAGCCGGGCCGCGGCGTGCCACAAGTAGCTCCTGCCACTCCTTGCTCAACAACAGATGGCAACAGCAAAGTAGTGGTGAAGCTAGAACCAGCTTCCTGCAACAAGATACTAGCTAGGTAGTACGAGCCTGCCGGCTACGTCTTGTTTGAACCAAGAGGCACCAGCAGGTGCGGTTGAAGCCGGCCGACGATGTAGGCACCAAGATCATGCTTCCAGTCCACCGATACGTCCAGTAACTCCGACGACAACTCGTCCAAATCGATACCCCACACATCTCCGGAGTCCTGCTCGCTCTCCTGCTCCATGCCAGAAATCAAGTCGATCCACCCGTTCATGCCCACTCGGGGCAACCACTCCTCAAACAAATGGCACAAGTTCTTGTGCACATCCTCTGGCTGGCTCTGCTGCAGGATGCCCACGAGATCGGTCATGGATTGACGGGCGACGGTCGAGTTTGGGTCCACCCACAACGGATTTTTCGTTGAAGGCACCAGCGAACCCTGAATGCCAGAAGTCCCCCTGTTGTAGCGGCCCCAGTTGCACAGGGCATGTCGCATGTTGCGAGGACATGGTGGTTGTCGAAGCAAGCGCATCAAGGCTAGCCAAGTTGTCGACACCAAGGGAACCATGATGCAAAGGCAGAATAATAGGACGATGGGAACTGCGATACCAAGTAGCCACAAACGCTGCCTGCTACATGACCCTCTGGCGGTAGGATTCCTTGTCGCAGGGCTTATATAGCACGATGCTACTGGCTACTGGCTGCGCAGGAACTGGTATCTAGCTGGTCTAACCCTTGTCGCAGGGCTTATATAGCCCGATGCTACTGGCTACTGGCTGCGCAGGAACTGGTATCTAGCTTGTCTAACGACGGTAACAGCCCATAATTTTGATTATGATCGTAAGCCCGAGATTGCATCCTGCTTTTGTTCAAGATATTTCAAGCATCAAAGAGTCAGTGGGGCAACGAATTTCGGCAGCATCGGGATCTCCTGGTGCTCAGGATCATCTCCGTGCTCCGCTGCATCCGTCCCACTTTCCGGTGGCAGCTTCTGTGGCTGAACTGGCCTGCCAGCCTCCATTGCTCGGGAAACTCCGTCGGCGAATGCATGGCGCCAAACTGGGCGAAGTGTGATACTCTCGAAGGTAATTGCGAAAAACGAACTCTCTAACCCACCGAACACATCACAATGCCGCAACTGGAAGCTTCGCAGTGTCTGCAGCACACGATTCATGGATTCTTTGCAGGTTGATCTTGGCAGGCTGTGTGTGCCGTGCGGTTTCCATGCAAGCATCACATCTCAGACTGATGTTCAGGCTTTTTGTACCAAAGCAGACCTGTCAGCCCGTCGTGCCCAAAACTAGTTCTATGTCTATCATGCTGTCGGGAACATGAACTGCGCCTCCTTGTTGGTGAGCTTCTTGTACACGGCCGCGAAGGCTGGCAGCTTGCTCTCGATGTTCTCCTTGTCCTTGTCCTTGGGATCAAGGATCACCTTCAGCAGCTTGCTGCCATCAACTGAGATGCGCGTGCGCTTGCCCACGATCTCGGTCGGTCCCACTAGATCGTCCAAGATGGACTCGTGCACTGCGGTCAGTGTTCGGCTTCGAGGCCTCACCTTCAGGCCCTTGCGTCTGAAGTTCTTATCCAAGATGGTGCGGTTGGCCACAAGCACGACGTGCTTCCTGGTGAACTTCTTCTCCAACTCTCTGATCAGGCGGCCCTGGATCTTCTTCACCGTCTTCCACACGCGGAATGGAAAGTGCACCACCATGGCAACTCCGTGCTTGACCTCCACATCCTTGGCACCACTGATGTACACGTCCTTCAGGTCAGCCTTGATGTCGCATGAGGGGGACACCTCGATGTCGAACAAGGCCTTGGCCACCTCCTGGTCAAGCTCGGTGGGCGTAGCGCCCTTGTCCTTCACCAGCTTCTTGCGCGTGTTAAGCATGCTGGAGGCCTCACTACTGGGGCTGATGTCTTGAGCCTTCCGCTGCAGAAATGCGAGGTGTCATCATGCAACGCAGTTCCCCCCCCCCTTTCGGAGAGGTAGTGGATATGGTGGTGGACACCCAACAGCACGAGCCCTGGCTTCAAGTCTACATCGATACGAGTGGTCGCACCGGAACCGGAAAAGCTCTTTATGATCATGCTACATCAGCCCCATAATCAACCAGGTACAACTCTGACATGTGGATACATTTCCTCCTGGTAATGAATGGCGGCAAACTCAAGACTCTGGAAGATCAGCCCATGCCCGCGCTTGTTTTGTCAACGCCATCAGCTCAAGTGTAGGATATGTGCATGTGCAAGCCTATAGGCCTAGGCCGTGGGGAACATGAACTGCGCCTCCTTGTTGGTGAGCTTCTTGTACACGGCCGCGAAGGCTGGCAGCTTGCTCTCGATGTTCTCCTTGTCCTTGTCCTTGGGATCAAGGATCACCTTCAGCAGCTTGCTGCCATCAACTGAGATGCGCGTGCGCTTGCCGACGATCTCGGTCGGTCCCACTAGATCGTCCAAGATGGACTCGTGCACTGCGGTCAGTGTTCGGCTTCGAGGCCTCACCTTCAGGCCCTTGCGTCTGAAGTTCTTATCCAAGATGGTGCGGTTGGCCACAAGCACGACGTGCTTCCTGGTGAACTTCTTCTCCAACTCTCTGATCAGGCGGCCCTGGATCTTCTTCACCGTCTTCCACACGCGGAATGGAAAGTGCACCACCATGGCAACTCCGTGCTTGACCTCCACATCCTTGGCACCACTGATGTACACGTCCTTCAGGTCAGCCTTGATGTCGCATGAGGGGGACACCTCGATGTCGAACAAGGCCTTGGCCACCTCCTGGTCAAGCTCGGTGGGCGTAGCGCCCTTGTCCTTCACCAGCTTCTTGCGCGTGTTAAGCATGCTGGAGGCCTCACTACTGGGGCTGATGTCTTGAGCCTTCCGCTGCAGAAATGCGAGGTGTCATCATGCAACGCAGTTCCCCCCCCTTTCGGAGAGGTAGTGGATATGGTGGTGGACACCCAACAGCACGAGCCCTGGCTTCAAGTCTACATCGATACGAGTGGTCGCACCGGAACCGGAAAAGCTCTTTATGATCATGCTACATCAGCCCCATAATCAACCAGGTACAACTCTGACATGTGGATACATTTCCTCCTGGTAATGAATGGCGGCAAACTCAAGACTCTGGAAGATCAGCCCATGCCCGCGCTTGTTTTGTCAACGCCATCAGCTCAAGTGTAGGATATGTGCATGTGCAAGCCTATAGGCCTAGGCCGTGGGGAACATGAACTGCGCCTCCTTGTTGGTGAGCTTCTTGTACACGGCCGCGAAGGCTGGCAGCTTGCTCTCGATGTTCTCCTTGTCCTTGTCCTTGGGATCAAGGATCACCTTCAGCAGCTTGCTGCCATCAACTGAGATGCGCGTGCGCTTGCCGACGATCTCGGTCGGTCCCACTAGATCGTCCAAGATGGACTCGTGCACTGCGGTCAGTGTTCGGCTTCGAGGCCTCACCTTCAGGCCCTTGCGTCTGAAGTTCTTATCCAAGATGGTGCGGTTGGCCACAAGCACGACGTGCTTCCTGGTGAACTTCTTCTCCAACTCTCTGATCAGGCGGCCCTGGATCTTCTTCACCGTCTTCCACACGCGGAATGGAAAGTGCACCACCATGGCAACTCCGTGCTTGACCTCCACATCCTTGGCACCACTGATGTACACGTCCTTCAGGTCAGCCTTGATGTCGCATGAGGGGGACACCTCGATGTCGAACAAGGCCTTGGCCACCTCCTGGTCAAGCTCGGTGGGCGTAGCGCCCTTGTCCTTCACCAGCTTCTTGCGCGTGTTAAGCATGCTGGAGGCCTCACTACTGGGGCTGATGTCTTGAGCCTTCCGCTGCGGATAAGGTACAGGCTGTGGTGGCCATGACGTTGGAACTCTTGTGACGGTTGTGATCCTCATGCGCCATGACGAAGTTGTACTGCCGCCTTTCTACATGTGCCAATAGCATTCGCTCTGAGTTGCCGCATGTACCATGTCGTGCCCAAATCAACACATAGACTGGAAAAGCAATCTGACTGAATCAAAAGTCAAAGTCGGCACATACCGGATTAGTACGCAACCGGAACCAACCTGACAACCTTACACAGCGACACATGGAAAAATCTGACCCCACCACGATGGTGAAAAGAAACAGTCGCGATTCACTTGCATGACTTGGCCGGGCAAGCACTTGTTTTCGCATCACCGTCGTGGCCAGAGTGATCTGCTGGGTCTGAACTTACGCTGTCGGGAACATGAACTGCGCCTCCTTGTTGGTGAGCTTCTTGTACACGGCCGCGAAGGCTGGCAGCTTGCTCTCGATGTTCTCCTTGTCCTTGTCCTTGGGATCAAGGATCACCTTCAGCAGCTTGCTGCCATCAACTGAGATGCGCGTGCGCTTGCCCACGATCTCGGTCGGTCCCACTAGATCGTCCAAGATGGACTCGTGCACTGCGGTCAGTGTTCGGCTTCGAGGCCTCACCTTCAGGCCCTTGCGTCTGAAGTTCTTATCCAAGATGGTGCGGTTGGCCACAAGCACGACGTGCTTCCTGGTGAACTTCTTCTCCAACTCTCTGATCAGGCGGCCCTGGATCTTCTTCACCGTCTTCCACACGCGGAATGGAAAGTGCACCACCATGGCAACTCCGTGCTTGACCTCCACATCCTTGGCACCACTGATGTACACGTCCTTCAGGTCAGCCTTGATGTCGCATGAGGGGGACACCTCGATGTCGAACAAGGCCTTGGCCACCTCCTGGTCAAGCTCGGTGGGCGTAGCGCCCTTGTCCTTCACCAGCTTCTTACGTGTGTTCAACATTGTCCCTGCTGTGCTCTAGCCGCGCTTGAGCCTGGCCAACTGAAGTACAATATGTGCTTAATAGGGGTACAAGGGGCAATGTGTCAGAAATCTGCTCGCGCATGAGAACAGCGAGAAACTGTTTCTGCACTGTCATGTGGAATAGCTTCAATGGTCATAGCATGCGTTTGCAAGGGAGGGCGGTCGATGCAGCACCACAGAACGGACAGCATGGAGTTTGGACTGCACTGTTTTTGATTGTCACTCGGAGCAAGTCTATGAGGGTCCATGTACTTCCACGAACCATTTGAATCACTCCATCAGTGGCACGGCCCCGAAGAATCAGCCTAGCACGGACACAGAGGACAACTGCTTTGCCCAAAGCAACGACAGTGGCCTCCCGGGTGTCTTGCCAGACGTCCCTGGGCTCTGAAGCAATATTGCCAAAGTTTTCTGGCCACTTTCGCGCAGACCACCCACGCTCTGTGCAGATACATTCGTTCAGAAGGGCACAGCTTCGAGCGCCGGGCATGCACCATCTTCATTCGTCTAGATCACCAAGCGTGCCTCCAAGGCGTAAAGACTGAGGCCGAAGGACCCGCTTCCCTTTGCTCCTACTAATTGCTCGGAAGATTTTTACGGTTCGGGGCTTGAAATCGAAACAAAAGGCAAACGATTATGGGACAGCCAAGTCTGCAAAAGCTACTAGCGCCAAACTGTTCTTTCACTAGCATTACAAATGAAGGACGCTTAGGAACAAGGGGTTGGTGGTCACCAGTACAGATGAGCACCATCACGAGCCAACGGTATTGCAGCACCTCCTGTCGACGGACCTTTTTCTTCACAGCCAGCTTTGCAAGATTCAAAACACGGGTCGGGGGGCGGGGGCGGCATGCCCTTGAAGTCTACATGCATGCTGTGAGCTTCATACAATGATTCTAAACCCTAAATCCTGAAGCCCAAATACACCTCTAAACCCCAGAGTCTAAACACACCCTAAAACTTAAAGCCTAAACAGACCCTAAACCCCTAAACCCTAGGGCCTGCCGTCGCTATGTCTTGACTTGGGGATCCACGACACGATGGCAGAATGCCGGAAAGCAATGAAAGAGACAAAATAACAGTAATTTGCGAAAGCCAAAAACCATAGCACACAAAAGCAGTGGAGAAAGGCATGACAAGCAAACGCTGCAGAACGTCAAAGTGGGAGGCAAAGGAAATGAAGAAACAACGAAGCGCAACAAGCAGAAAAAGCAACGACTGAATCTAACAAAAATGTAATAGATATATAGATATATAGCACATAACATAAGCACAAACGGCGTAAGGGGGAACGCGACAAGTAAATTCAACGAGAAGAAAGCCACAAACAACAAAATCTATGCAAAGCAAACCCTGAACAGCATCTCAGCAACTAACCTGCACGGGAATTTTAGAACTTTGGGCTGGCATTTTGGATGTGCGGCTCATCGATCTCATCCCCAGCCCACCTGACCCGACACCAAAGGCACCCAAATTTTCGAGTATTCTGGGCCCAAATCCAGTTGGAGAATTGAGGTGCTGCTACTCCGCAAAATTCCTCACAGCAGCAATGTTTGCAGCTTCTGCACCTGGGTTCAAAGGATCCACAAACCACTGCACGTGCCGCACGTCGATCTCCGGGTGCTCGTCACCTGGAAAAGCGGTATACGACTGCAACCGCAAGCTGCCGCTTCAGAACTGCATTTTCTGAGGCGGGAACCCTCAAAGACCCGGCTCCATCTGGCGGCAGAGGAGGTGACGGCTACGCTGCTCAGCGTAGGCAAAAATATGCAAACTACCCTCGCTGCAATCGTGCGCAGGAAGTCCTGTCCAGTGCTTCCAACTTGAAGATGGTTATCTGGATATACCTGCGTCAAACTCATCAAATCAGACCTGACTGCGTTGCTAAGCTTGGATTGCCAGGCAGCCGTCTGTACCATGCACCCTGGCACTTTCAAAGGCACCTTCCCTCCTCCTTGGACTCGTCTATGTACCACGTTGCATCATCTGAATTGATGCGGTGTGCCAGCTGACCTCGCAAGCCTTACCTTTGGTAGTAGGGAGTGGAAGAATGGTAGCAATAGTAGTTATAATTGTACCCCATTCCTCCATTCCCTACTAACCAAAGGTAAGAAGCACAAGCCTCCGAAGCGCCTTTCGGCCGTGCCAAGGGCCAGGCCGTGTAGCAGCTCAAAGGTCTCGCCAGCGACCTTCTGCCAGAACAGTAGCTACAACCTAGTTCTCGGGTATCATGGGGTTATATAGGGATTATACAGGGGTGATATATGGGGATTATATAGGGATTATATGGGGGTTATATAGGGGTTATATAGGGATTATATAGCGATGATATAGGGACTATATGGGGACTCTTCTACCCCAAAAAGGTTAAAGGTTACCTACTCCACTACTAGGACAAGGATCAGCTACCAGTACGTTGAGCCCCATTCTTCCAGGGGAAACCTCCGGCAAGGCAAGTCATCTTGTATCATACGAGAGATCGAGATCTTGCCTGTTGCCTTGCCTCGTGTTGATCTGAGCAGAGAGACCATGGAGAAGACACCTGGAAGACCACACCATAACCCTCACAGGACCAAACCACTCCGAGAGCTCCCCCAAGCTCCAAAGCCCGACCCGGCTTGGAAGATGCCTCTTCGGCCCCTGGCTCTCGCCTAGTTACCGCCGGCACGTGGAGCGTCAGGAGTTTAGACCCGTCCGAGTCTGTTTTCTGTGTGGGTGTGTGGGTTGTCGCCTCAAAGAACCTCTCAGCCACGGGCGGCGAGGTCAACTTGAAGACGAAGTGGCAAAGCCTTAAACCTTGGACGAGGGACTAATAAGTGATAGCTGTAACTGGCTACATCTGCAGGCACAGGGTGCGAAAGCAAATCCTCGCAGTGAGAGCCCATAGATGACATGGTCAGCTCGGACGTGTACCTACGCAAACTTGCAGCCTCCGACTTTCAATTCTGGGAAGCCGCGCTTTACGTCTTTGCCACGAACATCTGTGCCAACAGGTATTCTGATGTGCACCTGGAGATGCCAGAGGCTGTGACACAAGCTTCAAAGAGGGGCGAGACGAACGGCAAGCTGTGGCATGCGAACCCGGTTCTTCGAGTCGAGAGCAGCTGTTTCCCTCCGCAGCTCACGGGTCATGAGTCATGCACAACTCTTATGCACAGCTCTTTTCCACATGTATGCATGACCTGGAATAGCAATGACATTCGGAGATGTGTGCCTCGTTCCTCGTCTGAAGCCACACGTACTGTTTCTTGTCGCTGCCTGCAGAGTGCAGAATCTACTCTGCTCGCAAGCTTCCTGATATCTGCAATCTAGGCAGGAAGATTCTTACTGTAGCTTCAGACGTAGATCTGCTTCATGATCACAGTCAAACCGAAGCTTCTGCGCGTAGCCCAACCTGTTTTTTCTCTTGCTGGGCCGAGAGGGCCTGCATCAGAAAAACTGGCATAGTCAACTCAAACTGACAGTCGTGCCTGTGCACCCGAAGTCTTTGGATGGCTTGGCCATCGTGCTAACGGATACCTGCAGTGGTTGGTGGTTTGCAGTTCTGACTGCGAGAATTTCGTAGTGAAGCCCTCTCCTCTCTGCTCCATGGCCCGCGTCCCCAGTACGAAAGAGCACCTGGGCCACCGAAGTCGGTGCTTCTTTGCCACCACGAAAGATGCTCGTCTGAGAATCCAGCAAACTCGAAAAGTTATCCGAGTCGCAATGGGCCTTGGTTCAAGGTCGGCGGATATTGGGAATTAGAGTCTGGAAGCGTCTCGCACCCGCTTCGACTTCCGTACGTTCGGGCAGCTTGCAGTTGAACATGCTCCCAATGCCGTACACACCCGCACAGTGCTGAGGCTCCGTGCAGGCCGTCCACAGTAGCCCTAGGTGGCCGACAGTTTGAGGGACACAAGCTTCGCAGTCAACACACATCTTCAGCAGCTTCGCTCATGCCCCACGCGATCTCATACTGTTTCTAGTGTCCAGGACGCAGTATTCAGAAGTCGTTGATTTCAGGCTGGCCCCTGCAACAAAGCAGGAATCCTGCCGGGCAGCATGCCCATGCGCTCGTACGGGCAGTTACAAGTAGCACAGGTCCCGTTATAACCGTTCAAAAACGAGCTCCAATACCGGTGGGATCCCGACGAACCACACTGGCGACCCAAGTGCCGAGCTTGAATCTGTTCCCTTTTTTGGCATCCCCTGCAAGGTCAATGCCAAAGAGAGAGCGAGAGAGAGCGAGACAAAGAGCGAGACGGAGAGAGAGACGGAGAGAGAGACAGAGAGAGACGGAGACGGAGACAGAGACTGAGAGAGAGACGGAGAGAGAAAGAGAGAGAGAGAGAGAGAGAGAGAGAGAAAGAGAGAGAGAGAGAGAGAGACAGAGGGAGACGGAGAGAGACAGAGAGAGACGGAAAGAGACAGAGAGAGACGGAGAGAGAGGGAGAGATGCAGAACAGATTCGCAGCGAAATGCACGCACCCCGGGCTGTCAATATTGAATCAAACGGTGCCAGCAGCACCACTCATGTCTTCGAGATTCTCGCCCGGATTGAACGGCCGCCTCAAATATCAGGACAGGGACATGGTACACACTGAGTAGAAGCTCAACCGAGACGATCTGGCAATGTACCTTAGGCTGTAAGCAGACGTGGCGGCTCCAATTAAGGCGCGGTGCTCCAACCAGTTTACGCCTTCCTTCCGGAAGGCCACCACGTATGTTTCCTGCCGCAACATGGAGCATTCCATGCCTGTCTTGTTGCAAACACGAAAGTCGCAGGGTGACGCATGTCAGGTCGTGAAACTGCACATGCAGGCGGCAGAGGGCTTTCTAGGCTGCGACACATGCAACCCCAATATCAGGGACCTGGTGGAACGGGTTCCATCCTTTCGTGGGTGAGAACTGTAAAGACACCTGAGGCACAAAAGAGACGCTTCGAGTGCAGCGCAGCACAGGAAGACCGCATAGTTCAGCCCCGCACATCATAGGTGCCTTCAGCTTTCGGGCTAACCCCCTCAGTTGCAGTGTTGAGGAAAAAGTCGGAGGTAGCACACAAAAGGGTAAGGAATGTGCGACCAACCCAGTGCTGCTGAGGCTCATGAGGCGGCTTCGGCACAGAAGCCAGTCCTAGGAATACAAACACCGGGGATTGGCCACATGTAGTGACACACCTCAAACTACCACCTCACATCCGAAGCCGACCCGTCAAAGTGCAGTCGTGGTAGTAGTCGTCCTCGTCGTGTTCGTGGTGGTAGCCGTTGGTGTTGCTGCAGTAGCAGTGGCATTGGCAGTGCCAGTAGCAGTAGCAGTGGCCGCGGCAGTGCGTACCTGTAGCAGTGATGGCAACAGTTGCAGCAGAAGTAGTCGTGGTCGCGGTGGTGCTGGTGGTAGTAGTGGAAAGTAGTAGAAAGAGGAGGAAGCGGAAGAAGAAGAAGCAGTAGTACTACTACTGCTTGGGACTGGCAATCCGACCGCTACAGGAACACATGTCGCTGAAGGCACAGCGCCAAAGAAGTGGCAACACTGAAGTGAAGGATAGCCCCTTCATGCTGGAATATGCTCGGGCTTGCTTTAAATCCATGGATGGGCACATCTTTCAGGCGTTCTTTCGGGCCATCGCGCGCTCCCGCTGAGGAGCCAATGCATTGCTGGCTTCACACTAGGTCGCTCACGAGCAGTTGTGCATGCAAAGCAAAAGTAGTAGTAGTAGTAGTAGTAGTAGTAGTAGTAGTAGTAGTAGTAGTAGTAGTAGTAGTAGTAGTAGTAGTAGTAGTAGTAGTAGTAGTAGTAGTAGTAGTAGTAGTAGTAGTAGTAGTAGAAGTAGTCGTCGTCGTCGCCGTCGTAGTAGTAGTAGTAGGATTAGTCGTCGTAGTAGTCGTAATAGCAGTCGTTGTAGTAGTCGACATCGTGGTACTCGTCGTAGTATTTCGTAGTAGTGTAGTAGTAGTAGTAGTAGTAGTAGTAGTAGTAGTAGTAGTAGTAGTAGTAGTAGTAGCAGCAGCAGCAGCAGCAGCAGCAGCCGCAATAACAGTATTTAGTACTAGTAGTAGCGGTAGTAGTTGTCGTTTCACACAGACACGTAAACTATCCAAAACAATCGTAATGTTGCGCGCCCAGAGAAAACATAGTCGGATAAAGCTGGCAAGTACTGACACAAACTGAAGCAGCGCTGAGCATGCATAACGGTTTTCTCAGAGACATCCACAAGTCTAACAGCATGATACCCAACACTGATGTCTTCTTAAGTAAGAAGTATCCTAACACAGATATCAGAAGATCAAACATCTTCCACGGAGTGCGAGAAAACGCCAAGAAGCCCTGACGCTGTTCTACCCTGCCCGTGCCCTGCCCCTTCGGTCATCTCAGTTCCGCACTGCCTCGGAAGACTTTGCGTCCGAGCCAAACAACTAGAAGAGCAACCCTTAGCCAGAAAGGAAATGGCTCGCACCTCCAGCTTTACCTTCCTGCCTCTGTTGCTCGTTCAGTTTGTTCTGTCTCTGAAGCTCTCTATCCCTCTCTTCCCACGATGTCGGCACTCACATTGCATCGTAGGAGCCTCTCGCACCAATGCAGCTGCTTCAGAGTGCAGATTATTCTTCGACGCTTTTCTATCATGTCCCCTCAGGAACATAATTGAGCATCCGACGGTCCCTGCATCGACAACCTTGTCACACACTCCTATAGCGTCTGCAGACAGCAGTTTCGGTGCATCCTGTATGGTCATGCATGACAACTACGCATCGTGGGTGGGCCGGTAGGGCTCTCGCTCCACCATCCTGGAGAGAAACCGAAGCAACCTGCATCGGGGTAACACCAGGCGTTCTGGCCGATTTTTTGCAGCAGCCCTAGCTCAATTAATGTTGCAGCAGTTCGCAGCCAGGCAGCTTGTTGCGAGCTGTCCGAACCAGTTTCGACTTGGAAAGCACGCGCTTTGGCAATATCCTGTGTGCCGGCAAGGTCGAAGGTCGCAGCAGGCCGGAATTGTGCTACCCTTCGTGTGCACGCGCTGGGACTCAAGCAGCAGGACAACTGTCAACACAATCATCGCCAGGATGGCGTCAAACATCAGCACCAGGATAATTGGGACCTGAGCAGTCGTGCAAAGTTTATCTTTCTGTGACTGCCAGTGCATCAACTGGGAACCGAGCGCCTGGTGGTCCCAACATGAACTTGAGTATCCTAAGGAAGGAAAGCTCCGCCATGGCGACACGCTGCTCTCCTCTGCTCTCGTCAGGAGCCTCTGCCCGCCCGAGCCAGATCGAAGGGGAACACACATGGGTGGTTGTCAAAATTAGGGTCCCTTTTTGGGTACCCGAAATAATAGGTGACGTATTATAATAGGGACCCAAAAAGGGACCATAATTTTGACAACCACCCACATGAAAAGGACTGCCACTAAGCTCAAAAACGGTGAAGCACTGCTCTGCCGGCTTTTGCACGCAGGCTGAGGCTCTCTTCTCAAGACCCGCAAGAACGCCATGAGGCCCGTTGGCTCAGAAGTGCATAATCATAATCCGGCCACGATTCAAAAGGACTGGACGGATCAAAACATATCTGATTGCCAGGGTTAGCTTCGCAGTCTGCTGGTCTGAGCTCTGTAATAGGAGGACTAACAGGAGGACCACAATCAGGCCGGTTCCTCTTGCAGAAGCTATGAACAGGAGCGAAAATTGCAGAAAAATCGCGCAGGGCAGTTGCCACATTTGGGTAAGAAAACAGATCAGACATCAGTGGAAACGTCCACGGCTTGTCGCGTGCACGTCTGACACGCAGCCAATGTACCAGCAGAGAAAGTAAACCAACTAGATCCAACTAGCAAACCGCTCTCGAACAAATGCATATCCGGATAGCAGCACCACAATATGCACAGACCACAAATTCTAATCATACTGATTTCTATAACAGCTTGAAGGGTAAAGCCAGGGTTCCTGACACTTATAATGATGATGATCGTGGTGGACATTGTATGTGTAGGTATTAGCTAAACTCAGCTAAACATACACGCACGTACACACAAACAAATGGCAATCGGCAGCTCGGACGACTTCAACCACCACATCGACAGCAACCGCAACAACACCGACAGCTGCAGCGGAGGCAGCAGATGGCAGCAGCAGCAGCAGCAGCAGCGGCAGCATTACAGCCAAAATCACAGCCAGCACCAACACTCCGACACTCCAACAGCCGCAGAAGAAGCAGCGCAACGACGACGACTACACTAGTCCGCCCCCCCTCCTCCTCCTCCTCCTCCTCCTCCTCCTCCTTCTCCTACCCCATGGAGACCACGGCCCAAATCCAAGCGGGATTCACAACTGCGTCCCCCGCGCCATTCCACTGGCATGGCTGGCCAATGCTGGCACAACGTAGGCGGCAACAAGTCGCTTCTACTGATCAACCATGTAATCTGCCGCCGTTGGCCATTCCATGACTTTGTCTTTCGACTCGGTACTCCCCCCTGCTAGTACCAGTTGTTATGTCGTCGTCGCAGCAGCCGGCGTCGAAGGGATGGCTTGATGGCTGTCTTAGCTTGTGTGGGTAAGAGTAATGTCAAAAATCTAAGAAACTAGACGAAAAGCAACAACAGTTCTGGCACATTGGCAGGCTCACGCACTCAGGCTTCTGCTAAGCTACATAGCGACCTCTGGTGGTCGCTCAAACCAGCGTGCTGTTTACTTTGTCCTGGAAGGCTTTGGTGAAGAGCGCCCTCAGCATCGGCACCGCTGCAGCTTTGGGAAGTTGAGTGCGGTGCCGCTGCGCGATACTGCACGGCTGCATACGGCGCATTCAAAAGAACGACCCCGCTGGGATCCGGTCCGTACAACAGATTGCCGCCGGCGACCTTGTCAGAATAGTCCGGAATGGATCCCTGCAAGCGTTTGTCCTCACGTAAACCTTAAGCCCATGCTGGGCTCGCCACCAACAAAAGGCTCATGGCAAAGGTCCAGCGAAATTGCTGTGGCCTTGCTATCCCGGTGCGACTGAAGATGCACTTCCAAAGAAACGGGAGCCCGGCTTCAGCAAAGGAAGCGGGCAACAGAAAACCAGGGCCTCGAACAAAAATGAATGGCGAGTCAAGCGGTAAAGCTGTCAGCAGAAGCTGAGCCGGCTAACGCTGAGCGGAAGCGCTGCAACCTGTCTCTCCCCCCCCCCCCCACACGCACTGCCTGCATGTGCTGGTGTGTACATGACTGTCAACGTAGCTGGCGGCTGGCATCCTTAAATGATGTGCCTGAGGCGGTGGCATTCGCTAACACCACCGTCGAGGCCGAAGCCCTTCTGACCAGTCGCAGGGCCGAGACACTGAAAATGATGTTGCACCTGGGTTGCTGCGAACTGTTGCTCCGAACCCTTGGGCCACACAGCCAAGCATTGGATGATCGTTTACTAACTTCCTTCCCCTGCGCTGAGGATCGAAAGCCTTAGGCTCCTGCACCCAGTAGGTGAAGGCAATCCTCTGGAAATGCTCTCTCATGTGCCGTCAGGTGCCAAGCGCATAGATCGCTGAGCCCCTAGCCACGGCACGGACGATAGCTTCCGCCCCATCAACTCATCTAGCCCTTCCTTAGCCAAGCTCAGAAACCGGCAAAACGTGTAAAGCTGACGCTGCAACCTTTTGGATTGGACATCTACGAAAGTTCCTTTACTGCGGAGGGCTGCACGAGTTTGACTTTCGGGTCCAGCCTCCTCCAATGGCTGACGGGCATACATGAAAATTCCCTGCAACATGTCCCCGGAATCCACATGGCCGCTGTGCAACACCATGTAAAGGGAGCGCGCGTTGAACACGATGTCTTGGAGTTCTCTCGCGTGCTCAGCGACATCATCTGCTTCGAAGAAGCCCATCACAGCAGGCAAAAGGCTCTCGTCATCCGCATGGCTCTAACTCACTGCTTGCTTGGCGGATCATCTGCCAGGGCATCGTACTTGTGTTGAAGATTCAAGCGAAAGAAACGTCATCGACAATGTTTCTGTCATCAAACATCCGCATGGCCCGACTGGGTCGCAAGAAACAGCCTGTGCTCAACCTCCCAATTTGTTGAAATTGTGCACCTTACAATAACAGGTCTAAGTAGTCAGACCGGAACCCTGGGGACTCCGGCCCGGAGAACGTCTGGATGCAAATGCCCAGGGAAGGCCAAAGGAAATGCAACCAGTTGCACCTGAGTCTTTCCCGACCCGACGAGAGACGAGAGGATGCCCCGCAACAGCTCGAGAAGTTGGCTCTGGGAATGGTAGCACCAAGAGTTCGATTATTGCTTGGCAAGGCATTCCGGCCTAGACTTTCCGAATATGGGTTAATCAGAATACGTTCTGAATACGATTTGCGTATACGGTCGTATAGCCATGATACGGTTGCCCTCCCCCTGCCCTGCCCCCATCCACAAAGCTACCCTGCCCTGCCCAAGCCTATAGCCTAACATTCACCGCATTCAAGACCGCATTCAAAACCTCGGTCCAGCTGCGTGAGACGATCATGCTGCCTGAAAACCCTTCCCCGCTTGAAAGCCCCTTTTCCTGCAAGAAGAATCCACCGCGGCCTCCAAGCTTCTGGCCGCCTAGTCTTAGTAAGTCTTAAACACCTGTTCTTATGCCCGTTGGCATCACCGAGGCCAGAGCCAGAAGCTGCACTGCGGCTCCGACAGCAGAGACCAGCAGGATTTGCGGCTCCTCGTTAACGGGCTCGGAAGTTCTGACACCCGTAGGTGTCAGATCTGCAAGTTGCAATCGGGTCATGGAGGGGTCCGACGCAACCTTTTCTCGAAGCGCAGCTACCCGACAAGGACAGCTTCTTTTGCTGCCATGTGATTGGGGATGCGGAGATCCACGTCGGACATCGTCGGACACTGGACACGGCATCCGGCCCCGTGGTTTCAGAGCTCATCCTCTTCCTGCTCCCCGTCGCTCTCCTCCTCCATCTCCTCACAAACCTTGCACTTATTCACGCAGCTCAGATCAGAGACTGAGAAATCGTGAATAGCTCAGGGCAAAGCTTTAGCACAGTCAGAAATGTGCATAAGCAGCTCGCTTCAACCGAACAGGATCCTCGTCCACCACGAACGATGAAAATGCAATCTCATCTCGGTTGGTGCAGAATTCCGGCGCACACAGCTGGCTACCCATGAACATACTGGTACTTGCAGCACAGCTTTTTCAAAGGCGAGTGATCCCGACTAGCACTCATGTGTTCTCACTCGGCACATATGACATTCTGCATGCACAGTTGTTGGGATGACACGCTTCTCCGTTCAACTCTAAAGACCTTCTGATCTCATGGTGTAAACGCAAATCTCTGTGAATATCTGACTCCGGAACGTTTCCGCTCAAAGTGTGCGATGGAACGCTGACAGAACCTATCCGCACACTGGTGCCTCACACACTCTCCAATTATGCTTGAAGACTAAACCCTGTCGGAGTCTACATGCTTGGCAGCCCCTTCTCGAGTCCAAGAGCCCTAGATCCGAGCTCGGAAGATTTGTATTGATGTCAAGTGGTGAGGCAGGCTGCTCGCAATGTTGGCTTGTGCTTTGTCGGCATGTCTCTTTAGATGAGGTGAGAGCTCTGGAGGTGACTTGCTTGCTCGGGCACAAGGTCGAAAACACAACTGTCAGCTCAGGCCTGGGTATGAGAAACAAATGCCTTCACAACAGATCATGCTCGAGAATTAGACTTGCAGCACTTGCAGCAGCTGCAAAGTCGCAGCTGAGAGGAGATGCAACAAGGGCACGGCGGACATCTTCGGTCCGCAGATCAGCTTCCCGAAATCGACATCCGAGGCTCGACCGCCCTTCGGCGTCGAAAGCACCTTGCGAAGCCACAAGCAGCACAAGATGAAGCCTTCACACAAGAGCAGTCTACAACTTCCGGAAAGCTGCCTGATTTCCAACACTCCCGTTAGTCGATCTTGGCAAAGCCCGCCGGTTGGCACGCGAAATCTTGCAGGCGGCGAATCTTAATCGCCCCTGCCTTCTGCAAGAGGCTGTCTTTCCATTCCTTTTGGAGTAGATGTCTGCATCCATTTATGACATCAGCCTGCCCGCTGCAAGACAGAGGATCAGGAAGCTTGAAAAGCTTAGACATTGGAGCAGCTGGAATGTCGAATTCTCAGTTTCAGAGGATCAAGACCTGAAGTCGGGAGAGAAAAGGAAACAACAGAGAGCATTGTGCGCTGCTTAGAGTCTTAGAGGTCAGACGATCTGGCCATCTTTCTTGGGAAACTCAACTTCGAGGCATGACAAACTTTCTACTGGCACACGACTATCAGCTCAGGGCTGTCTCCACGCCCTGTGAAACCGCAAGTTGGTGCGTCGTGCGTCATGCCGTGGCCTTTTCCCGTTTACATTAGCACCTCACGCTCGGGCTCAGGTACAGTAGTGCTCTTGAGGGCAAGCCTAGTCCTCTCGGGGGCCTTGATCTCGGGACTCATCGCTTTCACGTTGACCCTTCCGTGCGCACTTCCCAGGGCTTCTTGAAAGTCCACGTAGAACTGCTTGCCTTCCTTCTCTACCTTAAGCAAAGTCTCTGCTGTGCCCCTTTTAGGGGAACCCCATGATCAAATGCTTGAGTGTTGGGTCACTTCTAGTGCGATGCAACGCTTATGACAGCAAGCATGACAAGCAAGCAAGCGCGCACACACACACACACACACACGCAAACACACCTGTGCAGGTGTGTCTGTATCTGCGCCTACACGTGCACACGAGCAAACAAAAACACGACGGAAAGATATCAAGAAAAACATGCTTACCAGGCATGCGTACATGGGTGCACATGTACATACCTACTTAGCTACATCCATGCATGTATGCATGCATAGAGATACACCTATGACATCCTACGACAGGAATGTATGAACGCATGCATATATATATATATATGTGCACGAAGCACTTGCAAACATGCGAAAAAGCATGCAAGCGTACGTGAAAACAAGCAGACATGCGCACAGGCATACACGCATACAGTCCAGGCACACATCCATACGTACATGCGTACGTCTAACCATGCATGCATGATTACCCACGCACATCTGCGAATATTGTACAGGCTATTACAGGCTTGCATGCATACATACAGGCATACCCATGTATATGTGTACATATCATAAGCAACCATGCGAACTTGCAGTTACAGGCAAGCGAACAAAATGAAACAAACGTAGACATTATCACCTTCATGCATACCTACATACCTACATACAGGCTGGCGCACAGGCACACACAGATGCAGACGCACGGGTACAAACATAGACACACCCACACACACACACACACACGCGCGCGCGCGCACGCGCACGCGCAGACGCATAAAGCACAAGATACCACCACACCGTCGAACGTAACAGAACAGACAAGCATGCATGCTCACCACGTACATACATACATGCATGTGCAAACCTGTACACACCATGAGCCACATAAAGACATACAGGTGTACATACAGACATGCTTGCAAGCATTCCTACAAAAAAACATACATACATACATACATACATACATACAAACATACATACATACATACATTACATTACATTACATACATTACATACATTACATACATTACATACATACATACATACATACATACATACATAAATGCATGTATACAGATACATACGCACGCGCTCACAGAGACACAGACATACATGCATTCATACGTAGGAATACATACATACGAGTACATGGAAACACACGCCATGCACACTTGGAAAGTGTTCTCTGCACTCGCGGACAGATGCACTTGAAGTACATGCTCTAGCAGCACTTAACTCAAACCATCCCACTGCAGCATGTGATGAGTCATGGGGGTCGAGCCATCATGTATGTCAGATTGCGGCAAACGTGCGAAACAGCTGCATGTTCAATCGACGTGAATGCAGAGCTAGAAAGACTCAAATTCTGCTGCCTCAGGGGGCCAGCGATTTCTAATCTTGCTGCCTCAGGAGGCCCAGCTTGCAGGTACACAGTTCAGCGTCCTGAACTGCTTCCCACTCCATGGCATAGCTTCGTTGCAATGGGTCTGCCAAGGAGTGCCCATTGCCCCTGCAAATCTTAGACAAAACTGTTGCAAGCATGTTTGGGTTGTGAGCCCCTTACCTCATGTACGAGAGGAGTCCACACACACACACACAATATTGACCCGAACTTAGGTTACGGCTCCACATGGCTTCGATCATGGATTCACAAAGCATGATAGTGTGCGGGCTGTGAAAACAAAGCCTCGGTTCTTGACAAGTCAAGGCACCACCGCCAGCTGCTGAGGGAACTGTGCTTCTTCACAGGCCGTGCTTAGCCCGCGTTGGAAGACGGTCCTCTTCTCCGCATCAGGCATTTTCCCTGAGCGGCTAATTACTCTGTCCAAAGACATCACAGACGCTACAGAGCATTGCTTGAAGACGCATGAAGTGCCTCTCACAGCAGGAGGCAGCGACCGTCTGAATAGTGAGTAGTGAGTAGTGGTGGAGCGGCGTCGCTGCATGGGCAACCGGTGCCCGATTGGCTTCACTCAAAAAGGTCTTTGTCTGCGACAGAGACTGCTACAGTCGACCTCTCCGTGCAGCCTGTGTGTGTGGCTATGTAGTGCCAAATGCACCCAAGATCCAAAGCCCTCCAAACACCTGGCCTTTTATTCTGCTTGCAACTTTGCTCTGGAATCCTTAGTGTCCACCACTCGAAAGACATCCAATGCCGGGCATGTAATACCTAGACGAGAACTGGAGCTGCCATCCGAGTCACGCTTTGCAGCCAGCTGGCCTAGGTAGATCTGTACCGACACTTATACTGTAACATCGTGCCCTCCGCAAATACGTTAGCCGCACATCGTATGATGGACTTAGTCGTGGGCACGCCGAGCAGGCCAGATCTTGGCCCCGCCGTCGCAGCGCATCGCCATCCTCGCGTCGGCCATGTCTATCTCACACAGCCAAAGGGCCTGGGGTGAGAGCTTTAGAACTTTCGGGTTTAGGCAAGCTTCTGCCTGAGTGTTCAAGCAATTAAGCGAGAGGTTTCTCTGGGCTCGAATAGACGGCCAGGCTCCTCGCTGAAGGTCAGCTTGTACCTGGGTTGCACAGACATTTACATGTGGCAACATTCAGGATGGACAACCAATTGGTGGTTGCGAAGAACAGCACTCTCATATACCATCATATACTATAGAATTTACTATAGAATATATATATATGTATATATATATATATATGTATATATGTGTATATATATATGTATATATATATATATATAATTATATAATTATATATATATACTTTACTTTAATATACTCTAATGTACTCGCCCTTCCACTGCCGAGAGACTTCTGCAACAACCTTTCGGCTTCCTCGCGTTCCAGTGCTTCGGACCCCGGCCCAAGAGCTCCCTCCTTTCGAGGGCTCCTTACTGGGTGGCTAAAAGTTACTATTATACTCTTGTATTATTGTATCAGTATACTAGGATATTATTATGACATTATATGGGTGGCCTTACTTGGAGGTTCATGGGTAGTTATAAGTATGGTTTTAAGTACCATAATTAGGACTCGTATTAAGGGACTTCTTATGGGTGGTTGTCAAAATTAGGGTCCCTGCCTTTTGGGGTACCTTAATAGGTGCCGTATTTATAGTAAAGACCCAAAAAGGGACCATAATTTTGACAACCACCCTTACTGTATGCTTCCACAGGCAGCGCGCAGGACATCAGTATCACAGTGACGAGAAGGCTCAGTCAGCAACAGAAGATAGCCGGTTAGATCGATCTCATACCAAGTTTTCTGGCATGGGCTGTTGCGAGGTGGATGAAGCTGCACCCTGCATATCTGCCGGACTGCACTTTCGATGCGAAAAAAGCTCTGAAACTCCTCTCCATCTTCCTTCGGCACACGAATCGTCTCACAGTGCACAGAACAGGTGGTACACTTCTCAGAACTCAGAACTCGGAAGCTAAGTATGGCTTGTGCACAAACGCCTTTCATGCAACTTGAGCCCGGTACCCAAGTCGGTCAGACCGCCGTGATATTTCGATATCGGGAGCCATTCTCAGTCCCTTGATGTGCTGCGCTAATCAGCAAAAGGCGCTCCGCCCCGTCAGTCGACAGCAGGCAGGTGCTGAGCCAGCAAACCGCAAGCATGCGCATGGCGAAGAGTCACAGGCCATGTAAACAAGATACAAATTCACGGAAAGTTGAGAGCGCAAGCTGCAGTGCTTGTCTAGACCAAGGTGAATGTAGTGTGCCAGAATACGTGGCATGGTCAGCAAAATACACACTGGCACGCATGTTTCTGGTGGAGTTCGGGATCACGCGGAGTCCGCTAGTAGTGGCCCTTAAAGCAGCAGCATGTGCAGGCAAGATAAGGCAAGTAGGTTGTTTCGCATTGTGGTTCCATGCAGAACCTACTGGGCACATATTGTCGCGGTCACAACTCGACGAATGAAGCTGTCGCAAGCCAGAAGCTGCGAACACGTGCAATCAAATCAGTCGAGGAACAGGCGCACTTCAGACTGCGCAGTAGAAAAGAAACCAAAAGCATGCACAACGGATACTGGTGTTTGCACTAAGTCTAGGCCCCAAGCTCAAGCCACACCGGAAAACAACAACGTCGCAGGACTTCAGCAATTTCACACCTACAAGAGCACAAACAACCCTGAGCCGTGTCTTCGGGGCCCCACAACAGCAGATTGGTGTAGCATGCAGCATGAGAACCATGGAAACCACCAGTTGCTGCTGATTTTTACCAAACAACAAGCCGCATATTGCCAAGATTTGCCATGCGGTGTTCGCACCATGCGTTGCTTTGCATGATTACCCAGATTTTCTCTACAAGGTCGTCACGATCTCAATCCCGACACACTGTTCCAAAACATCAGATCGCATTTGAGCTCTGCGTGGGACGGTATGGGCCATGCATGTACATGTATTGAAGTCCTGGCCCTAGCTAGGACCGTCCGTCCGTCGCACCTCCACTGCTGTTGTTGCAGTCTCCCGTGCATTGCGAAAGATCCGGTCCTGCTATCTGCGGTTTGCTGAAGGCAAGGTAACATCTTACAGATCGAGCACGGCTGATGGTCCTTCAAAGTCACGGCCAAAGCGAGCAACGCGTAGGCCCCTGCAGATTCAGTTTGTCCAAAAGCTGACTGGACGTTTCGCATCTGAGCGCCGCACCGGCGCACTGAAGCACATCCTTGCACATGCATCGAAATTCATTCTCCGCAGTGCTCTGCAGCTCGTCCAGGATTCAGCTAAGACCGCGGCGTGCATTACTACCTGGTGGCTCCAAAGGGAGCCTGACTGGGACATCATAATTGGCATTCAGCCCAGAGTCTTCCTTCGGGCCAGTACCGGCGAAGTCGTTCACAGACTGAGGAACCAAGCCACTGAAACACTACACTTCTGACTTCCCACAGGTGGGGCAGAGGCTTGACTGGCTTGACTCATGGACCTAAACCAAGATCGGTGACAACGCCATTAAATCCTTAGGGCAGTAGGTTGCTCCCTGCCGTAGCAGCAGGTGAGTGGCTGAAACCCCGATTTCCCCCGAGGCCGTAAAACAGGCACAGGGTTTAAAGCCCTGGTTCGACATCCACTCTGTAGCATAGGGCAGTTTCCACATGTTTCCCACTACTAAACCGCCTCCCGCGAAAGATGCTCAACGGCCGAACGGTTTCGCGGGTAGTAGTTTAAAGAAGTTCCCTTTTTATGCGGGACGAACCATTGGCTACGAAGGTTAAATGCCTTGCAGCATATTGTGTTGAAGCATTGAACAAATCGGCTGTCATCGGCATTGGGGGAACACAGACCTAATCACACGGGCAGAGAATCTGGCGTAAAGCCCATACTCAGAAGTCCCTTGCGAATAGAACAAACTATCAAGCACTGGTCTTGTCGCTGCAAGTGACAGGCGGCATGAGCTGTTCCAATGATCTAAGTCTAAGGCTAAGGGGAGGGGGCCTGCAGCTGTGCGAACAGCACAACCGCCCTTCTCATCGTTCCCCTCCAACCCCGCGCTGAAATCACAAGGACAACGTTGCATGGATGTGGCGCCGAACAGGGCCTCTCAAATTTTTGAACGGGCCCGAGCCAGCCTCAACCTTTCAAGGATGTTCCATGCTTGCCCGGAGCCTGCAGGTAGGCCGACTGCCACCAGAACGCCAAGAAGAACTGTTGCGACCTTCGTCCAACTGTGAAGCGCACAAAAGCAAACAGGCCTGGCCTGACGGCAAGCTACGTTCTTTGACTGCGGACCGCTACACAGCGCGGTCCAACACAGTGGAACAGCTGAAGTGCGGACCCCGACCAGCTGAACAGGGGTGTAGCGGCGGCCGAGCAGAAACACCTCGCCATGTGAGCTGGGGCACGGCAGCCAATGTCGGCCGAGAATACAGCCGCATTTGGCACAACGTTCATGGACTGCTGGAAAGCATGTCCCGCTACCCTTATTGCAGCAGATGCAAGATGTAGCCCACTGAAGCTCGGCGGAAACACGCTGAAGGCAACCGTGTAGGGCACGACAGACTGGTTGAGAACCTCCAGAAATGTCGCGCGGAACATGTGCAGGAACCGCTCATGAAACATGGTACGGCTCGTGCCAGAGAAAATGGAAAACGCTCAGATGACATCTGAGACATGAACTCCGTATCTCAGGCTGTGGGAAATGGCAAGTTCACTCAAACCCTGTTCGCAAACTTGTAAACTTTTGTCCCTTTCATGCAGATGAACCTGAGCAATGAAAATGCTAAGCAAGCTTGCGTCGACATGAGACCAGCCAAGTATATTGTGTGCACACAAACCGTGCCGAAGTGATCAAACTTTCACAACGCAGAACTTGCTGGCCAGATGCAACTTGCTAGTCAGATGCAATTAATTTATTTAGATTCCCGTCCAGGATATCCGCGACATCGAACTACTTGAAGCAGACCCAGGCTCATAACCATGTTCACCTATGCATCTTATTGATGTATTCTGGAGTTTGTGTCTCCGGAGTCTAGTTCTTCTAGTTCAAGGAGTAGGAATGAAGTGCGCAAGAAGTCATGGCAAGTGCACTCTCACAGCCATGCAGACTGACAATGTATTACAAGTGTGCATCATCATCATGCGGCTATGACGTAGGCCTTCGGCCCAAACAGCATAAGAGCCTGGGGGTTCATCTTCAAGAGCAGTACCCCATCCTACTAGTACCAAGCAAACAGCATGGCCGCGAGGAATGTGGCTTTGACGGCAACCCAGACGTCCAGAAGTAACAGCAAATGCGCGAAACTGCGGGACATGCGCGAGGTTGTGACTTGAGCCGAGCCGAGCTTCGGGGCGGGGCATCTCAGCTTGACACGGATGCCACCTTTCGCTCATGTGCCAGTTTGGACGATTCGGCTTCAAACATTCATGGGCCGGAGGGGACGACACTACATTGGGCTTCCCAGGGCCCAGTGCAAGAACCGCTTCGTGCGAACCCGGTCTGAGGATGTCTGAGGAATGGCAGCTAAGGTCGGACATGTCACAATTCACCAAACAGTTGCGACGAGTAAATTGCGATTAGGGGGGAAGGAACGTTTAACGCCGGAAACCATGTCGGAAACTTTCGGCCCAACCCCAGGCCTGCACTAGTCCTCCAGGTAATTTCGCTGCTGCTGCAAAGACCAGGGGATAAAAGGCCCCCTCGCCTGCATAGCCGCTGCACTTAAAGGTTCCAGTAGATCCAAAACAAATAAACGGAGAATTCAGCAGCTTAGCACAGCGCATGTACCCACCAGCAGCAGCAGCTTCCAGTGTGCCGCCACGAACTGGCACATGTCACCTTGCTCGCTTTGTGATGCTCCGTGATGCTTTGTTCAACCCCAATATCGACGGCAACAGCAAGGCTGCTTGGTGCGGAAGGGCCACTCCTGAGACGCACGCTTATTGGGAGTTGCTTCCACGCCCTCCAAGCAAGAAGCAGCAAGTAGGCAGTCAGCCTCAAACGCAAGGCTGGAACTGCCAAAGTGTTCTTCCCGTCTCTTTTCGCTCCGAAGGTACCAGGGCGGGAGCTGCGCAGTGCTTGTCGCAAGAGAGAGGAAGAGGGTATGGCCGGCCATGGGGACCTTTCCGTTGCACTTCTCTGCCTTCGTTCTCGGACTGCAAAGACTCGGGGCGGCGCTAGAAGCACCCGATTTGCCACACGATTGGCCACAGCCGAGGCAATGAAGGTCAACACCAGCATAAGTGTTCCTGACATGCCTGGCAAGGGGCAAGGGTAGCAAAGAATCAAGAAGTCACCGCCAGACCGGGGTCTGGGTCGTGACACCCCGCCTCGGGAATCTTTCAACGCACCTGCCCCTGCCAGCATGAGATGGCGAGCATTGGCGAGGATTCACGGCTTCCGCTTCTCGGATTGGCAGACTTCTTTGGCGCCTCGAGGCACCTTCGCGGTGGCTGCCCGCACCTCCATGGAGGTTCGCATCGTGCTGGGCAAAGGCGGCCGAACACTCCTCCGGGGGCGGGAAAAGCAAAATTACCCGAAAGAATGGGAAGAGGTAGAACATGGTGGAACAGTCTGCCAAGAGTGCTCATAGCTTGTGCCGAGTCGCTTTGCTGCAAGCTGAAATACCTGGATCGGGTGTGGCCAACCGTCCACGATCCAAGGTGGGACTCTTGCAAGCATGCCATGAAACTCATGCCAAAGCTGAAGTTGCAAGCAAGTTGCTGGCAGCTCATTCGTCAAGCGTGCCGGAGGCGTAAAAGCCGAGCCGACCATCACTACTGTATGCTTCTCGGGATGTCTGTGCTAGTGACTGGCCAGTGGCTCCGTTCATGCACTCGTGCTAGCGGCAGCTGAGTTTCTAGTAGAGTGTGGTCCGAGTATAGAGAGTGGAGATGCTGGCAGCGTGGGGGACTGACGGTCATTGGCAGCAAATCCTTGAGTGTATCTGAGCTGGACCGGCTTCGAGTGGATGCACTCCTTCGAAACTTGCACCGAACCTTGACGAATAAGCCGCTCTCCATTTTCGTGCTTCAAGCTGAAGCGCGAGGTGCCCCTGAGATCCCCGTCGGCACGCTCCCACACATGCATTGAAAATCAAGGAGTCCGGGCTGACAGCGGCCACCTGCATCTCCTCACCCAAGATATTTCCCAAAAAGCACGGACGACAGCTACCATGCAGTACGGTGCAGCAAAGCAGCATCCAAGACCATCAAGGCGTACCTCGGCTTACTGCAACGAGGTCTGCATCCGCAGCCAGAAAAAACAGGAAATGCAGGGAAACTTTGTTTAAAACATGTTGCAGCGAAGTTGCTGCCAGAGGGAGCCCCTACTGCAAGCAGTCATGGCCGCTCCGTATGTGACCTCTGTCGCTTCCATGGAGCGTCCTGCTTGCATGTGTGTGGACCAAGGCATCAGTGCTTCGGCAAGTTTCGGCATGTTCCGTCCTTTCACTTCGTGCATGAGCTGCAGGGCTAGTGGCCAGTAGGAGCCGCGTCTTAGCATGCGGCCGACGGCAGAATCAGAATCTCTCCAGAAACGTTTAAGTTTGAAGAGAAGCCAAGGAGCTCGCAAGCATTCATGCTGGCCGTATAGGCAATGATGTTGGGCTGTGGGCCATGCTGCTTCCTTGGGCTTCGACGTCAATGTGCGGCTCAGGCTCAGGTACTCCAGGTAGTTAGTAAGCCCGAGACCCCTTAAAAAAACTTTTCTGCCACCCAGCGGCATGTGCTGAAGGAGCTCCAAGGCTGACTGCCAAGCAGCTCCCTTCTTGCATGCGCTGATGCCTGCGGCGAACGCCACCACATCGGCTGTCATAAAGTGCGCCTCGCGCCACGCCGCATTGTCTTTTAGTGTCACAAAGGATGTTGCGGGGCTGTTCGACTCATGAGAGTAGCGACTGGTCCGACCTGCAACTCCTTCAGGAAAAGAAGGGCACTCTGCCATTGCGAGGACTTCGCACAAGCGCTAATGGAGGTGCTGTAGATGATGACGTTGGGATCCAGCCTGGGTGGCCAGCACGCATGTTCGCAAACTGCGCAGATAATATCTTGTCTCTATTGCCAGATCTAGATGGGTGGTTGTCACAATTATGGTCCTTTTTTGGGTACCCTAAATAGCAGGTGCCGTGTTATAATAAGTACCCCAAAAGGGACCCTAATTTTGACAACCACACAGATCAAACTTATCGAGTGACCTCGTGGAGCGCATAGTCCCGAGCAGCTGCACAGCGGCCAACCACTGCGAAGCCTTCTCACATGCACTGAGGGCAGCTCCGAAGCTTACAACATCCGGCTGAGTGCGTCTTCTTGCCATGTCAACCAGAAGCTGCATGGCAAGCTCCCACTTTGCATCCTTCCCATGCCCGCTTAAGCTGGCGTTGTACGTGTACAGATCTGCCAGGACCCCTGCGTCATGCATCTGAACGAAGACTTCAGAAGCCATCTGCATCGCGGAGCCCCTTTCACAAGCCGTAATTGTCGCGTTGTACGAAGTGCGGTCCGGCTCGAGTTTTCTCTCTCGGAGTTCCAGTAGCAACGCAAGCGAAGACTGCCACTGAGAACTTCTGGCGCAGGCTGTGATGCTGGCGTTGAAACTGATGAGGTTAGGCAGCAGCCGTGCTCTGGCCATCTCATGCAGCATGCAAAGCGCTCCTTCCCAGTCTCGCGCTCGACCGGCATGATCAATCAGCACCGTCCGGCGCTTCAGGAGCCTAGAAATTCTAGAGGCATGTCTCATGCTCGAAGCAAAGGGGCTTCTGACTCCACGTTCTCATGGCCGTTTAGATGCCACATGTCATGTTCTGAACATGTCCACCCCTGCTGACGATGCGCTTTGTTTGACCACGCCGATCGAGTAGTCAACGGACCGCAAGCTTCAGATGCGTAAGCATTGATTCTCGCTTGGGCCCGTCCATCAATAAATCCATCTTCAAAAGAGCCTAGCTACGAAACCGGCCTGGTGCATCGGCATACAATGCCGCAACTCTGCAGCTGCGCCACTTCAAAGGTCTCTCACAAGCATAAGTGTGGCACCAGCAGGCGGGCAACTGGTTGAAATTTCTCGCAGAAGTCTAGCATGGTCAGCTTTTCGGCGCAGACTTGTCGTCCTTCTTTTTCGGGTCGACCTGCGCGGATGACATTTGAGCGACCTTTTGCGACATCGATGACTATGACTCTGACATGGCATCACAATAGGGCCTTGATGTTCGACCCCGCGATAGTTGTTCCTCCCGCAATGCAGCTTGTGCTTCAGCTCTGGTTGCGCCAGTCATCGAGTCACGAAAGCAGGAACTCACGGGTCCTGTTTTCTTTCCATGCGCAGCTTTTGCCTTTTCTGCCTGACAGATGCAATCGCATTCTCATTCCCATTACGCACTGCCGACTGTCACGCATGCACACTCGCAGCAGCTGCGCTTGGCTTCCTGTTAAAGCTTCATAGTGTGTGGCAGTCCCTGTAGTTGAAAACTTAAAGAGGCCGGGAAACCTGCACAATCCTGCCCATCCGGCCGTGCCTGTGTCAACTTGACAATCTGGAGAACGTCCTCGTCGTGCACTATGTGGTCTTTGCCACAGGCCTGGAGCGAGCTGCTGATACTGCGGCAACCGGATTTCGATGCTTTTAGGCTCAAGATGAAGCTTCAAATGCGGATCTTCGATAACGGTCAACTCCTGAGCTTGCTGGACTTGCCTGCGGGGATTGCTTGACACTGCTACCCCAAATCAAGGCATGCTTGAAGTCGTCCAGCAGGGATTCTGAGTTGCGGGGCAAGTCGTCGCAAGAAGCACACGAGCGAACACCGTTTCCAACAAAAGCTCCCAGACAAGGCGCTGTGCAGAAGCTGCACTGCGTTTTCGACATTGAACTGCTTGTTTCCACGCTGTGGTGTGATGATGAGGGGATCCTTCAGCCGATCGTCCACTGCAAGTGGTGCACTTAACTGCTAAAGCTGCATGGAACGAAATATAAAAAATGAACACACATGCCGAGGGCACGGAAAAGTCTGGAAACTCACCCTTCTTTTTCGTGTAGACCCTCAGAGACAGCAAGCTTGGATTTTCAGACGGATGAGCAAGGTAAGAAGCTGCTCGCAAGCCTCTGCTCTCACGCTCTGAGTACTGCCCCCTCTGCTCCAAACGACCTGATAATCTCCATCTCGTCCCAAAGTCGTTTCAGCAAGTAATCCTGAGACTGGTGTGGCCGCGTGTGTCTTCCTGAAACTTGCGTGCAACAGCACGGGCCAAGCACTTTAGCAATAAAAACAAACGTGCTTCGATCGGAAGTCTTAGCTGACAACAACGACATGATATTTCTAGACAACCCGGCGAGCTAGGCCACGAAACTGGCATGATGTGGCCGCGTGGCAGGGCGGTGCATGACTTGTACGACCAACATGCGCATCAGCTTCAAGTTGAACCAGGGCACGTAGTTCCACTTGTTGCGTACCTTAGTCCAGCTTCTGTAGCCTTTCTTTATACGGACTTTGATCTCCCCTCATCGGATTTGCTTCCAACGCTGGACCTGTGCACCTTCCTGTAACTGTTGGTCTCTCCCCACAAAGTTAAGGCTGAATGGGAGGTGGGGCTTCCCACGCAGCAACCACACATGCATGCATGAAACGTATTGTCTGGCCGGGATGATATTCGAACACGATCCCGGCGAACACTGAACACTCTGAGGCCTCAACCAGTGTGACAGGGACAAGAGGACAAGACAAACATCCAAACAACAACCGCAAGGCTGGGATATCCCATAATCCCCTCTTTAAGCGAACCATACAGCCACCCACCAAGTTTGGTTGCTTTTTGAGTCCCAAAGTGGGACTCCAATCCACACACACACACACTCAACACACCCACAAAGGTTCATGTTGCACGGCATACGATTCTTCACCGCGTGCTGTGATCTCACTCTTCATCGACCAACTTCGGGCGATCAAGTTGCAGAAATTACCACGGAGCTTGGCCTCCTTGCAAGCTCGTCCACTTCTGCCAGTGGAAGCATATCTATCCTGGGCACAGCTTGAAGTTTCCAATTGGACTGCGCCGAAGCTTGAAGCTGGCTTCCACGCAGTGTGGCACGGAGTAGTGGCGACAAGAAAGCATTGCTCACAGCTGGAGTTTGAGGCGGGTCGGCACTGGGAGTAGTCAGGAAAAGCATGATCGTACGAACGTGTTGTTCATGGCAGTGTGCATTACACCGAATCGCGATGTTGGAGTTACGCCTACCCGGGCTGTGATCTGGCACTGCGGCACGGCACGCCTGCGATCGATGCGTTATTGTGCGGACAGGCTGGACCCTTCTATGTTTTCGTGTGTCCTCTCGTCCGCAACCATTGAGCGGCAATGCCCAATCCGAAGCATCCAAGGGGCTTGTTGTACACATAGATACCTCACGGCTCACGGCAGTAGACAGCATCTCACGGACACATATCTGTCCCTTGTGCATCTTGGCTGCACTTGCAGTACTTGCGGTTCCCGTCGATGACATCTATAAAGTCATCCTCTGTGATGTCCTGTTGCCGAGGCCACTCAAACAAAAGAAATGTCTCGACGGCACCTGTAAACGTGCTGGCCTCTCGCACCAAAACATCTGCATTGTGCATCTTGTACCTGAGCTTGACTCTTGGCTGGCCACTTGTCAACGGATTTTTTTTAAATCCGTCCGTGTTTCGGCGCCGCCCGGCTCTCGCAGTCCCTGTGCTCCACAACGGGATACAGGCCCGGCTCAAGCGGGTGTCTGTGGAGGAGAGGGGCCGAGCATCATGTGCATCAGCGGGTCTCTGCGGGCGGCAAGCGCCGAGCATCATGCGCATCAGCGGGTCCTTAGGGGGCTGGAAATCGAGTTCAACCCAAGTCCAACGAAATTTAATTTCGTTGGACTTGCTTGAACCTTGCGGCAATGTTCGCTCTGGGGGCAAAAACAAAGCGAAACAACGAGAGCGAGAGGCAGCGAGACAGAGGGAGAGTCCCAGTGCATGCTTGTTGGTGTGATGAGGTCCTAGAAAGATCCTGAGCGACATGTGTTTTGGATTTTGTTTTCAATCAAGACTTAAACTGTCATGTGGCAGACAGCACTGGAAACAGTTCGGTGACTACTCTAAACATGACATGGAACTTTGACCTCATTGAAATATTTTGTTTTCAAGCCAAGGATTTGTTTCTTTGTCGTCAGAGACCAAAACTTGCATTATCGTGCGGCAACAGTTTCTCGATCAGACACCTTTTCAATACATTGTACCTAGCAACATCACATCGCGCAGACAAATCAACTCATTTGCCACTTGCTTGTTCTTAGTTTCCGTATGTGGTCCTACACCTGCACACATGCACATGCATGCCATGTAGAAATAAAAGGCCATGACTTAAAGACCACACATTACTAGTATAGCGTTGCATCCTGAGTGTTCGAGTAACTGGTCGTGTCTTAGCGATATTATAAATAGTTGGGACTTCGTAACTACTTTCAAGTTACGTAGTTGTAGACTCCGGAACCCCATAAGCCCTAAAGCCTGTAATGCCCTTCTAGCCTTAAGGCCCCTACATCCCGAACCCCGTGTCTTTTCAGGGCCCTGCAGGCAAGCTCGGGAACAAGGTCGCGGAGCTAATGTGCCGTGACGGCGCAGACGACGACTAACGAGAGGCGACGACCAAAATGCGCCGTGATGGCGCAGGAGAAGTTTGAGTAAGAGCAGTCGTGTTAGAGCCCGAAAGAGGTGAACTATGCCTGCCAAAAGGCAAAGTCAAATGTGCCGTGACGGCGCAGATTGAGTCGATGTGCCGTGATGGCGCAGATCAAACAATTGTGGGAGAAGTTTGAGTAAGAGCATCGCGTGTTAGGACCCGAAAGATGTGCCGTGATGGCGCAGATGCCGAGGAGGAGTGCGCCGTGACGGCGCAGATCGAATCGATGTGCCGTGATGGCGCACATCAAACAATTGGGAGAAGTTTGAGTAAGACTAAGAGCATCGTGTTAGGACCTGAAAGAAGTGAACTATGCCTGCGAAGAGCGGAAGTTTGTGCCGTGATGGCGCATGATCGAGTGTTGTGCCGAGATGGCGCAGACGACGCAACATGAGACTAGGACTAGGAGTGTGCCGTGATGGTGCAGACGACTACAGCAGACGACGAGTGCGCCGTGATGGCGCAGACGATCAAAGCCGACGACACAGGACGACGCAAACAAGGCCTTCTCTCTCTCTCTCTCTCTCTCTCTTTCTCTCCCTCTCCCTCCCTCCCTCTCTCATCTTTTTGTCGCTCTCTCGCACTCTCTCTCTCTCTCTCTCTCTCTCTCTCTCTTGGTGCGCGGCTCATCTTCGCCGTTGCAGTGGGGCAACATCGCCTCAACGAGAGCCATCAACTCAGAGTTTTGCATCAGAGCTGGTGGATTGAAAGGTTCACCGCGCGCAAGACTGAGCGATGCATGGCTGTCGGGATTTTGGATCTCGGACGAGTCCGGACGAGGATGCTTTTGAGGTTTGGAGGAGTGATCGCAGGATCTTCCCATGCTGCAAATCTGTCTCTGGGCGCACGCAAAACTGTTATCGAGACCTAACTCCTGCAAAGGACAAGCGCTTGTTTTTTTCATCGCAGAGGCTGGGTACTGCAAGCCGGAACGCTGCACGTCTGTGGGCACCGGGCAGCCAAGCTTTCTGCACTCCGTCCCTGATGAACCCTAGCACAGCTGTTTCAAACTTACTGCACCCAGAATGCAACCTTGTCAGTATCCAGCCCTCTGTT